TTTGTCACTCATTTCATATTTCGCTCTGCCTCAAATTCTTCGAAAACGTTTCTTTATTTGTCTAATTCTTCATTGTATATTGCTTTTAATTACAACAATATGTTAGTAGTCTTTGAAAGCAAGAACATAGGGTTGGACGTGCCACAAAATAACTCGGATTTCAACATTTGAAAAAAATTCAAATAAGATCATATGATAGAATCAGAAATATGGTAGATCACCTTTTACGTCCGAGGTTAGTATGCGAGGTACGAGCCACCCGAGGAGCTCTGAGTGGTTTTGGGGGTCTTAAGGTTTCTGTTTTCAAACAGCCAGTCAAAGTTTTGATGTGGGGCATTGTTTCAGTTTGTCAAGTATAATTTCGTCGACACTGAATAAAGGGTACGATCTACCTCATAACAGTAAGACTGGTAGCTGCTGTAACCCCCGGGGCAGGGTAGACTGGCTAGGGGTGCTGTGATGGCGGGGGGCGGGGGTAAAACCCTCTCGGGGGAGCTGGCAGACAAAGTGATGCTGATTTGTACAACTCACATTCTCCCGAAGTACTTTTGGATGACGGCTGGTTAAGGCCACACAAGACGCAATTTCTTTTCCTACATATCAAAAGTTTTTTCTTAAAATGTAGAAATTAAACATGTATACTTTTTCTTTCTTTTTTTCAAAGAAAACAATTCAACATTGTACATGTTCATTATATATACTCATAAAGAATTTCTGCAAATGACTAGTACTGTCCTGTACCAGTTGGAGTAAGAGGCAGGTACTCCATTTATCCAATTATTGGTTCCCAGGGTCTGGGAATCTGACAATCCGATCCAGTTATAGTCCGTCTGATAGAACATCAGACATGAAGGCTTCTGTAAATCTTACTATGAATATGTTATGTTTCCAGCTTACAAAGCAGATAACAACATTGTCTTTGTTTGTATGGCTCATTATTTTTTGAATTGTAATTTAGACACACTTGGAACTGGAATGTTTTGAATTTTTTATGCAGATTTTTCGCATTCCAACTTTCCATAGTTTCATTATTAAAATTTTATGAAAATATCAGCTTGTTGTTCCATTATATACTATCAAATAGTAATTTATAAATAACTGTTTTACTTTTGAATACTGTATTCAAGTACTTTTTTAAACCGCGTGGTATTAATTTACGCATATGTACGCGGTCACAAATTGTTAGATTTTTAGAATACATCATAACGGAAATTTGTCACTATCGTATTTTCTTTAATATAAATGTAAGGCATATATTGACAATCATAGAAAAGTCCGCGTATTTTTCTACCCGCGGATTAAATCTTACGATGAATATGTTATGTTTCCAGCTTACAAAGCAGGTAACTACATTGTCTTTGTTTGCATGGCTCATTATTTTTTGAATTGTATTTTAGAGGAACTGGAATTTAGTTATGCAGTAGCATTCCAACTTGTCCCATAGTTTCATTATTAAGGAGAAAATCCTTCCAAATCATACTTCAAATTGTATTTAAGAATAACTTTTGACTTTTGAATAACTAAGAATACGGATTTAATTCTACAAGTGGTAATCCAACTTATACCCATAGTTCCCTTTCTAAGAAGAAATTCTTAAAAATCATGTGTCAGTTTTGAATATTTTTAATATTCCAGAGAAACAGAATGAATTTAAACTACAATATATATATGTAAGACTCTAAAGTCCGATGGTGAATCCAAAGTGCGATGGTCTCGCCAAACCCCTATGGTCTGCGCCAAACCCCATTGGCTCGTTGTCTTTACGGACGCCAAAGTTCGATGGTCACGCCAAAGTCCGATGCCTCGTTTCCTATGAGACGCGTTGCGCTAAAGTGCGATGGTCTGATACGCCAAAGTCCGATGGTGCGGAGAAACAATCACCGTTTATGACGTCACAATAATCCGGGAGAGGAATAATAGGGAGAGGGCTAAAATAGGCTTTGCCTGCTGCCCAATCCCATTCACTTATGTGAATAAAATTTTGTATAAATAAAAAAATAAGAATCCGACGTCAATCCTTGACGCTGTTGTCCTGCATTCAAAAGCCATCATTTCTGAATTTGTACTCGAATACAGTTTGATTAATTTTGCTTATTGCATGCACCTTCCAGAGATATTAGGATTAGTCCTCGCACACCACTCGATTGATCAAAGTTAGTCCTTGATTCGCACCAACCCAAGAGAATTAGGGTTAGTCCTCGCACACTAGTAAGTTAGTCGATTAGGGTTACTTTCGAGCCCACCCAAAATATCTAGGTTATAGTTGATACACACTTTTAGAGCATTGAGGGTTAGACTCGCACCTATTTGAGATTTTAGGGTTACTTTTCGCAAAATGATATTTATTTTTGCTTATTTTAGACCTTGGAATGTCGCGGCATTGCAGTTTGGCGTAGTAGTACTATGATGTCATAAACATTCATTGTTTTCCGCACCATCGGACTTTGGCGTGTCAAACCATCGGGGTTTGGCGCAGACCATCGGACTTTGGCGTGACCATCGTGCTTTGGAGTCTCATCGCACTTTTGAGTCCTATGTTGGATTCCGAAACTTCATAAGAATCTTTACAAACAAAGATACATTGCAGGTTCCAGTAAATGTTCAACCAAGCCTCTCTCTTATACTCCTCACTAAGATATTGACAGTAGTGAAGGAAAAACTTCAAGAGTACTGTGCAACAATATATTCAAGAAATGGTGTGAATCAGATGTGGATACTCAAAAATTCCAAAGTACTTTTGGACGACTTTACAACTTTATACACAACGATTCCCCACGATAAATTAACGTCCAGGCTTTTTGATATCATTGACTGCTGCTTTTTTCAATAAAAATGAAACTCGAAAATTGACTTATCTGGTCATTGGTTATTGGTCATTTGCAAAATTATTTTGTTAAAACAAATTCTGATTGCACACAGAAGTACTCTGAGATTGACATACAAAATGCTTCAGTTTCTGATTGACAATATCTATGTGGTTTTAGGAGTCCAGGTCTTTCAACAATCTATTGGAATTCTCATGGATACCAATTGTGCTCCGTTATTAACAGACATATTTTTATATTCATATGAAGCAAAATTTGTGTAAAATCTTATGCGTGAAAAGAAGAAAACACTTGCTGTGGCCTTCAACTCGACAATTAGATATATCGACGACGTATTCTCAATTAAGAATGGTAATTTACATTCATATGTCGAAACGATATATCCCGGTGAGCTTGAGATAAAATATACCACAGAGTCTGACATATCTGTTTCATACTTGGATATTTTGCTTGAAAAAACGTTATTGGTAATCTAACAACCAAGCTCTAAGATAAACGTGATGACTTTAACTTTTCTATTGTCAACTTCCCTTATTTGTGCAGCAATTGACCTTCATCATCTGCATATGGCGTTTATATATCTCAGTTGATTCGATACGCAAGAGAATGCTCTACGTATGAACAATTCATAAAATGAAGAGTCTCGTTTAAAGTCATCATTTCGTAAGTTCTATTGTCGATACAATGACCTTGTCAGCAAGTACAATTTATCATTGAGTCAAATGCTGACTGACGTTTTTCATACTAATTGTTAGTCCATTATTCATACACTGAATTGACGACAGATTTTTCCGTGATTTCCCGATCATGTCAATGAGCACACGGCGGATGTGACCCGTCAGCAGGGGATGCTCACTCCTCCATGGAACCTGATCCAACCTCTGATGTTTTGGAGGTCCGTGTTTGCTCTGCTCCTATTTTGTATTGTTTTATGGACTTTTGATCTTGAATACTGTTCGTTATCTCCATATCCTCCATCGAATTTAAATTATCATGCTTATATAAGATTCTTTAATTACATGTAAATGTAACAGACCCTTAAAACAATTAAAGGCAATAACAAAAATACTATAAGTTTTTAAAAAATATTTATTTCTCAACATCAAATACTTTTCATGGAAAATTACGTATTACAATATTATTCCGTGCGTGCTTTACAAACGTTCTTTACCTACATAAACAACGTGAAAATGAAGATACCTACAAGCAACGAATAAAACATTTGCAAAAATCAATTCCACACAAGAAAATTAACAAAATTATAGAATGATGAATTTTTCATAAAGAAGCAGACATATATTCCTGTGCTATATGCAATGTTCAAAATCAAACGTCTTAAAGGCTTCCTAAAATTAAATTTGTTAGCAATATTATACTCCTTTTAAAAAAATCATTTGACTATGTGCAGGAAGTTTTCATTGGTGAATATTTAATTTTAATATATTAATTACGACGAGATATTGTATCTGTTTATGAAAATCATTTTGTTACTGTGTACCAATGTTCTCTTAAAACAGTGTTCCTATTTTCCATGTCTTTATTTTGTCTTCGTTAACTTTTTGTAAGATAGTTCAAATCGTAAACTCATTTTTTTCAACTAAGAATCAACAAACAAAAAACTTCATCGCTGTGCTTTTTTGTAATCGAACATTTTATATTATAGAGAATACACTGAAAAAGAACATTCTTGTTTTTTCTTTAAGTCATTATCATTTACGTACAAAGATTTATAAACACGTTTGGAGGACAATGTTATATCTTTGTCTTGGCCTATAAGCTACATGTTTAAACTCTGGTCATAACACATCACTGAAAATATGACATAAGACCTCTTGGTAAAAAAAATACTCATAAATTAATCATGCAGAACATTTACTGGAAAACATTGATTTCATTATACTGAATACTGTGACATCAATAATTTTCGTGGGGGGTTAATTTTCGTAGTTGTTTTCGAGGTATGAAATACCAAATAATTCATGCCCACTACGAAATGTACATTTACATATGCACAACTACTAAAACGTGTTATCCACGAAATCAAAACCCCACGAACCAACATTTTTTCCTTAAACCACAAAAAATTGACCCCACGAAATTATGTGATTTTACAGTATTAATCGAACATGGAAGGGCTATGGGAAACGCATACGCTCAAATAAAATGGATGAACTTTTATTCAGAATCATCATCATCATCTGGTTTTTTCAAGGTGGAAAAATAAACTCCAATAACAATCGTAAAAGTGAAACTGATACCACACACTGCTATAACTATAATATACCAAAATTTATGATTGTTATTCTCAGATTTGTTTTCATAAAAATCTTCTGATACGCAGTGCCATTTCCTTATAAATACATCAACATATTCTCTGTTTATTCTCTCATCGCTCCAAACATATAAATTATGACAGTAAGTTTTTATCTCCTCTGGCAGACCGAGAAATCGCATAACACTTAATACATATGGTAGTTTAAACGACAATGCCAATGTACTTTTTATTGGTTCATCTTTGTTCACCTTATGTTTACACAGTGGTGTACTTACAACAGTAAATGATTCTCCATTTAGTAACTTTATTTCACTTGTAAATGGATTAAGATTAATTGTCTCTATAAATTCCATTGTCTTCTTAAATTCTTCAACAATCATATCCCCTGTGGATTTTACGGTCATGATGATCTTTATAAATTGACATTTGGAGAAAGCATATTTATTCAACTGTACTCTGACCCCTTCCGACAATGTTAGATTAACATTGTTCTGAAGAAAGTTGTAAAGAAAGAAGATACTACTGTATTTTAAATGATATTCATGCATTATCCCTACTGCATACAAGTTTACCTCTATAGTATGATTCCAATTTTTAATTAATCGTCTATGACAATTATCCATTACGTTTTCTGTACAAACCCCCTGAAAAGAAAATTGCAAATTTAATCAGTATTAATTAATCACATATGTATTAAATCATTTTTTTCTTTAAATTAAATTAAAAATTATTTTTTCTTACTCTCAAGCAATTTTCCAAGTACAAGCTCATTTATTCACTCAAACCCATTTAAAATATATGGTACATGAGCACAATGAAAAACATTTACAGCATATTAATGCAGGTCAGAGGTACAAGTATATCATTTACATAATCAGAAAATGAAATGGGAGAGAAAGAAAAAAGGAAAAAGAAAAACATATGATACATGTAATAATGGAATAATCTACATACATTTTCTTTATAGGATGGTTGTCTACGACTATCTGTAAACTGGATATGAAGACTTGTTTCGTTGTGTTGATACACTTCCCCCACATCTGTCGCATCATCAGGCAGTGGGAAGCCATTCAAGTCCTCAAAACAGTGTGTATTTTTATAAACAACAGGAGGTATCCTTATTGGTTTCTCATATATTTTGCATTCACTACTAAGGTTCCTCTCCATCTCTTCCTCTGGCCAATCTACACAAAGTCTCGGAGTCAATCTTCTATCGTGTTTAGAATTAATTACAAACTTGCAATCAGAGTTCATAATAGCGATAAAAAGCTCCATGAAAGGCTTTTCAAGAGATGAATATATCAAATCAACGTCACAGATTTCACGGCTAAGGATGACATGGATGTCCATGAGTGAAAAAGATAAAACAGTATTACAATGAGCAATCTGGTCGCTTGCAAACAATATGCCATTCTCATCCATTACAGGAAGTGATATCCCATCATTCATGAGAGATTCTCCTTCCAAGCAAGAAGTTACTGTCCAAAATGAGGGATAACTTTGCTGTCCAAAACGTTGACAATTCGGATTTGAATTGAGATGGAAGTCCATGAAAGAACTATTTGTTGTATCATCACAGCAGTCTCCATACAAAACACAGTCAGAATCACAATAACAGATTGGAGACTTTTGGAAGTCCTCTGCATAGTTCTGACCAGTACAAGAAGCGCCAGTTTTGTTCTGTCCATCCTCACAAATTATTTCTCTACCCACAGAAGAAATGATGAGTATAACTAAAATGTACCGATCCAACATTATTGTGAATGAACAACTGCAACTGAAATATGTCTTTTTGAATAAAATGGATTTTATTTAACGATATCCATTATTAATAGGCCAGAGTAGATCAGATAGTCACAGTTTTGTATGTTGTCTGCGTGTATAATCTCTCAAAATGTGTTATATAGTAAAACAAAACAGTCAAATGTCTATCAAGTAAGCAAATTGATTTTTATATTTAAGAATTTCTTCCTTCTATTTGTAATGCCAGTAGTGGAGACCGGTCCTTCGGGCGAGATCGTATAAACCGAAGCTCCTTGTCGCAGTAGGTGCTGGCACGAAGCCGGCAAGTTGTGGCGTCTCCATATGAGTGAAAAATTTTCGAGAGGGGCGTTAAACAAAATACAAGTAATCAATCAATCTGTTTGCTTTACGAAACGTTCATAGTGTTCAACAGCAATATGTGTAATGTATAATGTACAATTTAAAAACCTTACACTATAATGAATTGGACTTTTATATAGGAACTGTATCAGGAATAGTCTGGGAATTTCTGCAGTTTCTCAATAATGAAAGTCTATGGAGATGCTGTGAACTCAAATAAGGCAAAAAGAAGTAAATATCATGGCAACATACGAGGGTTGTCCAAAAAGTTTGTGGACAATGACGTTTTTGTTAAAATAAATGGCTCTATATATACCTAAAGTATATCAGAATATTTCTTATGAAAAACCAAGTTAGAAAGATTTAATTTTTATTGATGGAACTTTATTTTTTGTAAATCGTGGTCTTTAAAGGTCGCAGATTTGCGCACGGACCAAGGTTAAAATGCCATAAACACTGATAAAAAGGTTCGGATAAAAATGATTATTTTCTACATCAAACAAGGTTAACTTAATAAAAATTAGATGTAACACAAATAAAGAGGCCATAATCATTCTCTGATATCTTCAGTATCGCTTACTATATAGACAGTGAAAATACGAAACAAAAATCCTAACAAATATGTGTCAAAACTTGACAGAAAAAGCGACGTCGGCCGTCTGAACGGGACAGCGTCCATTCAAAATATATGTTTTAATACGGTTGAAACGATGTAAGAGACAACATATTTGTGTAAAGAACTCAAAAGTATTGAAATACATGTATATTTAGTTTATTGATTTGAGTTGGTTTTATAGGATTTTTCAACGGTGTGTACAAATTTGAAGACACTACAATAATTTAAAACACATGTAATTTGCTGAACATGGAGATTTCTATTCATGGCGTTGTTATAATTCTAGCTCAACGTCAGACTGGGCTGTGCAGTTTGTGCATACAAATTGTTACTTGGAAGTGGGGCGTCATAAAAAAGAAATGTAGTTCATGTCCATGAACATGTGTTAAAATTCAAAATCCAAATGGTTGACGTAGTAATGAAATTAGCTTAACGTCAGACAGGTCCGTGCGCATTGTCTGCGACCTTTAAAGACCCAGATTTTTTAAACAAAAATATTAAGTTCCATCAATAAAAAAATTAAACAATTCTGACTTGGTTTTTCATAAGAAATATTTTGATAAGCAATAAATATATATAGAACCATTTATTTTAACAAAAACGTCATTGTCCACGAACTTTTTGGACAACCCTCGTATGTTCTAATCTTAAGTTTAAAAAATAGCAGTTCTGAACACTTCTAGGGTCTCATAGTTATTAACGTCTGTAAAAAGGCAAACCACGTGACAATGACAGTTTGCAAAAGTTGGATAATACTAGTAAACTATTCATAATTTTACATGAAGCAGTATTGCATACGTTACGGTACAAAACATTTAGAAAACTATTTTGTTTCTATGAATATTTACTATTGTATGACGTTTCCCAACACTTTTTATGATTAAGCTTTTTGAACAACAAACCTAACTTTAAAACCAGAAGTCTCTGTCGAGACTGTAGCTCTACTGGTTTATACTTAAAACAAAGGAAGAGAAAAGTAGCAGTTGCGACTTGAAACTTTAAAAACAGCAATTCATAGAAAAATGATCCTTGCCAATCATCAAAGCAAAAACCGATGCAGAGAGTTATGTATCTTAGTGTAGTCTACTTGTGTGCCAAGTTATATTGAAATCAGGCCAAAACTGTAGAAGGAGAAGCATTTTGAAAGAATTTCAAAGAAATTTCTATTTTTATTTACCATGGCAACACCGTTCATTGAAATCAAAAACCGATGCACAGAATTATGTATCTTAGAGAAGTCTACTTGTGTGCCAAGTTACACTGAAATCAGACCAAAACTGTAGGAGGAGTAGCATTTTGAAAGAATTTCAAAGAAATTTCTATTTTTAGTAACCATGGCAACACCGTTCATACGAAATCAAAAACCGATGCACAGAATTATGTATCTTAGTGTAGTCTACTTGTGTGCCAAGTTATATTGAAATTGGACCAAATCTATAGGAGTAGTAGTATTTTGAAAGAATTTCAAAGAAATTTCTATTTTTAGTAACCTCGGCAACACCGTTCATTGAAATTAAAAACTGATGCACAGAATTATGTATCTTAGTGTAGTCTACTTGTGTGCCAAGTTATATTCAAATAGAACTAAAACTGTAGGAGGAGTAGCATTTTGAAAGAATTTCAAAGAAATTTCTATTTTTAGTAACCATGGCAACACCGTTCATTGAAATCAAAAACCGATGCACAAAATTATGTATCTTAGTGTAGTCTACTTGTGTGCCAAGTTATATTGAAATCGGACCAAATCTGTAGGAGGAGTAGCATTTTGAAAAATTGTTTACAAACAGACAGACAGACAATTTATTAACGTAGTTACTATCGCATAAGCTCTTCTGGTCTCTGACCAGTAGAGCTAAAAAATGACTACCACCCAAACCCTAAAAGGATATGAAAGATTCAAGCACAAGGGATTAAATATTTCTTGAAAGTTAAGAAAATCGAACATGATTCCTTTTTGTTAATTTTTAACCAGAGTAACAGCTTATTTTTTTAAGTTTATCAGTGCGAGTATATAAATGAATTTTAGTTCTGTCAGATAAGTTCAATTCAATGTGATTGAAAAAAAACGCTATTCAATTCTCGACGCAGCGAAAAATTACTTAACACCCATGCAAAGTATTTCTTTGGTTACTTTGAAAGCATTTAATCATTTTTTCTAATGCTATTCGTGCTACAAGGCCATTGCGATGTAGATATCCGAATAAAATTATTAGTATAATGTTTTCTATTCCATATTACCTAGAGAGAGAGAGAGAGAGAGAGAGAGAGAGCCCACTTTGATTAAAAACTTCATCACTCTCAAAGCAGTATGTTCTTGAAGAATAAAATATTTTTGGACAAGAGACGAAGGTAAAGAAAGTGATTATTACCATAAATCAAATATTACAAATATGTAAACATCGCTTAAACATGGGCACCTGGAAGAGGAGTAAGCATCCAGTTTTGACTTGTCACACCCGCTTTGAAACCTACTTATTGACAGGTAGACAGAACATTCCCTAGCCAAATTTAATGGGAAAAAACCCAATAGCATAATAATTGGTATGCAGCAAGTCAGCCAGGATACGAATTTGTGATAGGATATACTTGCTATCCTATTTAATTGGCACTATAAATGAAGTACTGAGTTGTTTTTTTAAATCTGCCTGTAAAGCCTGTCTTGATTTCAAAGTTTACCATACTAGGAGTATGCTTTTGAGCAGCGAAAAAGTAAAGAGACATAAACGTCATATGTAGGTGAAATGAGTATGATTATGGAGATAACGAATAGTATTCAGCTCAATACAGATTTGAAGCAGAGCAAACACGGACTTCCAACATCAGGGTTGGGAACACGTGCAATGGAGGAGTGTGCATCCCCTACCGACCGGTCATACCCGTCGTGTGCTCCTCGTCATCATCAGTAAATAACGGAAAATTTCGTCGAGAATTCAGTTTGCAATGGTCTAACAATTCGTATAAAAAACATCAGTCAGGATTTGTCTTAAATTTAAATTGTATTTGCTGCCATGGTCATTGCATCGAGCATAGAACTTACGAAATGAAGATGAAAGCAGAATATTATATTAAATAAATAAGGAAAGTTGGCGATGGAAAATCTGGTCATCTCGTTTGTCTTATAAATTAGATGTTCTTATATCTTTTATAGTCAGTAATATTACCCAATATGAAACAGATGTGACAGACTCTGTGGTGTCATTATTTTAAGTTCACTGGGATATATCGAGTCGACATATTATCTGAAAAAAAAAGAATTATTATATGACAAAACGTCGTCTATATATCTGAATGATGAGTTGAAGGAGAAGGCAAGCGTTTTCTTATACAGAAGATTTTAAAAGATAAATTCAGCTTCATAGGAATAAAAAACAGGTTGGCTATAAAGGAGTACAATCAAAATGTATACCCTGATTCTAACAGTTTCTTGGAAGACTTGGTCTACCAAGACTAATAAATGTTGTCAGTTAGGAACTTCAGCATCCTATGACAGCAGCCTGGCTGGGCTCATAATGAAATGCATGCTAAAATTGGCAAGGGGTCTGGGGGCCGCCCTGTCAGTTTGGAACTTCAGCATCCTTTTAATTGATATCAAATTCAGAGTACTTGTGTGTTTATCAAATAAAACCAAGGAACCTTTATGATAGTAATCTTGAAAGTAATTTTGCTGACGAAAATTTTTAGTCTCTAATCACAAAATTTTTTTTTTTTAAATCTTAAATCTTAACGTTGAAGCAATACGGGCTATCGTAGTTTATTAGCATCTATTAACTAAATTGGTGATTTTTTGGCAAGTATAAAAAGTTTTGGCAATGTTTTTTTTTTTTTTAATTATTAGAAAAGTCGGGAAAAACAGAAAATTAGGGTTATTTTTTCAGCTATCAAAATGTCCACCAAAAGTAGATATTTTGAGGAATTTAATTAAATTCACGTGATATATTAAATCATTTGGTCTATTAAACCCTAAAATTTAATTTGAGTTGGCAAAATTTCATAATTTCATGCATTTATTTTCATTAAAAACCGTTTAGATTAATTAGTAAAAGTTAATAAAAATTATGTTATATCTGGCTGCATGGTTAACATACATAATTCTATTTTTTCATTACACCCGTAAAATTGCAAAAAACCTTGATTTCAAAATACCTTAAAAATCAATAAACTTTTTGAGGTTACCCGCCTTAAAACACAATTAAAGAAAATTTTCATGTGTATCAATTTTTTTCTTAGTTAACATACATGTACTTATTTTATCAATTTCTTCATGCCTCGTTTTTATTTATTTATTTATTTATTTTATTAATATTTTTTTGCAAAATGATGTGCATGCTCGAGCATACAAGCATACATGGTACAATGTAGCTACGCCACTGTATGAATTGATATCAAATTCAGAGTACTTGTGTGTACAATCTGAGAAGTAACGAAGTAATTTTGCTGACGACCAATCACAAAATGTGGAAAATTGTGAGTTCTGTTTTTAGAAGATGTCTATGATATCAAAATGTCTAGATATGTCTAGTGTTTTTGTTATAGGCTTTTGAAAAACGGCAAATTGATTTCAATTTTCTAAAAAACACAATTTAGTATTTTTGAGGATCGACATCTTAATTATGCCATTTCTAGAATATGCTGTAGCATTGTACGGATGAAGTTCAATTTATTTTGGTACCTTGTTTGTTTTTTGAATTTAGGAATCATTTTTAAAAGTTGAACGGAATGTATGAAATACTGAAATGTGATTATGAAGAATTCTTGGAAAGTGAATAGTGAGTTCACAAAGATGCATTTTTAGATGGATGTCAAGAAAAAAAGATAGTCCAAAGGCTCAGAAATGAACCTGATAGTCCAAATGCTCAGAAATGAACCTCCTTAAGGAAAGATTAATTAGATTGAGAAATTTTGATTGCATCTTTGAATGATTGATTGATTGATTGATTATGTGCTGTTTAACGTCCCTCTCGAGAATTTTTCACTCATATAGAGACGCCATTACTTGCCGGTGGAGAGCTGCAAATTTTGTCTATGCTCGGCACTTAGGGCCACTGATCAATGAGTGGTCTTTTTTGTGCCAGCACCTACTGCGACACGGGTCCTCGGTTTATAAGGTCTCATCCGAAAGACCGGTCCCCAAGTCCCACAGTGGGATTCGAATCCGCGACGCAAGGATCAACTCCTTACTTCGTGACTCTAGAGCAGACGCTTTAACTACAGCTGCTCGCGGCGACTTGTTTGATTTGTCCAAGTGCACTTGAAATGATTCTGTCACATATGATACATCTCTACTTAACCGACTATTTACGATAGGGACAAACTACAACTTAACTGTATGACAAAAGAAATGTTTTCAGCTTTTCCAGTGTCAACTTTCCTTCTTTTTATAAATATTCTGCTATCAGCTGCAAATGGTGTTTCCTCCGCCTCTTATTTTTTTCATTACTCAAAAGCATGCCCTGAACACAATTATTTTTTAAACCAAGGCAGACTACTGATAGATAAATTGATGATACTGGGATCTAATCATTTTTGGTAAGTGTCAGTATTTAGTCAATTTTATCGCCGTATAATGATCTGAGTTATTACAAATTTATCCTTTCCACTAAGTTGTATTTTAGCTGTTGTATTTCATACCAATTATTAGCCATATAATATAATAATTAACTTGGATTTCCATGCGTATATAGGAAAGGATTTCTTTTTTGTGGTTTATGGATCGCATGGGAGCGGGGAACATGTTAGGAGGGAGCTGGAAAAGTGAGTATACATGTAAAGTATGCTTAAAAGTTTAACACAATTCAATGAAAGTGACGATTCGATATACAATACTTTCTAAATCATAGGAAAAATAAGTAACATTAATTTCTTTAACATTTAACCATCAATGTTAAATTTTATTCATTCATGTATCATGGATATAAATATATACATGTATAACTCTACATCTTCAATTGTTAAAAATTCTTTTGGCAATCACTAATTATAATTATTGTATATATTACAGGGAAAGGTTTTTCTAAGTTTGTAAGAACTTGTTACCAATCCCTTTGTATGAATTATACAATAAAATATGTTCAAATCAATCATGGATATGATATGTTTTTGAAATGCAAACAAGTACAGGATGCTTCCAAAATATTTGTGTACTGAAAACTCGGATATACAGTTTCAGTACAAAGAATATTACACGTAGGGATATTTAAGCAGTATCTGAATTCTGAATAAAACATTCATATAAGCATACGTTCGCAGGGGATAGCTACGTGAAATCTTTCTCTGTATGCATATATAGCGTAAAAAGACTCAACGTGTAAAATGCAATATTAGCCTTATTAAAAGCATCATTTTTTGCAATATAAATGTAATTGGAATTGCAATCATGCTTATTGAAAAATATACATGTATATACAAAAAAGATAACATTGTTACTGCAGTATTACGAAATATTTTGCAAAATGAACTTTCCAACCTCAAAAATGGTGAACAGATATCGGCTTAGGATGTGAACGATGTCCTAACGCCAATACAGAATGATGGAAATGCCTGCATTAAGTCGTATGAACAAAGTTAAAATAAACTTGAAAATGGATTGCAAGTAGTCTGTGACAACGCATGGTCTCTTGTGAATGTCACAAAATGGTTGCTTTATTGTACATAAGGCTGTACTTATTATCACATATAATGTCAATCATGCGTCCTCCTCCTTGCTGTTATTTTTCATATTCACAGCGCCCTCTGACGAGTAATACATGGCGTTCTCGAATCCCCCGGCCCCCTGGACGCCACTGCCTGCAGGATACTGTCTTCTTTTCAGGAATATGATTCCAAAGGCAAAAAGTCCCAAAATGAAGATTATGGCGACCAGCAGACCAGCTAGACCCCCTGCAGACAAACTGCCACCTGGAAGAAAGAGGGAAACTTGTTTTAGATCAATTAATATGCTTTGAACAATATTGCAAATGGCACCCAGGTGGATAGGTCATGTCTTGAGAAAGCGCACAGATGACATCACAAGAGTGGCACTTAGATGGACCCTAGAAGGGAAGAGGAGGAAAGGCCGACCAAAAACAACGTGGAGGCGAACATGGAGAAAGAGCTTAAGGAGATAAATCTCACCTGGGGAGAGGTGGAGAAGATAGCTAAGAACAGAGAGGAATGGAAATCCCTAGTCCTTGCCCTATGTGCCTCCGGGTGCAACAAGGACTAGGTAGGAAGGTACCCAGTGAAGTAGCTGGACAACTTGAAGAAATGGTTAATTTTATTTTCATTTGCGGTACTGATTTGAGATACAAAGTTATCCAACTGAAGAATAAGATATTAAAGCTGACATGAATTCTTAAAAACGCAACATTTTCATCTATGTACGACTTGTTTCATACCAATTATAGCCGTATTCCGCCATATTTCTTTCAGATACCTTGTCTCATTGTAACGATATATACCCCAATGCGCTCGTTACCCTTGAATGATTTTTTGGCTTGGATATCGACTTGTGCACATCTCAGATGGTAAAGCATATGAGAACACATGAGGTGATCAAGACATTTCAAAACCACAATAAACAACATAATTATCATATTTTTGAATGATTATTGATATGAATCAACAGTAAAAAAAGAAAAAGAAAAAAATGCAAGTTTGGAAGAGAAATTTAGTTGAACGTGTACGTATTTTACAGTGCGCCAATTTATGCAGAATAAACTTGAAATAAAAAGCAGTGAAATCCGCAAACACATTTTGAAATTATTATCATTTGAATGGAACAAAACAACCAACGTCTTTGATTTGCAAGTCCTATGCAATTGATGCATATCGAGAAAACGCCTCGAACGCTGTAAACGTACCCATACCTGGTAATAAGGTTACTGCATCGGTTCGAAGATGTGCACAAGTCAAGTGATATACACCCTGAATTCCATTTATTGAAATATGCATCACAAAAATGAAATAAACTCCATAAAAGCTCAATAGTAAACACACTGTCATTACTCCGTACAGACTAGCACGTCGATACAGTTAGTCCGTGCTGATCGGATTTTGGTCAGGGAAAATATCACAAGTGGAAAGAGAAGTATTTTGGTATTTGTGCGGCTGAAAGGGGGGGGGGAGTATTATAACTGCTGTTCATAAGGTATAACTGTAAATTTTCTATTTACGTGTAGCTCTAATACACATGTACATTCTATACAAAGTCATGTATATAGCCTGCAGTTGGTTTGAGTCGCAAAATTCATTTGTCAATTATAACTGATTATTTTAGTACTAATCTCAAATCTAAACCAAGTAATTTGATGTACGGTAATTATTGTCCCCCGCTTTCGCGAAAGCGAGGGGACATTAAATCTCATTCGTCTGTCTGTCTGTCCGTCTGTCCGTCAGTCTGTCCGTCACAAAAACTTTAACCTTGCCCATAACTTTTGATTTAGTGGAGCTATGACTTTCATATTTCACAAGTGTATTCCTTGTGACAAGACCATTCTTTGGGTACCACCAAATTTGACCTTTTGACCTTGGAGTTTGACCCACTTTTACACAAAAATTCCAAACTTTTACTTTGGCCATAACTTTTGAATAGTAGGTACTAGGACTTTCATATTTCACATATGTATTGTTTGTGGCAAAACCTTTCATTGGATATCAACAACCTTGACCTTTTGACCTTGATTTTGGAGATTTACGTACTTATGAAAAAACTTTAACCTTGAACATAACTTTTGAACAGTGAGGACGAAGGCTTTCGTACTTCACATATGTAATCCTTGTGAGAAGACCTTTCATTGGATACCAATAACTTTTGCCCTTTGACCTTGGAGTTTTAATTACATTTTAAAAACTTTAACCTTGGTTACAAATTTTAAACAGTAGAATACTAGGACTTTTATATTTCACGTATGTATTCCTTGTGGCAAGACATTTCATTGGGTACCAACAACCTTGACATTTTGACCTTGACCTTGGAGATTTATGTACTTATGAAAAAACTTTAACCTTGACCATAACTTTTGAACGGTGAGGACTAGGGCTTTTGTACTTCACATATGTGATCCTTTTGAGAAGACCTTTCATTGGATACCAATAACTTTTACCCTTTGACCTTGGAGTTTTAACTACTTTTTAAAAATACATAAACTTTGGTCACAACTTTTGAACGGTAGATACTAGGACTTTAATATTTTACATATGTATTCTTTGTGGCAAGTCCTTTCATTGGATATCAACAACTTTGACCTTTTGACCTTGACCTTAAAGATTTATGTACTTATGAAAAAACTTTAACCTTGACCATAAATTTTAAACAGTAAGGGCTAGGGCTTTCATACTTCACATATGTAATCCTTGTGAGAAAACTTTTCATTGGATATCAACAACTTTGACCCTTTGATCTTGACCTTGGAGTTGACCTACTTTTAAAAAACTTTTTACTTTGGCCATAACTTTTTAACGGTCAGGATTAGGGTTTTCATCCTTCAAAAAATTCAACTTCAGAGTTACTTTCTAAATAAATGACATATGATAGGATGTTCATATTACACACAATATGTCATAAAAATAACATCTCACCCACAAAGACACCGAAAGCGGGGGACCATAATTCTTTGAATTTGCTTGTTTACTTCAAATCTTATAAGCAATTAATCAGAATACAAATTTTTATGTGTACATCTATACAATCTTTAACACAAACGCGGAGAAGAGCCATCCCCTGTTCAGATTGACATTTAGAAATTTGAATTTTTGAGGCGGGGGGGGGGGGGGGGGCATGCAAAAATAATTGACATGATCGTTATTTAAATCTTCTTGGAAGACAGACATTTCTGCCGAATTCCATTTTGAGATTTTTTTAAAATGTGTAACTCCGACCACAAAGAATGTGCATTTTGAGGAACGTAATTGTTTTATAATTTTGTTGTTACAGGAAGTCTTTCGAGATTTCAGTATCCCTGCCTGACAGTCTAGCTATGTTTTTTTTAATAAAAATATAATTTCTTAAGGAGTATTTGCGAGATAATTTTAAAAGCTAGGGTAGGGATACTTGAAACCTGGTTGAATACGGAAAATTTTTATATACTCCTTCGTATATTGAACTCTCTCTCTCTCTCTCTGTGTGTGTGTGTGTGTGTGTAACCATCGGCAAGTAATAGGTATAAAATCCCACGTACTTTATGCTGTACCATTTATTAAGCCTTAGGACAGATTAGGGATTTTTTTTCAGGCGGGATGTCGAAACTTCATAAATTGAATGATAATTTTACTTTGGACAAGAAATTTTCCTAAACGCCCAATATGAAAGAGAAACTAGAAGTATTGTGAGCAATGAGCTCTTTAAATGATGCCCCCGCATCCTATATGGTTACAATGACAAAGTACATTTTTTGCTGTTGTCGGTAAACCCAAAATATGTGTCGGATCAAAAAGTAAAATAGGAGGTACACAATGGTAATATGTAATAAACTTTAGATTCTGTGAAAGTTTCATTAAATTTAACTCAGTGGTATAAGAGGATTTGCGGATAAGAGATGGGTACCCTAAACCGTAACATCTACGGACGGACATAACGATTACGATATACCCTCGCGATTTTCTAGGGGGGGGGTAAAAAAAACATTAAAAAACATAACAGGAATGAGTACATTGGGAATTATCTCAAATATCTTCTTAAACGTGTCGAACCTGGACCTGGATAACAGACAAGAGAATTTTTAAAAAGCTAATTTTAGGTAGAATGTGGAATTCTCACGGGGAGTTTGCTCTCTCTTCCTATATGCTTTGGCTAATAATCATTAATTATTTATGTCAAGAAATTTAATTCACATTTAATTCTATTTTCATTATCATTGTACCATAGAATCAAACTCGTTTATTATACCCCAAGATGCGTGAGGTATAATGTTTTTGACCCGTCCGTCAGTCAGTCAGTCCGTCAATTTTTTTTTTTTTTTTTTTTTTTTTTTTTTTTCTTGTCAGCGCAACTCCTCATAAACCAATGCACAGAATTTTGTTAAACTTTGCAGATATTTATAGGAGACAATGTGTAGATTTGCACATCACCCATCTGTACATCACCAGGAAATTCCAAATTCTTTATTTTTTCGGGAATTTCTGCATTTTTACATTTAGATTTTGGCCATTATCTTGAATATAGCTCGATGAACAGTTTGTCAGCGCAACTCCTCATAAACCGCTGCACACAATTTCGTCAAACTTTGCAGATATTTAGGACACAATGTGTATAGATGTGCATATAACAAGGAAATTACGATTCCTTTATTTTTTTCTGGGAAATTCAGCACCTCGATTTTTGGGGGAGCGTGGGGTATATGAACTTGCTCACTTTTTCTTTCATTGTGCATAAAATTATAGATAACTTTAAATCAAATTATATTAACTTGAAATCAAATTATGTTAGGTCTAATAAAGCCAATACACAGTATTTATTTGATAATATTTGATCATATAGAAATCCGTTCTGTTTCAGACGTTTTTCTTAAATTATTTTAATGAGAGTGTTACGCATGTTTATTACCCCCCCCCCCCCTTCCTATCATAGGAAAATATCTCCACAAGGTGAATGATTCGTTATAATGCTTGCTTTTTTCTTTTATAAATTTGATGAAATTAAACCATGTTTTCATAAATTTTATTTACAACATTTACAGACAAGAGTAATGTTTATTATTGGAAAAAATTATTTGCATTTTTTTCAATCAACCCCACGGAGCTTTCAACCTTTGATATTTTCCCTGACCAAATAAAATGATCGGCATTGGCATGTGTCCAAGCATTTTTTACTGTTGAGTTAGCAATGGATTACATGACTTCTAAGATGCATTTTTCAATAAAAGTAAAATAGGATAATTCTTTCGACATGTGCACATCCCTGTAACGATAGCAGTATTCAGGTAAATGTTTTTATCACTGCGTTTGACGCGTTTTCTCGATATGCATGGATTTTTGCTGTACATGAATGTATTCCGTGTTAGTATATTTTCTACATTGCAGCAAATGCATTCAAAAATAATTCAATTCTCGGTATAGTTCTAGTTTTTGTTGAATTTTTACTTTTCAAACATGTATTTGGTCAGTTTATGGACTTCTAAAAACTATGCTTTCGGAGTTGTGTACATGTCGACAGCCAGGCTAGAAAATCACTCAAGTGAAACAATTGTACAAAGCTTTATATAGCAGGTACAGGTGACCAAAAATTTTCAATTAAATATGGCGGAATCGATGAAATATGGCGGACAAAGGCGTACAGGAATGTAGTAAGTCGTACAAAGATGTAAAATGATGCCTTTTTAAGAGTTCATATCAGCTTTAACTTGAATATCATTTCATTCTGAAAGCTTATTTTCATACCCAAGACAAACTTTTTTGTTACTGAAATATAACTTTCTAGTATACTGACATGAAGTTAAACCTTGTACTACAAATATACTTTCTGTTATTGTAAAACACACTACTTACTTATTGACGATGAACTCTGTTGTTGAGGGGCTGCGTTGGGATTTCCCATTCCCTGTGGCTGAGTAATAGGTTGAAGGGTCTGCCGACTGGGGGTGATGCGGTTGGTTGGGAAATTTGTGGATGACACAGGTGCCCATGGGTTGTATCCTGTTGTTCCAGGATTCGGATTCAGAGGTGGGAGATTTCCACTTGTCAGTTTGAACCCCACAGTGCTCATCTCTAAAAATAAATACCCTTGGTATATGATTTATACTTATGGATCCTTAAAAGAAGTTTGATAAGTTTAATGGTTAAAAACAACTACTCTTGGCCAAAATAAATAAAGTAAAGTCCTTGAATTTTATCATTTTACTCGTATATACAAAAATTCATATGTTTTACTTAATTTGTTGGCACATAATTAAACCCTCAATCAAAGAAAGATAATAACATCCATGCAAACATATTAATTCTGTTGAATACAATATTTCCTTCAAAATCAAATATTAAGAAAAATAGATATGTACGAGCTGCTTTCTTGCAGACATATCTTCGTTTGGTGAAGCATGTGACGTCATTCCATTTTCCGCTGTTTGTGTACATCTCTACACATTCCTCCTGGGAGGAACTCATTGCGTCAGAAGGCTCTCCTTTGTCCCAGTTCAGGAAATTGACAGCGGATCCGTCCTTCCACTGAAACCCGTCTGAAGAAGAAAAGTCATGAAAAGACCATCAACATTGATTTCACACTTTATTGGAAAGAAGCTCTTGAAACAGTTTTCAATGCAAATAGACTCTTTGAATAACATATCTACGACAATAAAAATATGAAAACAACTGTTTTCCATTTCTGTTTCAACAACAGGAAGATATTTTGCTGTCCCAGAAAGAACAGTTGTTTCAGATATAGTTTTTGAGTTACTAGACCAGTTCATCCAACAATCATACCTGAAAATCCTTTGGTCATTCCTAACCATATATTCTCGGCATATCTTGGAGCTGTTTCACCTGGCTGTGCCTGGTAATTCTGGAACCTCTGTAGAATGATATTCATTTCAGCAATGGAGTGAAAACTGGCCAGTTCCATGCCCATTCTCTCACACAGATAGCTCGCCTCGGGCCAGGTTTTTGTTTTGAAGCCCGATATATAGTAACAACTATCTCCAACAGCAATAGGAGCATTGCCATCACAGCTCACTGATGACTGTGGGGGTGTAGGAAGGGGCGTGTCTTAAATGAAAAAAAAGATTTTCACATACTGTATCAGTTGTGCAGTAAAGTACGAATACGCGCGAGTCATTGAATTCTTAACTTATTTTGCAAATTAATTTATATGTACAGTGAATTTTACGTCAGAGTAATATTTTTATTTCAGAAGTATATACTACAAGTAGAAGAAATTTTACTGTTGTTGATATGGCAGACAAATCCTAGCTGTTGATTACACTGTGTATCATTCCATTTGTGATTCATGATGGCTACGCATCCCTCGCCGGTACTCTTAGTTGGTTCCCCAGCCCCCCAATTGGTGTAGGTGACTGGCCAGCCAGATTGTACCCACGTATAGGTACCCGAAGACTAAATCAAAGTATGTTTTTTTTTCTTATTTCTAACAATACTCATTAAAATTTTGCAAAATCTGGAAAATTCGAGATATATTGTAATGTTAAGGTTGTTATCATGCAAATGGCATCGTATTGGCTATCAATATGAACAAACGCTTAGAAAAATCTATAATCATCATTATGCACTTGAAATGGAAGTATTGAAATTATTTATTAAATCTATTGATTCTTGACTCTTCAGTACTTACAGTCTGGTCCGCCATTCCAATCCAATATCCATTAGGAGCGAGATCTCCCGCCAAAGACTGAACAAACCCGTCCTCATACACGTTGCTTATCACCACTAGCTGCGCATTGTTCTGCTGACACACTTGTTGCGCCTGCGTCCAGGAGCCAGCAGCACCGTTTGGCGGGAAATATCGATAACAGCTGGCCCCGAAAGCAGCGAATCCCGAGGGACAAGCTCCCTGGACAGAAGCAACAGCAACGCCGGTCTCTGCAGGGGTAAGATTTCTAAATTACTTAAATTATAAGTTAATTAATCTAAGCAAAGCGTGCCATTGTAATGTCATCCAGAATAAAATTGCATATTAATTTTGTATTTTTAATGACAGACATTGTATGAACCAATTTTTGGATTTTTCGGATTTCAAGTACTGTCTTTTTATTACAAATCATAATTTGAATTGAATAACATAGATAAACAGTTTTGTCAACGTTTAAAAATTTGTATTCAAATCAATTGTTCGTATCAAGAATGATATGACTGGTAAAGCCCAATATATATTGTAAACTAATTATTATTAGCGACTTCTATTCGCGAATTTTTGTTTAAAATGTTTTTGCGACGATTCTATTTCGCGAACTGAGAATTACTACAAGAAAGATGAAGAAAGACAGAAAGAAATTTTCTCAAGTAACAGAAGATCGCAAGTCGCGCGAATTTTTCTTGCATGCGAATAATAATTGGTTTACAGTAAACAACTGTGCAAGGCTGTCCAACAATTTGAAAGTGTGAAAAAAACACAAACACGAGAATTTAGGTATGTAATCAGTATGAATAAATACTATAATAGTCTTAGATTAAAGTAAAGATTATTTAGAATCTAAATTGTTGTACAATTACACAAAACACAATAGCTCAGTCTGATGAAATATACAGTATCCATTTCATTATCAAAATACGTATATCTTGAAAATGTAAAAGTGATTATTTGTGATCTGTGCACTCATTGTATATAATTGAACCGTGTGTAATGCCTGTGATAATGAATAAACATGATGCAGAATTTAAAATCATTAAAAAATATTCGAAAATGGAAATGCTTAGTTTTTTAAATTTTCATTTTTTTTCATTTTTAAATTCCAATTATTTGTTATTCTATTATTGATTACAAATGACATACTAGTAATTATGCATACAAGTAACAAATGTCATTTTTTCCGACATCAAACAAAATGGAGGTAATTTAGTTTTAAAGAAATTCTAGATGAATATAATTCAGATAATTTAAAAATTAAAAATTAGAGAAATTAAAACTTGTGTTAATAAAATATAATGAAATTAGTTTAAATAAAAAATATTGAAATAAGTTGAAATGAAAATTATAAAAATTAGTTGATATAATGAGATGAAGAGCCTGATTAGTGCTCTTTAGCGTAAACTGCTTGTGCCATGATTTGTTGTGGCTTACGTCGATGTTGCTGACAAACAAAATTTCGCATTGCGCCACATTGTTTATCATTCCATTGACCAGCGGCGCTGTTGGAGGCGTACATTTCAACACAACGCTCCTGTACAAACAAGATTTGTGCACATGTAAGGACAGACCAAAGGAGTAACATATTCAGACATGAAATCTGTGGAAGCATTTGAATTCGTGGGGGTCAATGTTCGTAGACAGGCATACTTTTACTTGTAAGTGAGAACTTAATTTCGTGGTTGAATCATTTATACAGTAGTTGCAATGAATCAATATGCTAAAATTTTGCTAAAAATCCACGAACTTTGGTCCCCTATGAACAATAATGATACCACAGTACTTTACAAACAGTGACATATATAGAACATTCCCCAAATGTCTACCATAGTTCCTTCTGTTGTAAAAACTCGTTTTCAAATTAATTTCTGTCTCTGTATTTTGAGATTTTTTTTTCTAGCACATTTTGTACTTGCATGCCATTCATGAGATTTTCAAAAGAATATGTTGGAAGTATGGTAGAGTCAAAATCCACAATAGCTGTTTCGTTTTCGTGTTTTTAGTTCTGAAAATGGAGAATCCCAAGACAACAGCATTTTACATGGTCTGCGATTCTGCAGCTGAAACGAATATTTATAACTGGGGAATGTGATTTCTAAACTTGAAGACAGTAGTTGCAGTGCATGATGGGTATTGCCACGTGACTTACGCCGATGTTGCTGGCACACAAAGCCTCGGTTTTGACCACACACCGCGTCATTCCAACGCCCCGCCCTGTCAGAATCTATATAAAGCTCGGCACAATCTTCCTGAGAAACAAGTCACGAACACCACAAACATAAAACTATGATTTATATCGTAGCCCTTCAAAAGCCAATTCATCTATGAATTGTAGTATTTTTTCAGAATTATGTAATCATTAACCTTCTATATAAACCCAATATTTATTTATTTATTTGCTAGAGAATTCCTATGCAAATATCACAGTTCACAGTTCGAATGAATTCCTTAAAATAAAATCCAACATGTGTTTTCCTACCGACTCCAAATCATCTCTATTGTAAAACTTAATCTAGTTGCCTAACTTTGAAATACATTAGAAAGTTCCTTTGAGTTGGAGATGTACAAAGCCTGTTAAATTGAAATATTACAAATAAAACTTTTAAATCTTTGATATTCAAAATGAGAGCAGCCATGATGAGAGTCATGCATAATCACATGCAGTAAGCAATCAATGTTACCTACCGAGTTCCATTTGACGTTGGATCCGTCAGGTGCGTTGTTGGGTTCTCCTTTGTACCAGTTGACGAACGTCAGAGGAGAGTTGTCTGCCCATGTAAACCTACGTGACTGACGTAAGTCATTTAGACCAATCCAGAGAGTCAATCTGGGATCTTTGTCATATAGCATCGAATTCAAAAATACTGGAAAATATATAGGAAACCCATTCTTTTTTTTCAAAACGATATTTAACCAGAGGTCCATGGGGTTTTGAAAGTCCAATATCACAAATCTCTTTGATGCTATCGAGTAGAAATTTTTTTATGATAAACTACATGTAAATCTTCCCTTCATATAAGGACATTTTTGCTCCTTTTTTGCACCTTTTCTACTCAATACAAGTCGGTTCATTAATTTTGACAAAATTCAAAGAAGGGATTAGTAACTTCCTTAATACAAATATACCTGCGTTCATGTAAAATGAGACCAAAATGTTTGGTAAGTGTAATTAGTTGAGAACAACATAGGTCGAAAATCACCTTGTACACAGTAGTGAATTTCAAACTTGTTTTAAGATCTCTTCGCATTTGATGTAGTGTCAGCATTTACTGACATGTAGCAAATTTCTGGTAACTTGGAACAAATTATTGGATCATTCTGGAGGTCAATTTAAAATACGATCATATTTCTTCCAGATATTTTTAAAAAGCGGCTTACGTTGTTCCTGCAGACTGCTGATGGTTGCTAAGGTCGCTCCTGGATAAGCAGTCCTACATGCAGACACAGCATCCGTCCAGTTCACTTTGTTTTGGACAATGAAGAAACATCTATTGGCTGTATAGGTAAAACTTTATTTAATTTCAGTAAAAGTGCATGAGAGTAACTTGAAAACATAATCTACAGATTTCTGAAATTAAGAACTCTTAGCACATTTTCCTCCTTTTCCATCTCTCTTTTTTGTTTCCTATATTTTAATGTTAAATATTTTGATGGGAAATTGTATCTTCGTTGCATTTTTCAAGATTATAGACGATCAAGAAAGAATTAATTGCGTCGGGGATTAACATATGTGATAAATTCTGATAACTTTACGTCTGAAAAAAGCGGTGCACATGGGAAAATTACATTTGAAAATAACAAAATGTAGTACACAATACTGTATTGAGTTTAACGAACAATGTGGGGCGCGGAGTTGAACTTATTAACGATGTCAGACGTGATTTTTGAAATGGAATTTAACTCACAATGTGGGACGGGTTTGAAATTAGGATTTGGACAGCCAGCGGCGATGATGGCAGTGGTTCCTGGATTGATTGGTTTGGTACTTCCAGTCACTGGTCTCTTACAAATATAGTTTTTCTTCATGTTGCAATTGTCGTCGTTCCATTCTGTTAAAGAATGTATACAACATGAGTCTTAAAGTCTATATTCTGGAAAGAAACCAGCATGGGGCCCATGAGCAAATTTGCATTGGGCCAACGTCAGATTTAACGTTGATCCAACGTTATCAACAATTGATTGAACGCCATCCTTGACATAACTTAATCAGGCTTTCTGGATAGAAGTTCTCAGATTCAGTAATAAAATAAAATCACGTGTTAATATGACTGGATGGAAAAAGTCAATGAAGATATGTTTGTATACAGAAAAGTAATAAACTGGTTTTTAATAAAAACTTAATTACTTCCGCCTGTCCAGAAGGGCATAGTGACACAGTTTTCCCCGCCGCCATAGTCATTTGGTTCATGAGGACTCCAGCTGACAAAGTCCAATAAACTACCGTCTGTCCACCTAAAAAGCGCGGGAAAATTCTTAAGGACAGATACAAAATATCATGTCTACGTTTTGAATACACGTACATATAAAGTGGTCTTTTCAAAATAAAAACAAATACACGTATATGGTTTGACATATAATTCAGCTATTGATTTACTTCCAGACTTCATTCAATTCAAATACCGCGTAATCAAGATCATTCAGATTATTTTTTTACTAGCCTGAAAGGGGTGAGGTTTACTGTAAATTTTCAAGTTGATGAATTCTTTCCAATTGCAAAAGTCATGAAATTTGTTTTGCATACTGACAATGCTTTTATTTTTATAATTGCATACGTTGATAAGTTGATGAAGTGTAAACTTACACATATTTACTGTTATACTCGATATCATTTAGTCCAATCCAGTAGTCCACCGTTCGTTTGGTCTTTGTATACTGAAGAATAGATGTTTATTTAAAATTAATTTCTTACTAAAGGTCAAAACATATCAAACAAAAGAAAAATTATTGAATCCTTAAAATACATGACTGTACAAGAAACTTTATACATTGTACTTCCAAGATCGTATTAATTAAAGCTATTGCAATATACATACTTGTATATGCAGCGTATAAATAGGTGGACGTGTTTAGATTTTCACTATATTTTAAATCTAAGCTTAAATTTTTACTAAAAGACCTCACCGTTTGAGGAAATAATCGAGTGCTTTGTTAAACCAATGTAAAACGAATGAGAAACTGACAAATTGGTTTCTGACCGTTAGAGCAATGCTTATGTATACGGTGTCTTGAGTACGTCTGGTTTGTCTGTTTCACGTCCAGTTGTAACACAGGACAATACAATTGAACATCAACGAAAGTACACGGACTCTGAGCACTAGCGACAGTTTTCACTGGTACACAGGTCCAAGCGTACACTTCAGAGAGCCAAGCGAATGAATTTCGCAAATATGTTTGCAAACGCACTTCAAACGCAACTACCGTATTTATTAGACCTATTTTTCCCCGCTGGTGATTTCCACTGAAAATTGTTAGCATGCACAAAACTGATAAAATAAACTTTATTGGACTTCTTCATTAATTGAGTGTATTCACAGACTAAGAAATGGAAAAGAAATATATATCTATGCAAATGGAGGCGAACAGATTGAAAATGTAATCTGTTTGAAGTCCTTTAGCTAGTCAGGTGATTTGTTATTGAATCCCTAATTTTACCTGTCCAACAAGCATGTTGTCTTCATCTTGACTGTGAATACTGGCCAATTCTGCTCCCATCTGATTACACGTGGATCTAGCATCAAACCAGGTCATGAGCGTAGTGCCATTACCAATGTAATAACAGAACTGATTATAGAAAACCCATCCTGTTCCACACGATCCAGCTAATAAAACAGAGCATTGAATGAACATATTTTTAAATTATTTAAATTAAAATTTGAAAGATCCGAAATAGAGAAGGGAAGACTTACATGATGAGGCCGTAGGTAGTACTGCTGTTGTAGAGAGTTGCACCCCTTTAGCGACTTTACACACGAACGGCTTACTGAAGAAACAGTTGACGTCATTCCAACCTCCAATGCCGCGAGTCAGTTCAACGCAATCTTCCGTATCGGCAAAGTTATTAGGCTCTCCTCGGTTCCATTGAGTATAATCTGTGGCACTTCCGTCTGTCCACTTGTGTCCTTAAATGACAGTGATTTGATAGTCAATTTGTAAATTTAATTTACCTTTAAGGCGATAGGGAAAACATTTAAGACAAGTACTCACCACTTTCGACATCTCTGTCATTCAGTCCAATCCAGATGTTGACAGATGCCGATCTGTATTGAAAAATTATTAACAATTTTCATTAAAAGATATTAAAGTCAACTAGCTATCACTTCATTCCTAGAGCATACACTGTAATTTCTCTTCATTTTTAAATGACATGTAATATGAATAAAAATTTATTATAAACCGTTTCAAATTACCTTACATTTGCTGTTTTGACACAATATACTCGTAAACCTAAAAGACATGATTTTTGTCTTACCGTGTTAAAGTCTTAATAAAACTGTTTTCCCCTGCACTGTGGATGCTGGCTAGGTCCCCTCCGTAACCTTGACAGTAATCCCTGGCCTGGGTAAACGACATCCACTGAGTGTTGTCTGTCAGTCCTATTGCCTGTTACAAAATGTACATTTATGATTAAATAAACCGTTTCCCTTATTCCTTGATTGCATTGTAGACTTTTTTTATCATGAAAAGTCTCTTGTCTGAATCTACACTAAGCCAAGATGTTGAAAGTTTAAAGAACTTAGAATTTTGTTATTGATACAGAGTTATAAAAGAAGATATAATAAATTCTGCCCCATTGCAAACAACCAATCAACGCTTTGTTGGGTCTTGAGGTTTCAGTTGGTCAAACATAATTTGGCTGATACTGTATAAAGGGCACGGTTTACCTTATAACAGTAAGACTGGTAGCCGCTGTAACCCCCGGGGCAGGGTAGACTGGCTGGGGGTGTTGTGATGGCGGGGGTGGTGAAGCCCTGTCTTGGGAGCTGGCAGATAAAGTGGTGCTGGTCTGTGCAATTCAAGTTCTCCCAAAGTCCTTTTGGATGACGGCTTGTTAACGCCACACAAGATGCAATTTCATTCCCTACACATTCAAAGTTTTTTTCTTAAAATGCAGTTTAACATTTCTTATTCAAAAGGAAAGCAAAGTTTCATATCATCGTCGCAAACCACATCCAAGACGTACGATCCTCTCCTATTTTGGAGAGAGAGTCATGGCACGAGACTTTAATGATTTACATGTACATGTATAAACTAATTAAAAATTATTCAAAGGACTAGTACTGTACCAGTATGGGTAGCAACCCAGTTGGAGTATGTAACAGGTACTCCGTTGACCCACTTGTAAGTTCCCTGGGTCTGGGTGTCAGACAATCCGATCCAGAAATAGTCCGTCTGATAGGACATGTAAGCAGACAGGAAGGCTTCTGTGAATCTGTTACAAAAGGAGCTTATCAGGAGACGTTAATTGACATTTTCTTTAAACTTCCTCTGGATACTTCAAGTATTGAGGCAGATTCCACCTTAGATTTTTGTATTACAATTTTTTAAGAAAATGACAACTTTAAGTCCGGCTGATGTCGGGAGAGGGGGGTTAACTCTATACAACATTGTTCATCCAAGAAAACACTTAGAATTTGATTTGAAATAAATATTAATATGAATCTTAAAATATTCCCTTAAATTTTTTAGATTTTTTATGCTATCACCTGTCATTTATGGAAGCCAGTGTCCCGTGGAAAGCATTGACGCAAATTTTTTGAGCATCCTGCCAAGTTTTGGTCTGATAGACAAATCGGTAACAATAGCTTCCATACCCGTACGCAGGCTACAAGTAAATCAAAAACATATCTCATTTTTATAGATGTTTGTAAATGGTTAGAAAGTGTGACATATAAAACACCAATGTTTTTCCTTCGTGAGGAAAAACTAATTAATGCCATGATAAAATTAATATGAATTGAACGGTTCTAAGAACATATAGAATTTTTTTCTTTCGGGATAAAAGTTAAAGAAACATGCACATTGAATAACAAAATCAATACAAAAGTATTGTCAAATTAAGTTCCAGTCCATATAAAAATCATGCAAAAGGTGATTCACTCGGGTTCTCAGAATTCAATGATTTTCCACACATAGATTTCTCTTGACCTATGATCCATGTATGTTAAATAAAAAATGTGTTGGATCATGGTTACTATGGAAACCTGATCAAAGTAATTTCCTTAGCAACCAGCCAATTTTTCAATTTGAAGGCACTGAAAATCACTGATCTTTAAAGCCTGAAATTATATATAAAAACTTTAACAATAATTCTCATTTACTGGTATGATAAAGACACACACTTTATTTGTTTAAAACACACAAAACATTGATATTTTATCTGAAGCTATTACTATGGTAGACATTAGAATATATGTATGTTTTTGCATTTTTGCTGATTCAGCATTTTCCTTGATTTTGACAATATTCAAGGTCAATTTAAAAAAAATACCAAGCTAATATAGATTCTGCATGACTTTCACATAAAAGTAGAGGATTTCTCTTTTACAAATTGACTTTGAAAGCGTGGGTTTTTTGAAAAGTCCTATCCGTTGCCTAGCAACAAAATTGGATGTTTTGATAACTAAAAAGTGAAAAATGGTAAAGGATTGGGTTAAAAATCTTATAAATTTTTATCTTTTTGTGGCAGATACAATTTTTCAAGCAATAGAAAATAACTCTCATATAATTTTAAAATGAAAGAATAATTTATAATCATTAATCTCCATGGCAACAGAAAATTTTCCCTAGCAACAATGCAAAAACAGTTATTTTTGGCCTTTTTGGTATAGATTTTGATAGATACGAATAGATATTTTTCTTAAAAATGCAATTGGGCATAAATGTCAATTTAATATTGGTCTTATAAAGTTATTTTGGTACTTTATTAACCCATGGGTATAATTCTGAATACCTAGCGACCACTTTTGTATCCACTTTACCTTTTTACATACAGTCATTTATTTTGAAAGTTGAAATGAGATTTTCCAAAAAAAAGGCCTTCTGAATGAAAAATAAAAACAAATAGATACAAGTAGTATATATCAAAATATCTCTGTTGATGAAAAGATTCCATAGAGTAATTAATTCTTGGGTTGCCATGGTAATAAGTTGCAAACTGGCCAAAAAACAAACTTTTGTTTGCAAAGTAGACTACAGCTGTACTTGGCCCCCAGTTTTTGTTTAATGGGCAAAACTAACTGGTTATTCAAGTATCTTTAGCATTCGTTTTTCTACATAAAGTATATTTTTTATGATTGCCATGGATACGATAACGTGATATTGAATTAATGTAGCTTAGGTACTATTCTATTAGCTGCAGAACTGTAGCTCTCTGCTTGAGAAAATTCGGACAGATAAAGCAGAGAGCTACAGAACCAAGCGTTGTAAAAACCTGCGATTTACGCCGACGATTTTTTGTCGCTCACGTCAATTTTTTTTTCTATTTTATACTTCCCTCAGCTTTAAAAAGGTATTTTATAATTATAATTTTCCATTTAACTTAAATTCTTGATAATGTACTTACCATTCAATGCTAACAAATGGCTGTTTTTGGTTACGGACGTCAAAATGAAACTCTTTTAAACCGACATTACAATATTAAATACAGGACGGTTTCAGACCATTAAAAGGTAAATAAACTTTAATAAAGTATCAAAAATAAGAGTTAAATATATGATTAATTATAGGATACAATTCTAAAAGCCAGAGAAAGTTTAAACTACACGATATAAATACCTGAAGTAGCGACAAAAAATCGGCGGCGTAAATCGAAGGTTTTTACAACGCTAGGATCTGTAGCTCTCTGCTTTATCTGTCCGAATTTTCTAAAGCAGAGAGGTACAGTTCTGCAGCTACTATTCTATGTGAAAGATAAAGGCTCTCATAAAGCTTTGTTAAATTTTACAGGCAAGAACCTCTACGAATTTTTGTGAAACCTTGTTAAGATTTCTCTAGAGGTTGAAACTTATTTATGAAATTTTTTGTGAAAAGGTCTATTGGTTTTGCAAGTATCTGGAAATCAATCTCTGAACCTTGAAATGGAAGATTGATTGATTGATTGATTGATTGATTGTATGTTGTTTAATGGCCCACTCGAGAATTCTTCATTTTTATGGAGACGCCACCACTTGCCGGTGGAGAGCTGCTATCCTAGGCTATACTCGGCACTTACGGTCCTTTCAAGAGCAGTGATGGATCTTTTTCGTGCCGGCACCTATTGCGACATGGGACCTTGGTTTATACGGTCTCATCCAAGTTCAGCTGAATATTATAAACTTGATGCCCATTTGTTCTATTGGTTTCTCATTTTTCACCGCAGATTGAAATAACAGTAAAACACAGAATGCTTATAAAGCAGAGTCATTGAGCTGTGTCATTGTCAAGTCCACTCTAGAATTCATTATTTTGAATTGAGACCGCCACCACCACCCTACAGTACTTTCTTATTAATAATTTATCAATTCAGCAAATTAAAGTTACAGCGGTTCTGATATCTACCTCTGTGTTTTATGATGGCTACAGCGCTAACTCACCTCTCTTTTTAAAAGAATTGTTTGTAAGTACTACCAGTGTAAGTACTACTAATAGTGATATGGTAATGTCTTTTCCCATTTCAGTCGCCCGCGTGGCGCAGTCGTTAGAGCATCTGCTCTAGAGACGAAAAGTAAGGAGCTGATCCTTACGTCGCGGGTTCGAATCCCACTGTGGGACGTGGAGATTGGTCCTTTGACCTTGACATTGGAATTTGACCTACTTTTCAAATACAACTTTGAACATAATTTTTGAAAGGTTAGAACACAGGCTTTCATATTTCAAGTATTCAACCCTTGTATCAAGATCTATCATTTGATATCAAGATCCTTGACCACTTGACCTTGGAGTTTGACCCTATTTTACACAAGAAATCCAAACTTTTACTTTGGCTCTAATTTTTAAACGGTAGTAAGAATTTCATATTTCAAAGATCAATTTTTTGTGGCAATACCTTTCATTTCAAACCAACTATTTTCGTCTTTTGACCTTGATCTTGGACATACCATACTTACGAAAAAACTTTGGACAAATCTTTGAACAGTAAAGGCTAGATCTTTCACACTTTACCTATGTAATCCTTGTGACAAGACCTTTCATCAAATATTAACAAATTTGACCTTGACCTTGGAGTTTGACCTATTTTTTTTTTTACAAATTTTAACCTCGGCAATAACTTTTGAACGTTAAGGGCCAGCATTTCATACTTCCCATATATGTAATCTTTGGAACAAGGTCTTTCTTTAGAAACCAACAACCTTGACCCTTTAAACTTGCCCCTGGAATTTGTCCTACCTTTAAAAGCGTTAACCTTGATCATAACCTTTGAATAGGTGGTGCTAGGGTTTTATATTTCACAATTGTATAATATTTCAATATTTTACCTCGGAGAACTACATTAGTTCAATATGCACTACGTTACTCTCTGTGCCTTTGTAAAGGAAACATATAAATATATGTTTGATTATATCTTAATTTGATAATTATATAAAATAAATTCGTCTAATCATTTGTGTGATATTTATTGAAAGCGATACTCAAGATATCTATTCATGTACTGTCATTTTCAATATGCATTTTGATTTCATATTAATTTCTTCATTTTTAGAGAGAGAAGTGCGTTATTTTCTAGATAAAAGATCCAATAGGCCCACATTGCTCACTTAAGTACGAAAGCCGGATAGGCTCATTTTTAAAAAGAAAAAAAAATATTTAATTCGTTATAACGAGTTAGTTATCTAGTTATAACGAGTTAGTATCTCGTTATAACGAGTTAGTATCTCGTTATAACGACTTAGTTATCTCGTTATAACGACTTAATATCTCGTTATAACGAATTGGTTATCTCGTTATAACAACTTAGTTATCTCGTCATAACGAGTTAATCATCTCGTTATAACGAGTTAATTATCTCGTTATAACGAGTTAGTATCTCTTTATAACGAATTAATTATCTCATTATAACGACTTAGTTATCTCGTTATAACGAATTAGTTATCTCGTTATAACGACTTAGTTATCTCGTTAAAAGCAAAAAAAATCAACCACAGAAAGAACTGTATAATACATTGAATAAACATCTTTTCTAGAAACCATAAAACTCTGGAAAATCCAGACAAGAAACTTAAGGGCAAGGTTCCGAAGGTTTGTCGATATGATTATTTAGAGCAAACCTACGTACGCATTGACCTTACATTCTAAGTTAATGTCTCTATTAATAATGAGGGACTAGAATGGCAACATACCCAGGTACATCCCACTGATTCAGGCTTGGGCGTGGCAGACATCAAGGTCATAGGTTTTTTACAAATGAAGCCATCAGCTGGATTCTGACATATGGCATCGTTCCATTGACCATTCTATTTAAAATAGAAAAAAGCCATCATTTTCATGAATATAATGAAGAAGATCCACTAGTAAGCAAAATAATTCTTTCTACTTTGTTACTCATGATTTTTATTGAATATAATCATGCAAAACAAAATTTTAATACATTTTTTTCTTTGTAAGTGCAAAGAATACCTCATAAACGTTGTTATCTACAGGAATGTTATGAAAGAAAAATTTGGCGAGTTCTTGACCATAAAAATAAAATTTTCTATTAAAAAAAAAATTATCATTCGGTAACAAAACGGATTTACTCAGAGATACCGTTGCTCTGAATGCGTACCGTTCTAAGCATGACAACGCAGTCTTCATTTTTATGCCCATAATTATTTGGTTCGCGTGCCGCCCAATTTGTATACAAAACAGGACTCCCATCGGACCAAAAGAAGGTCATCTGGTTTGCAAGGTCATTTAGTCCAATCCAGTAGCCATATCCGTCTGAATCAGAAGTAAAAGAAACCGTTAAATTTATTATTTTTTGTATTTTGGTAACATTATCCCCAAAATTCATGGAGAACAATATTCTACCCAAACCATTTCCAAAATCCATCTGTATACTAATTCAAGGACAGCTAGTTCAACGCAATAAAGATTTATCACAACAAAGAAGTTGCTCAGTATTTCAATAATGGAATGAATAACTATGACTAGAATAAAATCAACCTCCAGATATAGAGTAAAAAACAAATGCCAAATACATAAACCGTTATAAATGTTACCACCATTCCTAACTTAAGTGGCCTGCGATACCACTAAGTAATCTATATCCATATCATTACAGAACAATCAGATACAAAAAAACTCATCTCACTACGTAGCTCTTTAGCAAAAACAGATACATTAACTTTCATTAACTTCTGCATGTACCCCCGCTATCCCCTCTTCAATGAAAGAATCAGGAAAAAACTACCTCTGTTTTGAAATTGTTTCTTTCTTGACAACACAATTATATTCAGAAACAATATAATTACAATAATACCTATTACATACATGCGATCAGTAACCGCGTCAGATGACAGAACTTTAACCTTTAAAGATAATATGATAACTTTCCAGATACAATTTTTCAAAAGAATCCAAGATAAAAAGAAATTTAAAACTTACACTTTGGAATCATGGTCATTACGAAGTTTTGCTCCTCTCTACTATTTATAGTGGCTAGTAATGACCCTTGACGATGGCAGAAACTTTTTGCGGCGTTCCAGTTCTGTCGTATTTGCCACAGGTGATAACAGTTTCCTTGGAAGGGCTGGTAGCCATCTTGACATCCCATGACATACCCCGCCTTCGTGACCACAGGAGGGGGAGGGGTGGTGGTAGTACGCTGGCTGGCTGAAAGGGGACAAAGGGTCAAAAGTTAAAAACAGGACAATGATTAACATAACTTTACAAATATTAAAAAAAACCATATGACATAATGATGTATTGAAAAGAAATTTAATTGAATATTTTGTTTGAAATTACCTTGTAGATCTGACTTTAATATAAACAATAAAAACACAACAATATATAGATTCAATTGAAGTCAAACTTCCGTAAAATCCATGATTAAAAATTTTAAGTTTAGTTTGCAATAAGCTCGTTCATTTATATACACTGTACTATAAACAAGTCTCCAAATAATGTGCTTTGCAAAAGAGCTATCCTGTTAAGCACACACTATTCTATTCTTTAATTCTAATTTCTTGTTTCCCTATATTTACATTGCTTTTTACAGATGAAGCCGTTCCTTCCGTTGCAAGGACTGTCGTTCCAGTAGGAAGTGGAGGTGTACATGTTGCCACAATCCTCGTTTCTATTCCTGTAGTTGTTAGGCTCGCCTGTAACATAATACATGTACCATCATAATAAAGCCTTACAAGTAGGCGGCTGATAATAAAGTCCTTCGAGGACAGGTGGATAAAGTCTTAGAAACACAGTTTGAGAAAGGAGATGGGTGAACATGACGAGAGATAGGCCCATCGCGCAACAAACATGAAGGTGAAAAATAATTTTCCTTAATATTTCATCTAACAATAAAGTATACTTTAAGTAAAATCTCTACAACTTGCAACAATCTCATGAAGATTGAAGTTATTTGCCTATGAAATATTATACACACACGAAAGAGGACAAAACGAGTCATTTTTTCACACTATAACACTATTTTTTTTTATATGAGTGGGTCTTCTCTTCATTTTTTGAAAGTTAATCCTCAAAGTTTGTATACAAACATACATATTTTGATTTCCAAAATTATGGAGCAAAGACCCACTATACTTTAAAAATATAGTTTTATGACATAACTTTCATATCTTTTCGAGAAATACTTAAGTCCTTTAACTCAATGGTCAGATCACAAATATGATTTAAATGCCACAAACTTTCAGGACTTGTGTAGCGTAGTATTTAGCGTGCTAATCTCAATAGAGAATGCAACTCAGGATTTTAATTGCTAGGGTTTAAACAAAATGGAAACCACATTTTTTTAATAAAAGAAAAAATTTCAACGAAAAATTTTCCACAAAACTTTTTGTTTATCATGATTTCATAAAAATCAATGATGAGAACTTTACTCTGCATACTAAATTGACAAGTTGAATATGATTTTTAAATATCTGAAGCTAGTGGGCTTTTTGCATGCTGAGTTTACCCATCTCCTTTACTATTAAAAACACTCTAGCTACTGTCATACAAAAACAGTTATAGTAAGAAAGTATAATTTGCTCAATTAATTAGGAAAATTTAGCCATTTGGCCAGTTACATGTAAGATAAATATAAAAATTTGCCAAATTAAGATAAATATACTGAGTTAACATTTGACCTGTTAAGGTTAAGTATTATATACATGTACCATTTGCCCAGTGGAGATAAGCTACAGGTGAACCGTCAACCCATACAAATTTGTTCTCTGTCGCTCTGTCATTTATCCCAATCCACAGAGCTATAGAATTCATATTGTTGATCTTTCCTACAAAGACATTAAAAACAAAACAATTTCAAAGACTGCATTTTACGAGTATTTGTGTTTTACATATCATCTCTGCAGTGGTTATGTATTATGACCAAAACAGTAGTTTTCTTATCTGTAAAATGTATTTAATATTTTAATATGTCTTGCAGATTTTACAGCTGATATTCAACAGGGAGAACATAGTCAATGCACATAACCAGACATTTCTCTCCTTTTCAACTGTTTGCATGATTTTCATCATATACACTTCCAAATTGAAAAGGACCACATCATAATTCAATACACTGGTCATAAGTTCTATGCCTTTCCTTACCGGCAATGTAGGCCTGTTCTACTCGGGACTCGATACTGGCCAGATCTCCTCCTCCGTTCCTACAGACTTCTCTGGCATCCATCCAGTCCAACTGTTTGTCATAGAACTGGTAACAATTGTTAGAATTTGGATCCTCCTCCCAGTTCAAACCACAGCGGACACTTATAGGCACTACAAAGGTCAAGGAATATAAAAGACCTTCAAAAGACTAAGGTATGACAACTTATTTACAATTTTCTGTACCCTATTTCTCAGACCAGGAGTATAATTTTAAGTTTCCAAATTCTTTTGGCAAAGTACAGTCACGTTAGTTTCTACATTTTTTTGGTAAGAGATACATTTATTAAAATCATAAAGTTATTGAAGTACATGTCTGTAGCAATATATTTTTGTCTCAAGCTAGGACACACTTGTTAGACAGTTTTTTTTTAAACTTTGTTAAAAATAAATATATTATCTAATCCTTTAGCTCTACATGTACTCTTATAATGTGATTTTCTCACGGGCGCTAGACATCTTTGATAAAAAATAAATACTGTCTAGTACTTAGCTTACATGTGTGTAGAAAAATTAAGAAAAATAAGATGAATATTATAATGTTAAACTCTAATGAAAATAACAAAGGAGAGTATACAGTATATAATGAAAACAAGCCCGATCTTGTATTTCATTTCACTGGAAGTATAAAGATTAAATTCTACTCACTGGCTGCAGTAGTCGAGACGCTGACAGGGAGCTGGGCATTACCTGAAAAGAAGATTTATAAAAGAATTTTTAAAAATACACGAATTTATATGAAAATAAATAAAGAAAAGGTGTTTTGTTAAAGAAAAAGATGTTTTTCCTGTAAAAATCTTTTTATCATATGAATTTTGAATGTAAACTGACTTGCTGGTTTTTGGCAGATAAAACGGACAAGGGTGGAGCATTGACGATCGTTCCATTTTCCTTGATGGTTCATAAAATTCATCTCCACACAGTTCTCAGTCCCCAGATTGTTTGGTTCGTGGGCATTCCAATGATAGTACTTGCTGCCCTACAAATATAATTACCAAACGGTTATGTTGTGGTTTTTGCAAGACTGAATTTTATATACATGTATTAGCATATTGCAGTGAAAAATAATTTTACGATCAATTTTAATTAATCTATGTTAATTTCTGTTGTTTTGAAATAATTATACAAGAGTATACTGACGGTGGTTCCATCCAGCCATTGCCAGCGACCTTCCTGGGTTCTGTCATTTAATCCGATCCAGTATTCCTTTCCATGGGACTGTCCTTAAAGTACAAAGAAGGTGGGCAAATAAAATGTGGATTTCATCTCAAAGGAAGAGAAAAAAAAAATTATTTTCTCAGTTTGCAATGACTTACTGAGAATGTAAGATTGGATGGTTGCTGAGTTAATGGTAACTAGATCCGCCCCTGCATTTTGGCAAGTTTGGCGGGCATTAAGCCATGATAATCTGGTGTCATTAAACTGGTAACAGTTTCCATTGAAAAGCAACCAGTGGCCAGTACATTTAAACTGGGCTGCCAAAGAAAGTAAAAAATTAAAATAAAATTCAATAATTCATTATACAATATTGAAATGATTTTTAAAAATGCGATAATTAATTGTAAAATATTAAAATGATTAAATAAAATTCAATAATTCATTGTAAGATATTTTTTCCTTGCAATAAAATAAAATTAAGATATACATGGGATAGAAATTTAAAATAAAAATTATAAAAAAAAAATTATGGAGAGAACGATCATAGGCAGTTATACCTGCTGTTCAATCCATTTCTATGAATAAAATTTATTTTAAACTAATAAAATAACAATTATTAATGTTATCATGAAGCTATGTTTTAAATCACTCTTTTTATTGTGAAATTCATAAATTTGTTCTTATTTAAGAAACAATCATTCAAAAACGTCCCTATAACAATATTCAGACTACTGGGATGATCTTACGTCTGGGCGTGGTTACTGGGTTGACACGTTTACCCATAGGGATTTGACAAACAAACGCCTTTTGTGTAGCACAGTTGTTGGTCGTTCTCCAAGATCCACTCCTGTCACCTAAAAATGAGAATAATAAAACTAATACTTGTGTGTCAAAGAAGATAAAAGTAACTGGACGGAAACTGATTAACAATGAATACGTTTCTTTATTTTTTGGTGGGTGGGAGGTTGGTTGGGCGGGTGGGGGTATGTTTATTGAATGAAAAAGGATAAGGACATATGTAAAAAAAAAAAAAAAAGAATATGGGTCAAATTGAATATAATTGTCTTTGATAGATACCGCTGTAGATATAGCCACAGTCCTGTTTGTTGGGAGTGTTACGGGCAGCATGGTTCCCCGGCCAGTGCTGATAGTGCTGGATGTTTCCTCCATTTGTCCACATCCAGGGACCACCCGTCTTATTGTTGTCTGGAGGAAAGAATTTCATATGTAGACATGCATGCAAACATTGCCATTAAAGGTGATTTAGCGCCTACTAGATTTTGAATATCAGAGGCCAAAAAATTCAAATATGAATTATATAACACCGATGTAATGTCCGAATTCTTTTTGCTCTTATAAAGACATACTTCATTTTGACAAGTCATGGTACATTCGTGACTTCCCAAGGGTTTTGAAGTAAAGTAAAACGATTCATATTTACCATAGGCAGACAGATATAATTGTATACTGTACATTTTAATCAACATGAAAATAATTAGCTAGAAAACGAATTCATGCATTATATATCGAACACATACCAGTGAGTCCAATCCAGAACGAGTCAATGCCTGCTGATTGTAGTTCATCGAGGTACGAATTTAAGAAGTTAGTAAACGTCGTTCTAAAAGATATTTTGTTTACATTAATTTTGACAATGGATATTATAACTTTCAAAGTAAAAAAAACAAAAAAAAACAATAACAATATGCTAAATATACATGACTGTATATATATATATACACAAAATTCACATAAATGTTAAAGGCAATCACCCGTAAATGGAGACAAGATTCCCTCCAGAGCTTTTACAGAACCTGTTGGCCTGATACCAGTTGTACTTAAATCGAATGTTGAATAAGAAGCACAGTTTTTGGTGGGGTACCCAGCCCGGCATACACACACCTGTTTGAAAATCAACCAATCAAACTATTTCAAATATCAAGGTACGTTTAAACACAAACCATTTATGCAATAACAAATCAATTAAGATCTAATCTTAAGCATAATCTCTCTAGAAATAGCTAAGTACGTTTTTCAAGATTCAAATATAAGTACTCATGGAATTACACATTAAAAGTGAAGATTTATTAATTTTGATTTCCGGTGTTACCTATTTTTTTAATTACCTTCTGGTCTCTTGCAGACGAAGCCTTTTCTGACATTACAGTTGTCCGTAGACCAGGATTTGTGATAGTCTTGTTGTCCGTTATTCATCCATACGCAGGTACGGTTCAGCATATTGCTAAAACAAAACAGAATTGACATTCATTCGGTTTCGTTTATAATTCAAAAGATAAATACGTATTACTTAACTGGTCCTCCATACTTAACACTTTAAGGTGGTGGTCTATTCAAGTCACAAAAATTGCAGTGGTCTCTGTACATGTATCAGTGGCTGTGCAGTGGATTAGGTGACTGTATATACGTTTTAAAAATATCAATTTGTCTTAATGTCTAATTCTTTAAATTGTTTTATAAAGACAGTTATTTCTTCCAGCATTATCTAAAAAGTCCATAAAACTTAGACTCAGATATCTTTGTTGTTGTACTCATAGGTGAGAATTACTATCAAATAAAGGCTTCCGCTAAATATGATAATATGTAAACATCAATATCAGAATTTTATAACTATATCTAATTGTCAAATAAAGCTCTGTTTTTTAACCCCCTCACCTCCGGAGAACGGGAGGCTGGCCATTAGCCCAGTACTGAAGTGCTCGATTTGACGTCATCACCGTCCCATTCAACCACTGCCAGTTGTTTGTGTTACCCTACAAATGGACAATATAATACTCAAAAAAAGCATGGAGTATTTTGTGAAAAACAACAATGAGAAAAAAAATTGATAACTTTGCAGAAAGCTTCCTGCTAACCGTCTGAACGCTGTGTAATGCTGTCCACAGAGGGCGCTTAGTGTTTCGGGCGAAATCGTGAATGGCGATTTGATCCTGATCATTGTCAATCTCTACCAGATCTCCTCCATTTCTGGAGCACACTTGGCTACAGTATAAAGTAAACTATGCTTAAGCCAGAAATTTACTATACGAGATTATACGATGAATATTGAATGAAATTTTCACTTAAGGTTTGCTTTTTAGATGGATACATACACCGCGCCACTCCATGTTTGTACATCAGTGGGGTGGACCTGATAACAGAAGTTATTGAATTGTTGCCATCCACGGGTAGCGTCACAAGTCAATGGGGTGCCTGTCAAAAATAAAGTAATAGATTGATTGCTCTTTGCCTTACTGTGTATCTCTTTTTCTAACTAAAAACGAGTTTCAAATATGCCTTCTTTGAGAAAAACTGTCTGAGAAGTCTTCAATTTCCTTGAGATATTTAAACGTCGAATTTGACTCTTAAACAGGTATCATATCTCTTTAACAAGGCATCTATGGGACATAATCGCTCACCTTAGTAATTATGACCCTTCTCTTCTTTATCATCTGTATTGTACAGTTTTTTTTAAACTACTAAGTATTACATATTATAAAATACTGCCCAACCTACCCCAGGGGGTCATGTAGCTCTTCAAGATAAAATACATAAGGATGCTTCCACATAAATATGACTAAGCGTTAAGGAACAGACTTGATAAAATCTTAGCATTGGATTTGATTAATTCAAAATCTACAGGTTCCTTAATTCTTTTACCCTACTGTGGTGATTTTCTGCCTTTGATAAAAAAAATCCAATCCTTCACCCTGTCAGTTCCTGACATTTTCCTGTCTCTTTTCCAGACTTTCTCCTACGAACAGCTTTCGCTGTCCCTGAGCACCTTGTCTACTCGCTGAAGTGCCCCGTAACAAAAACCCATGTTATCCGTGTCTTCTCCCCTGTTGTGCCCTGACTCAACCCCTTTTAACTCTGTCTACTCCCTGACGTGCCCTGACTCAACCCCTGTTAACTCTGTCAACTCCCTGATGTGCCCCGACTCAACCCCTGTTAACTCTGTCTACTCCCTGACGTGTCCTGACTCAACCCCTGTTAACTCTGTCTACTCCCTGACGTGTCCTGACTCAACCCCTGTTAACTCTGTCTACTCCCTGACGTGTCCTGACTCAATCCCTGTTAGCTCTGTTTACTCCATGACGTGCCCTGACCAAACCCCTGTTAACCCTGTCTACTCCCTGACGTCCTCTGACTCAAACCCTGCGAAGCCTGTCTTCTCCCTGACATATCCTAATTCAACCCCTGTTAACCCTGTGCTACTCTCTGGAAATCCCTGACTTAACCCCCTTTAATCCTGTTTACACCCTGACGTTCCCTGCTCAACCCTTGCAGACTCTGTCTACTCCTTCACCCAGTCCGTCCATGACATTTTCCTGTTTCTTTCTTTCTCCTACGAATACCTGTCGCTGTCCTTGAGCACCTTGTCTACTCACCGAAGTGCCCTGACTCAACCCATGTTAACTCTCTCTACATTGTGACGTGCCCTGATTCAACCCCCTAATTATGTTTACAATCTGACGTGCCCTGACTCAACCCTGTTAACTCTGTCTACTCCCTGACGTGCCTTGTCCTAACCCCCAGTTAATTCTGTCTACTCTCTGATGTGCCCTGATTCAACACATTTTAACTCTGTTTATTCCCTGACGTACCCCTGACTCAACCCTTATTAACTCTGTCTACTCCTTAGCGTCTGTTATAAGCCGTGTTAATCCTGTCTACTCTCTGAAAAATTGTCATTTTAAATATCATTTTACCTCTTGGTCTCTCGCAGATGTAAGCATATTTCTGCCAGCACTGAGTGTTGACCAATCCTGCTGTACCACTGATATAAACACAGTGGTCTGTTGTAGACTGGTGAAGATGTGCCCCCGAACTGTAAGTATTCAGGATCGATAGTAAGTATTGTAAGTATTTTCTAATTTGTTGATGTATTTTATGTAATTAAGATAGGAATATTGCACTTTCAATTGAATTGATGTGATGTTAAAATGTTTCAGCATTTTAACTAGTGATGATCAGTTTAACACGTAGCTGATGATCTTAAGGGGAGAACAGTACCAAACTGGTTATCTTTTACACATGTAGCAAGTTGGGGCAATGAATGTGTTTGGGGTAGTGGCTTCAAATATTTAGAGTATATTTATTTTATGTTGTTCTGTATACAAATATTTTGACATATTATACCATCTTTACGAGATATAGACGGTACATGTATAAGAATTTATACTACCATACATGGTATGAGATACCCAAGCACAGAGTTTATCCATTTACAATTTACACCGATTTGCAGCATTACAAAATTATACATTATCATTATTTTGAGAAAATATTTTCTGTTGTATTTAAAATGTATCGTATTGTAAAGGGTTATTGGAAAAAAATAGTTATTGGAACGAAATGGAAAAAATTATCTGAATATGATCATGTAAGTTGTTCTGAATTTTGTTGTTACAAAATTATGGTTATTGTGAACGTGTATTTACCACTGTGACATAACGTACAGCTTTGTATATGGTATAATGTATTTTTTATTACTTTTGATTCATATTTCTATGCTGCATGACTAGGATGTAGTAATTTATTATAGCTTTTTTTGGCAATACTTACTTGGTAGAAGGAAATTAATATATTTAGCAAGAAAAATGATTTCATTGAAGAATGTTATGAATCTGTTTGCTGATGACGCTGTTTAATTGCAAATGGGTTCAGTGGACGAGTTTGCCATGGATGTATGTGCAGTAAAAACATTTTGACATTGGGGAGATAAACAAAGATAAATTTGATAAGGTAACTTACATGATGTCTTGAGTCACTGGTGATTTATCCCCCCACACCCAGGCTTGGGATTGTGGGTTTTTGTTGTTCATACCCAACCACCACTTCGCATTTCTTAAATGATTGTGTTGCACTATGTTTTTAATTGCATTTGTAATATACGTCTGAAGAAAAGAAAACATAGTACAAGACACAATCAAAGTATAAATCGGAGAAATTTTGAATTCATTAATCATTCAAAAAATGGTTGTGTCTTCTAGAACGCAATGAGGTAGTTATTATTTAATGTTCTTTACACTCAGATTAGTCATTTTGCCATTCTCTGACTTAAAACATTTTGCTTTATTGTCCTTTTGTAATTTCCTAACATAAATGAATGACTTACTCTTTCTGAATTGTTTTCAAGCTTGAGAAGATCCCCACCCTGTGATGCACACCATGCTTTCGCTTCATTCCAACTTTTGAGATTCACCCAACGAAATCGATAACATACATTTGCATATGCTGACCAGTACAGTGGACAGTTTTGATTAGTTGATGAAACTGTAAAACCAAATTCGGCATTTTTATATATGGAGCACACAGAAAAAATATTTGATTTAGTTTCACAAGTATGTTCCATCAATATCGGACGCCTCAATTCTTTAACTTGGTTATTTGAATTGCCATGATACTTCTTCATAATATTTGTATATTTTGCCAGGAAAAGACGTTAAAGGTAACTTAATATCAAAATTTAATGATAAACATGATGACTTTCACTTTTTTATCGTCAACTTTCCTTAATTATGAAACAATATACCATAATCACCTGCATGAATATTATGTCTCAGAGTTGATTCAATACGTAAGAGCATGCTCTACGCATGAACAATTTCTAAATTGAGGCAAGCAAGTGACAAACAAATTTATAAAACAAAGATAATCAGTCTCGTTTTAAAATTAACATTTTGCAACTTTTATGGTCGATGTAATGACCTTGCAATTGTCAGCAAATATAATCTGTCCTTAAGTCGTATGCTGGCTGACGTTGTTCATACTACGTGTAATTGTTAGATCATTATTTACACACTGCTTGTCTATTACAGATTTTTCCGATTATATTTTGTCGATGGGATTTTGTGCTTGACTACTTTTCTCTATGTCTTGTTTGCCGCTGATACTTTTTCTTCATAATATGCTGATGTTTTGTCTTTATATGCTAAAACTTCCTAACATAATTAGCACTTTATCATGATATACCGATACTTTAAATATTAAATGCAAATATTGTCAAAGTTTCGGCATTCTATGTACAATGTTGTTAAAGTATTGATCTGCATGTTATATCAAAGTATCTTCATATAATGTCAAAGTATTTGCATATAATATTTAAGTGATAGCATAATATTGTAAAAGTATCAGCATATAATATCAAAATGACTACATAAAACAAAGTATCAAAACATATAATGTGAAGGTGTGAGCATAAAATTTAAAGTTTCTTAAGTTCAACATTAAAGTTGTCTACATTAGGCAGTTGAGGCGTTCCATTGACAAACTATTGCGAAAGACAACCATTTCTATAAAATATTTGAATAATTCAATTTAAGGAATGAATGCACTTCATTGTATTCAAAAAACTCTTGTAAAAGGAGACCTTTATTTGAAAAATATTGAAAATATATAATATATACTCAATTTTCCTTCTCAATTTTACCTTACGAATTAGCAGTTACTAACAGAAAAAATATACTTCAGTTTCTAATTTTTCTTATTTGCTAGTTTGCTGGCAATTTATTCTTGGTTTCGTCATCATTAGACTTTATTTTAAATCCATTTAAATTATACATATTAAGAGCAATGAGCTCACAAATTAACCCCTCACTCCCCCTAAAGATACAGTGAGTAATAGCAAAGTCCATGTGCTACTGAAAAGCCAAAATATGTACCCGATCAAAAGATTAAATAAGAGGTCACATTGATACTATTTCATAAGGATCTGTGAAAGGCTCATTGTTATACCCCCGCTTGAAAGGAGAGAAGATACATAGTGATCGGGATGTCCGTCCGTCCGTTACGCTTTGGGGAACCCATCTCTTATCCGCTACTTCTTTTATACCACTGAATAAAATTTAAGGAAACTTTCACAGAATTTTTATTACATAGTGCCATTGTGGCCTCCTATTTTACTTTTTGATAGGAAACATATTCCGGGTTTCCCATAGCAAAGCATTGACACTGCCATTTTTTCTACAATACTGAAGGATACCCATCTCTTATCCGCAACTTCTCTTATATCACTGAATAAAATTTAATAATACTTTCACTGATTCCTTATTACATAATGTCATTGTGCACCTTCTATTTTACTTTTTGATCGGACACTTAGTTCGGGTCTCCCAGTGCAAAACATGGGCTTTGCCATTATAATCATTCATACGGGAGGCGGAGGATATTATTTAGTGAGTTCAGTGCTCGTGAACAGTACCTCTAGTTTTTTTTAGAGGAGAAGAGCGAGTTGCGGGTAAGAGATGAATACCCAAAATACTATAGAAAGAATCACAGTGGTTATGCTTTGTTATTGAAAACTTAAAGTACACATGAACGTTTTGTCTCATATTTTAAAATTGAAACTAGACGTACTGTGAGCAAAAAGCTCACTAAATGATACCCCCGCCTCCCACATGAATATAATGCCAGTGTCCAGGTTTTGCTATGGGAAATCTAAAATATGTGTCGGATCTAAAAGTAAAGTAGGAGGTGCACAAGAGCAATATGTAATAAAGATTCTGTGAAAGTTTCATTAAATTTCATTCAGTGGTATGAGAGGAGTTGCGGATAAGAGATGGGTACCTCAAAGCGTCACAGACGGACGGACGGGCAGACAGACAGCTGGATGGATGGACGGACATAACGATTACTATATACCCTCCCACTTTTCAAGGGGGTATAATAATGGAGGTATACAATGCATGGGAATACGTAGTAAAGATAATGTGAATGTGACTTCACATTTCATTCAGTTGTATAGGAGATACAGAAAAGAGATGGGTACCCCCAAAGAGGTACAGATGGACACTCCCATTAATATATGTATGTACTCCTGCTTTTCAGGTGGGGGATATAAAATCTAATAGTAAAATTTTTGCAACTATATGTAAGATTTAGTATATAATAAAATTTTCTCGAAACTTTTGGTATGTATATATTTATGAAAACAAATAATCGTGTTTGATCTGGATTAAAGATTGATAAAATACGATTTCAGGTCCTGTTGTACATAGCACGGCAAAAAGGGGGTCAAGATAAGATAACCTGGTGATACAATGAGTTCTAAGTTGTAACCTAATACGACAGAGTACCCGTAACTTATCTACGGTTGAACCGATACAGAAGTACGGGTCAAAACATTGTCTGCCAAGTTATACTGTGTGTTATTATATATTAACTTTGTTTCCTGAGTTTATCAGATTTTAATTTTTTGTTTTGTTTTGTTTGGAAAAAAGTTTAATGATGTCTCTTTTTTTTTATTTTAAGGTGCAAATTTTTAATTACCATTGAAACTGGTCATCAAAATTTAAACTTTATAAATTTCTTTAATACAATAGTATAAAACATTTTTAGTAAATTACAAAAATGATATTTATTTTTAAACCAATATCTCAATTTTTTCAAAGGTTTTTTTCTGCAGATTAAATCAATTTAATAAGTTACACATGATTTTTTTCTAATTACCAATAATTTTGACAATGAGCGAAAACATACAATCTAGTCCATGTTCTTTAAAAACAGTATTTTTATAAGAATTTTTCAGATACATTTACATGAATTTCATTTTGGTAAATAACACTTTAACGAATCTTGGGAAGTTATAAAAAATACGAAGTACATGTACCTCAAATATCCACACGTGTTACATCTGTTAGGCTTTGCTCACATGCATAACCTGTTTTACAAAAACTATCTATTTTCTATATAATAAGATATTTTTGAACATTGAGAGCATCTAGACGGACGATCGGAAACTCCATCACTATAAACCCTTTTGCTTTTCAAGCGGGGGTATAGATATATTGAAATCTAGGGCATATTTCTTAAGCTGTCATCAGTTCAAGAATTCTGATTATTTTCATTTTTACATAAAACTAAATTGAATAAATTAAACATTTAATTAAATTTTCCCTCTCATTTGAATGCAACGGAGGTTTCTGTACTTTTATGTTTCACTGTCTTTTAATATTATTCCGGGGATACCAAAGATAAACCTTTATATAAGATAAAATGTACGTCCGTCCGTTACGCTTTGGGATACCAATCTCCTATCCACAACTCCTCTAATACCACTTAATGATATTTGATGGGACTTTCAAGGAATACATAATGACATTGTGCACCTCATATTTTACTTTTAATGGGCACTGCCATATTTTTATAATAATCATATTGAGGGGTACCCATCTCTTATCCCCAACCCCTTCTATACCACTGAATAAAACTTAATGATACTTTCACAGAATCCTTATTGCATAATTCCATTGTGACCTCCTATTTTACTTTTTGATCTGACACTTGAAAATCAGGGTTCGGATCATGTGCCTGGAAAAATCCCTTTGTCGACAGTCATATCCGCCATAATCACTCTGTTTTGAAAAGGTACTTAGAATAAATTTTCTTTCTAAACAAGATCATTATAAAGATCATACAATTTGACAATTAATGCATTAAAGAAGACAGTAAATAATCATGTAACATCAACCTATTTGTTAGTAGTCTGTGTCGGTTTTAAAATTTTTCGTATACAAAACATATTTTTGAAGGGGGAAATTTCAAAGATTCAAGGTATTGCTTAAAGGATCTTATGGTAATATTTTGATTCAATCGATATTTTGAGGCACTATTATCGAGTCTTTTAAAAGCAAGTAAGCATGACAATTTATCCCGTTAACGAATCATCTCTGTATCAATGTGCAAAATATATTGCATTGAATTGTAAGATCGTCTCAATCTCAGACAAAATAAAATAACAGTGGGGAAAAACATATTAGTAATAGATCCTACCGTATATCTCGGTGCAAATAAAGTATTACTTACCAAAATTTAAATACTGTAGAAATATGAATGATAAAGAACCAAGAATCCTTAATCCTGGTTTGAAATACATTTTTTAAGTTATAAATGCAAATAAAAGTAATTAAATGTCCATAATTTACACACTCCCCCAAACGAAAGACGAAACATGCAGCCTCAGAGTTTGGAGGTGTATCATTAACAAGCATGTACTTTCATGATTTTTGGACTTTATGCAAAGGGGCCTGCAAAGGGGGTAATACTGATGACAAGTTAAAATAAGACTTCAAACAGCTTGGTAGACAATGTCGTGATTTTTTTCAAGAAACAATTTGAAAAAAATATCTTTTGTTAATTGCAGTTCTTAAATTCATTTGATATTTTAATTTTGCATAAAAACACCCCATTGTATCCTCAACCTGAAGTTACTCCGAGATGCTTTTATTTACAATGCAAAGTATGATACAGATAACAAGACAAGCCACATTCATCTCTGGGAACAGGTATATAGGATTTATCAATAATATCACATCAATTGACTTCTGTCTTAGTGTTTGTCAACAAACCCAAGTGTGACCGATCCATTAAAACAAATACAATCTTCATTTTAATGATTTGACCCCTAGCCGTTCAAATTTATAACAGAAGCATTACTCGATCCAGACCCCATCCTACCCTAATACGAACTTGCATGACCTAATATTTGAACTCACTGCAAGGGTATTAATTATAATAAAACAAAATCTTTTGATTTTCTTTCCTTTTACACTTATTAAAAAATCAGAGCAATGTATTTTTCAATCAAATGAATAAAAAAAAATATTTAGATTTAATTTGTTGACATAAATAGTTATGCAAATGCAAATAATTCTCTTTGAAACTTGAAAAAAATATGTGCACTCTTGTTTCAGTATAATCAGAACTATTAATTGGAGGAGAATGCAGTGCTATTTTTGAATTTTCTAAATTTCCTTTCTCCTGTCAATATACATGTATCCGGCAATTCAATCGGTTTTGATGGGTGGGGTTTATAATTATGAATACCTGTTTTAATAAAATCTTCAAAAAAAATCATCGACCAAATAAAGTGGTCCCAAAGACCTCAAGATACTCGTTGTTACTGTAACTTAGATAAATACAAATTCGGACTGATGTGAAGATATGGGTCAATTTAGTAATTACAACATTTATCAATACAGCGCAGTTTCTGTTGATAACCTTTTCCGTAACATCTCAAAGTATCTTGCGGACATATAGTACATATAGTACTTGTACATATACACTAATATCATGAATTAAGTGCATGAATGGTCCAAAATTCACATTTGCTTAATTAAAGGAAAAGAATACTTAATATTAATCGTCTGTTGTTGCTTTCAACATAATTATTGCAAAATTGCTTATTGTCGATGATGCATTGGATTTCGTTGTAAAAATAATTCAGTTGCAAATTAATAAATTAACATGTTGTAGAGGATAAGACTTCTCTTTACATCACGATCAGGTTATTTAAAGCTTACAAATAAATATAGATGATGAACAAATACCTTTTACTTGAACTGAAACAACTTTACAAGGCTAACCTTGGATAAATTTCAAAGATGACCGAGATAAAGTACAGATAGAAACTGATAAAGAAGAGGCTGAATAATTTCTTGCCGTAAAAATTATTACATTTGTATTTTATCAGTGGTGTGGCTAAACGCGCAAATACGCAGCACAAGCCACCGGAAACAAATTTTCTTAATGGTAACACGAAGCAGATTTGAATACTCGTAGTTTGGTATTTAAAGCTTTGATTACAAGCAATTGAAGCTTTTAAATTATATTAATTTTGGTAAATATCTAAGCTTTATGGGAAGAATAAGACTCAAGCACAACGTCTCTTTGTCTCCCGTCGCCCGCGTGGCGCAGTGGTTTGAACGTCTACTCTAGTTAAGAGTTAAGTAAGGAATCGATCCTTACGTCAAGGGTTCGAATCTCACTGTGGGGCCTGGAGACCGGTCCTTCGACTGAGACCGTATAAACCGAGGTCCCGTGTCGCAGTACATGTAGGTACTGGGACGAAAAAGATCCCGCACTGCTCAAAAACTCTGAGTGCTGAGTATAGGACAAAATTTGTAGCTCTCCACTGGCAAGTGAGTGAACAATTATCAAGAGAGACGTTAAACAACATACAATCAATCAGTCTTTTATGGTGTCCAGATAGGGCCAATGCAAAAGTGTATTAGCGCGTTAGAAACAACACGCAAGCGCATTCATGACAATGCGCTAACGCGTTAATGACAAAGAGTTGTGTGTGACCGCAAAGTCGTGTTGTGATCAAGGCGCTAGCGCGTTATCATTAACGCGCTAGCGTGTTGTATTCTAACAACACACAAGCGCATTAATGACAACGCGCTAGCGCGTTAATGACGATACTCTATTGTTGTATTCTTGTATTCTTGTAATATTAAAAGGCGTTATTACGCCTTTTTTCGCGTTATTAACGCCTTTTAAAATTTTTTCTCTTTAGTATTCTTGTATTGTTGCATTTTTGTATTATTGCATTCTTGTATTGTTGTATTCTTGTTTTGTTGTATTCTTGTATTAATGAGAATACCCTATTGTTGTATTCTAACAACGCGCTAGCGCGTTAATGTCCACGCGATAGCGCGTTGTTCACAACACGACTTCGCGCTAACACACAACTCATTGTCATTAACGCGTAGCGCGTTGTCATTAATGCGCTTGCGCATTGTCATTAACGCGCTTGCGCGTTGTTTCTAACGCGCTAATACACTTTTGCAATGGCCCTATCGGGACACCATAGTCTTTGACTCCAAGTTTTATGAAAAGACGAGTAAATCTGTTGCTGAAGAAATCTAGGAAAAGAGCTATACATTGTAGTTGCCAGAACTATCAGGATTCGTTGCCAGTTCAACTCTAAGGTATTTCTAAATATTTCAAACAAGGTCAAGAACACCCAATTACCGTATTAAAGTCCACAAAATCTTATTGGAATTCATACTTTCCTGAACATAAATTAAATTTAAAAAAGAACAAACATTTATAATTAGTCATGTTAGATATCAATCATTCGATTATTTTCAATTCTTGTCCGCAACTGCCAATCGTTTCTACATCTAAAAATTTCAAAAATGCATACATCTGGGCAATGTCTAATAAAAGAGCATTTTCACGGACTTTATCAAACCAAAAATGAAAACAAAACATTTTACCATAATTTGTTTTTATTTTTGATTTAATACAATCCACTTAAGAATTCGCTTCTGTTGTTATGTAAGTCGTAAATGCCACGCAAACACAAGGCTCTTTAACAAAAACCTTCGGGACACACAGGATTCCGTGACTCTCAATGGCCTTAGAATTATCACAGCTGATAAGACAGTGTGGTTTGAACACATTTCCGAAACAATGATGATCAAGGCTGTTGCTCTTTTGGTTCTTGTTGTGGGTATGTATGTTTACAGGCAAAAATGATAGAATAACAAAGCAAAAAATATCCTCAAATTACTTATTGTAAGTTGTTAAACGCCCCTCTCGAGAACTTTTCACTCATATGGCGGTGGATAGCTGCAAATTTTGTCCTACACTCGGCACTTACGGCCATTGAGCAGTGAGGGATATTTTTCGTGCCAGCACCTACTGCGACACGGGACGTCAGTTTATACAGTCTCATCCGAAGGACCGGTCTCCACAGTGGGATTCGTACCCTCGACGTATGGATCGACTCCTTACTTCGCAAATCTAGAGCAAACGCTCTTATACCACTGCGCAACGCGGGCGACACAAAAACAAATTAAAATCAGTATCACGTGAATATCAGTTGGGTAGATAACCAATTTTGAACATACGAATCGCATTTTTTATTTAAATATTCACAAAATAAATGATCTTGTAACACAGTCTGAACAACGTTCTTTAATCTAAACAAGAAATCGTAATTCCAAACTCTTGAAAAATCTGTTTTGGCAAAGGAATCAAAGGGGCTTATTTTATTTCATCATCGATGGCAGAAACGTATTAATTAAAATTTAAAAACAATCAGCTACATTAATGTATTATCGTACTTATTATTATAGTCATCCAGGGTGAGAAGCCACCCCAAGGGTCAGAACTCTGCCACCATGTCCTCCAACAGGACTGCTCCACATTCGAAGCAGAAGTTGTGTGTGGATCAGACGGAGTGACCTACCATAACAGGTACAGTGAAAATAAATCTAGAACAGATTATGTGAAATCTTTCTTAATTGTGGGATTAAACGACAAACATTATGGACATACAGTATGTAAAGTACTATGTCTATTTAAAGCTAAAATACTATGAATATATCATGTTTCTTAATCTTTTCTATGATTTTTATTAGCTGTGAGTTTGCCAAAGCCGAGTGCCATGGACACGGACATGAACTACACGCCGTGCATTCTGGACCCTGTTAATAATCGTCAACACTACGAATCTTATCCCTTAATAAACAAATGAATCATAAATTCTCTCTTTTCATTCTGCTGAACATAAAACGAGTAAATTGCATTCATTCCTCAAAAGTCCACAGAAACTGGAAGGTTTCTTTTTATATTATAAGAAGGTCAAATCCTTAAATTAAAAGTGATACAATCATATACATAAAGTACTTATAGATGAAAGTTGCGTAGAAATGTTGTTCATAACGTATATAAAAAAAGAATTGAACAATACGATCGTTGTCCTCTTTCAAAATGAAAATTCTTAATCCTATGGACATACATTCATTTTCATTTATCTCTATCTCTATCTACGAGGGGTGATCAAAAAGTTCGCAAACTATCTCTATATCTACAAAACCACAATTCAGATTAGAATGAAATTCGGTACACACATAGCCATACACAAGGTCTATAAATAGCATATATGTTGAATAAAGTTTCTCACCTTGTTTGTGACGTCACAATGTGAAAATGACGTCACTATTTAGGTCACTTGTGACGAAAAATGGTTGTCTCAGTCGAACTCTTCAACAAACGACTGTACAATTTATTGTAATATCTTAGAAATCCCTCTACAGTATCATATAATAATTTGTACACAGTTTATTGAGATAAATGAGTTCCTATAAATTCAATTAATGACTGGATTAATCGTTTTAGTGAAGGAAGGCTGATGGTTAAAAATGATACTTGTCATCTTGCCCAGTGAAAGCAAGTTTGAAAAGATATGTATTTTTAATTAAGCAATTTGCTATCAAAGACCTCCAATTAGCACTTTGAAAAATAGTTGAATATTTGAACAATGATATAAGTATTAAATACCTAAGATATCGTTTACTTTAGATTTTAAACATATTAGATATGATAAAAAGGATGCACCCATTCTCTATCCACCTTGAATAAAGGTCTCCGCTGAGACAGAAGATTTGTGTTTTAATGGTCGCCATGCTTATTTTTGGAAAGGATGTTATTATCCACCCATTCTGTTGCCGAGATATGACCATTTCTGACAAATTAACTGTTCTTGTCATAAAAATTAACTCACATGGAAAGAAATATAAAACTCGGAAAAATCTTTTAACTTTTGTGACAGAACGCTATGGAGGGGGTCACGTGACCGCCAATATCACGTGATTCGCGCATGCGCAGAACGGTGGTTGATGTGCATTAAAATCAGGGAAGATTAATTTAAAATATAATCAACATTAAAACCAAATATTGTTTCTTGTATGGAAGTTATTCAATTAGTTTGCGAACTTTTTGATCACCCCTCGTATATCTCTAACTAAACCGAAATCGTTAAAAAATGCCTAATCTGACAATGAAATGAAGAACATTAGGTTTCCTTAAAAAGTAATGGATACCCGACCCCCCATTGTGGACGAAACCGTGTTAGGTATACAATGGATGAGGTACACTGTAAAAATATTATTTCATGACTTCAGGGTGAAGATTAGAACAATGATATTTGAAAACGTTCACTAAAGTTCTACTCGTTTTTCAATCGTCACCGGAAGTTGGCCTTCTTTGAGCACATATGAGAGTGATGTCACTTTATCAGCACTAAGATCGATGATGTCATTTCTGGTCAGATAATCACGACCTAAACCGGAAGTAAGCAAACTAAAAACCTCCGTGGCTTTTGGCTTTACTTCGAACTGAAAATTAAAAATATAATGTATGATTGAATATTTCTTGCCAATAAAAACCCATATTAACAACCACAAATGAAATTGATAATTTCATATTAACAGTGATATTGCATATTATAATGAAAAAAAAAACATATTTACCTTTTTCATTGTGTCATTATAAAAATGTTCAAATTGTTCAATGTAAAAATGATTTTTTGTTCTTAATAAATGAAGCAGCGTAGTTTTCAATTCATCGGGTTCCATTCTCTCTGGATTCAACACCTATGAATATAGAAAGAAAAGAAAAAAATATATAATTCACCAAAACATCTTATTTAAACGTGGAATAAACTCTAATTGAAATTAGATCCTTTGATCTGCTCACTCCATTCTCAGTCTATTTCTAGGTACTAGGCCGACTGGTTTCAACTCAGATTGACCTTTCATATGAAAATAAATTGACATAATAGTCAATGATAATAAGCCTTAGGCAACCAGTTTGTTTATATATTGTATATTGCGAATTTCTTTAAAATCAAACTGAAATCGAATCCACACAAGGTAATCTTGTCAATATTAAAACATGCCACTGCGTTTCATTTATATTTTGAATTTGTTGAATGAGAGTCACACTGGCTTAAATTTTTAGAAACCGGTGTCTATATGGTTTGATAAATCAGTCTTAGATGAACTTCACTTCGACTGTTTAGGGATTAATAACGGACCAAAAGATATCAATTTCAGTGGATATTGTCCTGAATTTTCTCATTATATTTAACGCAGTTCTAACTTCTAGATATATTTATGCTCTAAAAAGTATCAGTATACCCTGCTGCCATTTTTGTCTATCCACATGTAACTGGCATCCGCCAGGGAAACTCTCTTTGTCGAGTCGTTTTCATCTTTAACCTCATCGTTAGCTGAGAGGACTTTCTTACAGTCAGAAGAATCGTATTCCACAGACGGAGAGAACAGTATAGAATAAGAAAGACTTCGTCCATAGGAGCGGACCTGGTGTAAATATCCTATAATCAAACAAACATATTTAACAGTGCTATTAAAGAGACAGGGATACGTAAAATAAAATGACATGTATTACGCTTTTCTCTTTAACACATGTAATTTACTCAATTTAGTTTCATGCATTTCAAAACTAATATATATCATTCATTTTAAATAAAATAAATGGTTTATTCTCGATGGTACTTGCTGTGATATACTTTTGGTTTAATTTTTGAAATCAACATATCTCAATTTAATCCCGATAATATAGGCACTTTTTTAAATCAAGACCGTATACAAAGCTATGAATAAACATTGTGTATTTTTATATCAAAAATTTCTTTTGCATGTTGGCACATGTAAATATACCTGCTGGAATAAGGATACAGTCCCCTGACAGTAGTGTGGCGTGATTCCATGGCGTACTGGAGACGTCTGTAAACTTAAACATGTTCACTTTGTCCACATCGATAGGAGAGTGACCAGAGCCGGAGTTCTTATACTAGAATAAAACATGGACTTGTAACTGATGCTTTGACTTAAGCGCAAGCAAAGTCAAACTCTATTTAAAACTTCTAATTTTTAATGAAATTATATTTGGTTTATGAATATTGCATATTCATTTGTAAAATTAATCAATTTACTCGGAAAAAAAAAAATTAGATGAAACGAGCATAATATTATGCTCTTACATTTTCTTCATAATGAAAGTTCCATTTGTATTTTTCATCGATGATAATGAAATCTTTCCTGCCGAACAACACGCAATGAAGGTCGTGGTCTTCATGACTGTGGAGACGAGATGATGTGCCACCGCTACTCATCCATAACCGCGCCTCATAGAGCCTCTCGTAGAATGTACCACACTTCAAACAACCCGGCAACTGAGAATTAAAAACATATCAACATATGTATGCCATATGGTGGGATTCATTTATGTTCAAATCAGACGTTGTCGCCCGCGAGGCGCAATGGTTAGAGCGTCTGCTCTAGAGTCCCGAAGTAAGAAGTTGATCCTAACGTCGCGGGTTCGAATCCCACTGTGGGACGTGGAGACCGGTCCTTCGGATTAGACCGTATAAAGCGAGGTCCCGTATCGCAGTAGGTGCTGGCACGAAAAAGATCCCTCCCTGCTCAATAGCCCTAAGTGCAGAGTACAGATCAAAATTTGCAGCTCTCCACCATGGCAGCAAGTGGTGATGTCTTCAAATGAGTGAAAAATTCTCGAGAGAGACGTTAAACAGCATACAATCAATCAACCCCCTGTTTATCCGTGCGTCTGTCCGTACCATACACAACAAATTTTACTTTTTTAGTTGCAGTTTTGTCAGCAACTAGTCATCGCAGAATGAAATTTTAGCACATTCTTTGTTGAGGCATGCCATATGGTGGGAATCATTTTTATTCAAATCTGATGTCAACTTCCTGTTTATCTGTGCATATGGTCATAACCTGAACTTGTGCATATTAACATGATAGTGTATATATATTAGCATCAGAGCGGAGTATTACTAGTGAGCATTGGCTCAAAGACTTCTTATTATTAATAGAATCGCCACTATAACACCAATAAAAGCATCGTCGCAAATCACGGCAAAACGTACAATCCTCTCCCATTCCGTAGGAAAGCTATATACGGTATATGCGGACTCTGGACCGTGGTTTGCGACGATGCAATAAACTTAATGATTAACTATCAAGTGCTTAAAACATCGATCTATGGTATTTTGGACATCTTCTTTCACTCATGCTAAAATATCTACTCCAAAGATCTGAATGGACTGGGCAATATAATTTTTTTGTTTTTGTTGTTTGACGTCACTCTAGAGAATTATTCACTCATACATGTATAGAGACGTCACCATTTGCCGGTGGAGAGCTGCAAATTTATCTATACTCGGCACTTACGGTCATTGAGCAGTGAGTGATCTTTTTCGTGCCTGCACCTACTGCGACACGGGACCTCGGTTCATACGGTTTCATCCAAAGGCCCGAACTCCCCGTTCCGCTGTGGATTCGAACCCGTGACATAAGAATCGGCTACTTACTCCGACTCTAAAGCAGACGCTCCACTGTGCCACAAAATATATACTTGTATAAAATTTAAAAACTGTGGCTTGAATTCCCGTCGTTTTTATGCATACCGGAAGTTCGGCCATCATTTTCTTAGGCACTGAAGTAACGAGGTACCATTCCTCATACATGTAGTCCATTAGAAACTTCTTTAACTTCATCACGTGTTGTTCGTGCTGCACGTGCTGTTGAACTGCTTGCCTCTTGACTGTCACTGTTACATTCAAATCTCCAAAACTGAAATTATTAAAATAAATGTAATGGTAATTACGTATTAGTAAATGGTAACCTATTTAAGGTAATGAGACAAAGTTATTTCACATTTCATTACTAACGATATGTTTAAAAATCAGAAAATTAACTTAAAATTTTGATTTTGGTCAAATAATATAATTCAAGATTCTTCGATGTTTTTGAAGAGGAAAATTTGCTCTCCGAGGGCATAGTAAAAAAAATAAAGATATAATAAACCATGCAATTTATAATTTCAAACAACATACCTGAACAGCAATAGGAAATATCAAAAGGATAATGCAGAAGAAGCGTTATCGCTTTCCTCTAGTTCAACATACTAGTATATGTTTAACTTAATAACTTCCAATTTCATCAAACAGTATATTTATTGATATGGCTTTCGAAATCATGGGTAGGAAATAAGTTAACAATATCCATGACCTACTGTTGCTTAAGGTAGACATCGCTTTCCCAGTTTTTCATGACCTTGACATCCTGAAGGCCGTCGTGAATCAGGACAGGTTTCTTGTTGTTGATGTACTTCACATACAGAGAATGCGCACTTGGCATTTCCGGTGTCTCCATAATCCTTCCACTGGATCTTTTCTGCCAGCCTTTGTACGTAAAGCATGATAAAGATTACATTTGTGATATCATAATATACATAACTATTGAAAGACAATTTGTTGATCTGTTGAAACTTGTCTCACTAAACAATAAACCTGGTATTTTGAATAATTCATCTTGATACTTGTGTTCCAAACAAAACATGGCTGAGCTTTTAGTTTTAGCTCATTTATAACTTGAAAAATATTACTAGTACTGTGAAATTGAACAATGAAATGAACGTTTACCTAAAGGACGGAGGTGGCCATCAGGAATTCCTTGACCGGAAGGGACGATGTAGGGCGGAAATAAGACATCCATCTTCTGATCCTTAGGAAAACCAACTTTAGCGAAACAACTTTGTAGGACTGCTGATAAAATTAGTATCGTAACATGTAAAGACATCATCCTTCCTGTAGGAATGACAGGATACCCGAATATATGTGCAAGAAAATTGCACGTTCTTGTTAAAATTGCACGTGTGTAGAAGACGTTCTCGCCACGTCATACCTGGGTTGTATTGAATTCTTTACTACACCTTTTGTTGCTTATCGAACTGATTTGGTCGTTCCTCGCGACATATGTTGATCCGGGGTCTCGGGGATATGGCGTTTTCAGTGATAAATTGTAAGCTTAATCGATTTAAACTTAGTTCGTAAACTCTCTTTATCAATGTTGTCTTTTTTAGATTGAAAAGAAAAGTGTATGATTTTTTTTTCAATTTAGCAGAATATGACTATGATGCTATTATTGCACATCTCTTCGATATAAAAAAAATTTAATAAAAGTATTATATTTTGTACTTTCTCATTTTAAGAAATTTCTTGTTACATATTCAACCTGTGGAGATTTACTCAATCGCTTTTCATGATGTTTTATTTATATTTTTGTATATACTATAAGTGGTACATTGTACATATACATGTATGTACGTGTAAAGTAGGTCTGATATAATCAATAAATTCAAATTTGCGATGTCCACATGTAACACTCTGTATTTCCAACATTAATCTTCTATAACGTTGTTCATTGAAAATGATGGGAAAATAGTGTGTTTTAGAATTATCATTATGAACACTGTGAAAAGATTTTGGGCCAGGATTTTCCCAGGGGTTTGGTTGGGTTCACCTCCCTTTAAAAAATCTCTCACAACAATTTAACATAAAAAATCTCTTTCGTGGGGGGTTGCTTTCCTCTACATATACTTTAATATTACTCTGCGAATTTGAAAAGAATAGATGGAGACCTAGGGAAAAATGGAAGCAAATAAAATGAAATTTTAGTCTCAAAATATTTCGGTCAGGTAAATTCTTTAAGACAAACACTTTTACTTAATAGAGTTATCTTTCTTGTATTTACAATAACCTACTTTAAATTTGAACCTTGGTTTTTGGTAGTTAAGTAAATATTTCTCATATTGATACAGGCGGTAGAATAAAAAAAAATATTATATTTTTAAATTTTTAAATTTAATTTTTGTAAATATTTCTCATATAAACAATACTGTGAGCAATGAGCTCATGAAAAAAATATATAAAGTCCATGTTATTATATTTCTTATGATAGGAGGTCCACAATTTTAATTTAAATTTTGTGAAATTTTCAAAAATTTCTCTCATTGGTATTTGCAAACAAAAAAAAAACAGACGGACGGACATACCGATTACAGTACACCCTCCCACTTTTCAAAGGGGGGGGGGGGTATAATAAATAAAATGTTCAGTCAATCTAAGTTAATTACCTTTTAATTTATGTATTATCGATCTTTGCAACCTGTCTTTTCTCCTAAAATAAAAGAGAGAGAGAGAGAGAATTTATTTTCAAGAAAATGTACCTTTGGTCACCTAATGAATATGATGAAGCACATCACAAAGTATTGGATCACACTACGTTGATAATAAAACTTATTTCTAAAGGAATGGTGAAATAATTGGAAAAGGGTGTGATAATTTTTTTTATCCATATGGGTACTTTATGTACTTCAATCTTAATCTATGTCATCTAACAAAATATTGTAAGCATTGTTGCTATATTCATCTTGGTTTAATTAATTAGCATAATGATCATCATTATATGACTAACAAGCTTGTTAAAAAAATGACACTGTAAAATTGATGACATGTATAATTCTTAAAATTTAATCCCGCCAACATTAAATTAAGACGCATAAAATAACAAAAGTGTTACATGTTTGTAAGGACCTAGTGATCAGTGATTGATTCTCGTCAGGTGTGTCCTTGGTAATCAATCGCAGGTAAAATACTTAGCACTTAGGTGGATGTACAACATTCTTCTTACGCATTCTTAAGCGATTGAGACTTTGCGCGCGAGTTTACACGAATGTTGCGTAACATCTTTCAATGTTCATCAGCTGTTTTTCGTTTACATTCGTTTGTAGTATGTGACTGAATGGATTGATTTAAATTGCTGTGTTGGTGAATCGCTTGGTAAAGAGAGAGAGATTTAAAAATCGCTACACTTGCATACCGACTTATAATAGTGCCGTGGCGACCGATAGAAAATATAAATAAGTATACATAAACAACAAACTGTGTCGGCGAATTTTCTCGTTTACCACAGAGTACTTCAACCTGTGCCAAGTTAGTACGGGATTTCATTAACTAAAATGAATATGGATTAATAATTACGCACTTTGGATTTAAAGATTTTGGGAGGAATTTCATAACATGGCACATGGTGCAGTGTTTTGATTTTAATGAAGTAGAACTTGCTCGTCGGTCTTCAAGTTAAAAAGAATGGATCTACAAATGAAATTATGTGATAGTGTGACGGGCTCTCTAAGCCGGACCCCCAGTCTGAAGCTGAAAGTATTTCGGAAGCTTTCAGATGAGAGGAATTCAGAAGAGAAAAGGAAGATTCGCCGGCACACGCCCGTGGGGTCGGGTGAATACAGCGTGGGGTGCTGGGACATGATGTGTGGGGGACCCAGTGATAAAGGAACATTTTTCAGACTATTTTATCCCGTGGAGAAGACTGATATTTATGTAAGTGGTGAAAAATCCTGTACATTTATTTCAATTATTAATTAATGAATATCTGTTTAATATTTTTCCCGTGGAAATGCACAATAAATAATTTATTATTGTCCATTTATTTGCAAGCATTCAAAAGTTGAGTAAATTATAAATATATTACAATATCTCGGTGGAGGGTAGAATTCAGGATATTTCTAGTCTGTGCCAGTTGAATGCCAAGTCTTTTTGACAGCTTACATAAAAACCTGTCTTTCAATCAGCTTATCGGATTAACACAGAGAAAACAAGTATATTCAATATTTTTAAATGTTTATCTCCAGATTATTTTAGGGGTTATTTCTGAACAAGGCCGTTTAAAATCCTTGGGACGAAAAGCTCGCCCCCCCCCCTCTCAATCATTTTTTGAATTTTTTTTTCAAATTGAAGGAAAATATTCTCGCCCCTCCCAAAACATTTGAGAGAGGTCGCAATTTGGTCACGTCTAACTCCCACTCATTTTAAAATCGCTGATCCGGGTTGCCCGAATTAATCCCAAATGTGGATTTTTTGTTTCTACTTTTAATTTATATATAGATTCTTGCATTCATTTGAATATACTTAAAAAAATATTTGGAAATCATGTTTTACAGAAAAGAGACAAACAATGGCCACTCTGGTTACCAAGGAAACAGTATGGCGAAGGATACGCAGACATTATTACAAAAAATCCCAGAATTAAAGTTATCGGCAAATTGTTCAACTGGATGGGAGGTATACATGTGTATATCTTTAAACATTAACTAAATCATGAAAATTCTCAAAACTTCAAGATTTCTATATGTTACGTATATATTGTTTTATTATTTTTTTAGGTTCTAATATTTACTAGTCATAATTTATATTCATTTGATATTGATTGTATTTTACTTTGATCTTGCAAACATATGAAATTTTTCTTTACAGGGGATGTATACGTTCCCGCCCTTTGGCAGGGCCCCCTTTGTCCCTCCAACACACAGTTCCCGGTGGTCATATTTTCGCACGGCTTGGGCGGTAACCGGACAACGAACACGACAATGTGTTGTGAGCTGGCCTCCCAAGGATTTATTGTCGCATCCGTAGAACACAGGTATATTACATTATTTACCATTCATATAATAAATGTAAAAACTTTATTACGTTTTCAGTTATTAAAATATGAAACATATTTCAGTATTGACAATTAAAAAAAATGCAAATCAGCGTATATCAGTTATTTGTTGAGAGAGACTTAATTTCTCCAAAAGTCTTGAGTGGAAAAGATAAAATATTTTTTTCAATATAATTTCAAAAAATAATCAATAATTTGACAGAGATGGTTCAGCTTCCATGACATATCACTTATCAGAAGAAATTAACAGACACCACGTAACAACATCCGGGGAATCGAACTCCCGACCCCACAGTCGGCACACAATCCACCGAACGCATCTGTACTCCGAGGAGTGGAAACCATTCGAGTGGTTCGAACCCTGGGACGACTTTACGTATAGAAACAAACAGGTAATTAAACCACTGCACCGATAATCTGACGCGAGGTTTAATTAGGACGCTGTGTGAAATAATTTTTGATCAATAACAGAGAAATAACTACATGTATATTCAATCAGAAAGAAAAAATTAAAATTCAACTACTTTTCAAAAATTACGATTTATATCGCTGATTTAAACATTACATTGTAAGTGAATCGTGCAATCGTGCATTAAATTTTGGAATTACTGCTGTCAGCAAATTGTTTTTTTTTTGCGAGTTTATGTCACTAAGTATAAATGATATTCTAGGTTCACCATCGTGCAGATGAGGTAATCCAGGCATTAGACAATTTAGTCTTACTACATAATGGCAAAGAACTGCATAATTCCATGAGAACTCACTTCAATACCAAGCAATTTATGGTGAGTACCAATTTCGGAACAGCGAGAGTAAAATGGGATTTTTTTTTACATTGGCTAACAAGTTACAATAAAGCGCGGGATAATTGTATAGTTGAAGTGTACATGAAAAGAATAAAAGTTAACAGGCATTGTGTGAAGTGCTTACTCATAGGCAATCCAAAGAAGTTGGAGGTAAAAAAAATAAAGTACACTTGGAACATATATATCCCTTTAGCTTCTAATGCATATTAAGTCAGTGTACATTCATCCATGTAGACAATTTTCAATGAACAAGTGTTATCTAGAAAATATAAAACTGATGCCAGAGTTTTGTATGAAAGACTTGTATAATGCCAATAAAAATGATTTCGTTGCATGTGGCAAATGTATAAATATGCTCTTTTAAATTAAAAAAAAAAACTTCTTTATAATAAAACGCCTGTTAAATGAGCCCTTCAAAGATCCACGAGAGCATTGAAATATGAAGAAGAATACTTATATTTTAATGTAATGTATTTAGCATGTGCTTTATAGAAAGTTATTAAAATTATCTTTGGTATGTAAGATAAAATAAATTGGTTTTTGAATGTTTTACGAAATTTTGAACATCATCGCAAATCAATAAAATTCATGTATCATCTTCATGCAAATCCAAGTTATACTAGACTTGATCATGAGAGAGAGAGAGAGAGCATCATAGATGTGACATTTGTAAATGTAATACCGATAGACTGGATTTGTCCCGAGAGAGAGAGAGAGAGAGAGAGAGAGAGAGAGAGAGAGAGAGAGAGAGAGAGAGAGTAATTTTTTTTTTTCAATTTTTCAGAATATTGAAACTGTATCTTTTTCAAATTTTGACTTTTGTTTTTTTCAATCAGTGGTTTATAAAAAGAGTTGAGCTTATTCATGTGTAGTAGGTCTATGAAAACCTCTTTTATTTGCTATCTAACAAAATTTTTTTGTTCTCAAAAAAAGAAAAAAAAAGAATGCCTTCCTACCGACCCAGTCTAAAACTTATAGGTCGGCAACTGCAAACAAAGAATTTTTTAAGCTTGGCCTTATTTTTTTCGCTCGCAGGATAGCTTACAGACCCCCACCCACTCGTAAACAGGCTCCATGGATTTTTCTATAAATTTGTTTCATGTTTAATTGTAGTTCTGGCACACATGTTTATTATTGAGAAATTCTAAATCTGAACTGGAATGAGTGTTCAAATATTTAAATGTTAGGTATAATACTGTTCCACATGCGTATTCACTGTAGAAAATAAAACACATTTAAATTCAACATTATAAATTTATAATGTTGAATTTAAATGTGTCTTATAGTATTGAAGTAAACTGACCCAGATAAAGTTATAAAGGTTAGAAATTAAGCCTTGACCGATTTTTTCAATTCATTCATTGTATTTAAACTCCAAATATATAAACTTATTTGAACTTCTTACTATTTGTATTAAACATAATCATTTTAAAACCCTTTACGTCACTCATCGGGATTAAACTTTCTACTTTTCCAGCTTTATATAATAGACATTATTTGTTGTTACGTTTCCTGGATACGGCTTTCTATGTCGCCGTCTTTTGTCGCAGAAAAATTATACTAGTTGTGATCTTGATGATTGCAGTTATCAATATTTCAGATGATATGTTGAAGTAATTACAGTAATAAAAAATAAACGTTTTGAAGCTTTGATTTAGACTCTAGCTTATATTGGTGACAACTGTTAGTTATTGATCTAAACAAACTGCATCACCAAGGTATTGTTGAATCAATATTTGAATGTGTAGACTATCCTTTTTTGTAGGTTCAAGTGATCATTATACAAACAGGGATTTCTTTTAAAAGAGACTTTTTGATATACTCTAAGCATTCGTTTTTATTTTATTCTCAAAATATCAAATTTATTTTACATTACGAGGGTCTTTCAAAAAATACGTAGACAATGCTTCTCATTGTCATATGATTATTACAAGAATATAGATCAACACATTTTCGTAAACATAAACATTTATTTTGTCGAAGTGTGAAGTTTCATTCCATTTGATTAAATAGAGCTCATGTTAGCCAAAATTTAAAGCAATATGTTTTGTTACCACAGCATTAACCAATATTGTTCAAAAACAACGCTAAAAAGTCTGTCAAAAGTATACTCATTTTTTTAAAATTTCGAACACGGTTTGTAGGGTCTTCTCCATTCAAAACACATATCCACAACACTTAACACTTAGTTTGCTAACAATTGTACAAATAAAGCTTGAATTAGAATGTTATTGTCTTTATTTACCATGCAACTCTATTATTTCTGCAACATTGATGAAGCAGTCCAATGACGTTCCTAACTTTTTTGACAACATTTTTAACATTAACCTGTTTCTTTGCAGACAATCCATCGTCCGATTCAAACTCGCTACCACTCAAAAATTGTATTTTCAATTTAATACAATTACACAGATTATTTTTCATACAGATCCTGGTTTATAAGGAATTTTTAAGCTTGTAGAGGAAGTTTCCCGAATGTAAAGTGTAATGCTGCTCCGTGACATCCTCCAACGTCATGGTTTTTTGCCTTTTATAATCAAGTCCATATGTATTTAGGAGCTGATATCTTTTAAATGGAGCGAGATATAACATAACCTGATTTCATTTTAATTAATACAGCAGTACTTTATTTAAACATGTAAATTTTATTTCCTTTCAGTTCCATTTATTAGAGGTATAGCTGTTAAAACTATAAAGTGAAAATTAGAAAATTACTCAATTTTGACAGTGCTCCGTGACCCCATTTTTGCTGTTCTAATTCCTAGGTAATTTTAATAAATATGAAGATACATTCCAATTTTTTTAGTCAAATTATTTGAATCTGTTGTTAAAATATTTGTACAAAATCTGGATATAATATGACGTTAAATAAAAAAGTTAGGAAAAAGTCTACGAACTTTTTGAATGACCCTCGTACATACAGTAAGTCAGCATAAATGTGGTTCTCGTTTTCTATCTTAAAAACATGAATTGTTTAACTGGAATTTCAAGGTTAATAATTCTGAAAACGTTTTAAGCCTCTTCTCTTTAACCTGGATTAAAAACAAATATTTTGCACATAAACGTATGGGCGACAATATTAGCAATTAAAATTATCAGTTCAACTTTTGAAAGACAATCATTGAATTTTCTCTGAAATCATAGACTCCTTTCTAGTAATTTAACTCATCTTGGCTTAAAAATTGGACGTTTTTCTTGATATCTTGCAGGGTGGGCGTGGTTTTAGATGGTTGGATGCATCCATTGGACGAGGAGATCTATGGAAACATCAATCAACCCGTCCTAATGCTAAACATGGAATCCTTCCAGTGGAAAACTATTGTTGAATCAATTTTATTTGAATGTGTAAAACTATCCTTTTCTGAAGGTTCAAATGATCATTATACATTCATCAATTACAGGGATTTCTTATTAAAAGAGACTTTTTTATACTAAAAAATCAGACAAAATAAGTTGCAAGCATTTTCTTTTTATGCTTTATTTTTAGGTCAGAAAGAGACATTACCTGCTAATAAAACTGGATGTTTTGTATATCTTCAATTTTTTTTGTTCTAAAAATGTATTTTTTTCTTTAAAAATATTCAAAATTTTAATAAAATTCTGATTTCTCTCTAAACCAGTTTCTAAACTGTTTTTAAAAAATTTTTTTTTGCAATTCACTTTTTTGTATTTAACACTTAAACATTTGAAATTGTTGAATTTGGTCCAGGAAAATTATTTTCTTCAGGACTTCGAAGAGAAATTCAAACCTAACCGAATCAGCTCGCACAATAATTTTATTTTTCTTCAATTTAAAAAACACAAAGTATTATAAAATGTTACATAAATTTTTTGAAAAACTACTCACTGTCTTAAATCAGAAGATTGTATCTTTCTCATTTGCAGAATTGCCTCACAATGCTGTTGCGTCAAATGTAAAATAACAACTTTAGCCCCTGAATTTTTTGTGTGTAAACATGTTTTATCAACCTGAGATTATATTGTATGGTTTACTACATAATTTAAAAGAAATAATACAGGCAATAAATGTGGGAATCACAAACTCTTTAAGGGTGCAAAAAACAGTTTTATTTTAAGGAACGTTACTTGGTGAGGGACATGCAAAACTTAAAAAAAATAAAATGGAGGCTTGTTATTTTACATATCAATAAATACAGTAAATATCCAACTATAAATGTCAATTACTCTAGTTTTCTTTTCAGTGCATCTTAAAAACATGAATTGTTTAACTGGAATTTCAAGGTACATTAATAATTTCTGCAAAAAACTGGATGTTTTGTTTTAAAAAGTCTCACAATTTTTTTTGTTCTAAAAATAAATGCACATTTTTTTCTTTAAATATTAAGATAAGACTCTACTTTATGCGAATAAAAACAAAAAAGATGCATTAAACACTCCTATAAATAGCAGGAAAATCCCTACCCAACTTCTCTCTGGGAAATATTTTGCACATAATTTTTTTTTGCACGTATTTAGGTGCGACAATCATAAATTGTTGAATTTGCAATTAAAATTATCAGTTCAACTTTTGAAAATATACGTATTTGAAAATCAATAAAATGTTAATTATTTTTTTGAAAAGCTGCCAAACAATTTTTACAGATATTGCTAGTTTCTGTATAAACAAGGGGGGGGGGGGGTCTTTCTAGTAATTTAAAACATCATCTTAGATACTTAAAAATTCTATACAGGATACATTTTTTTGCGATCAATTAAATTGATATTTTACATGGTCACACTTTGATGGCTGTTGCGTCATAATGTAAAATAACAACTTTAGCCCCTGAATCCTTATCATATGTGTAAATTCTATGGATGGTCTAATAGGCATTATGCACACAATATCCATTATATTGGACGAGAAATAAAGCAATTTTCTATGATCAGGCAAATAAATGTGGGAAACATCAAATGCTACTCCTTAAGGGTCCACAGTAATGCTAAACATGGAATCCTTCCATATCAATGTAAGATTGTGAATTTTGTAAATATCCAACTATAATACATTCATCAATTACTAGAACAAATGATGAAATTGATGACGGAAGACACAGAAAGACGCAACATGATCACAATCAAGTACGACTTAATTATAATTTAATTTTCACTTATTTGATGTAAGAAAAAAAGATGATTGTTCTAACAAAATGACTTAAATTTGTACAAAATTTGAATGTGCACACATAACGTCAGGCGGATTGATACGTGTTTGACGAAAGTCATTGTGACGTAGGCAACCCATTTTATACGATATAAAGTAATTCTTTATCCAATCAAATACAGCGTTACAACCAGAATTAAATTTATATTTAAAAATAATCCTTATCTCATTATCTTTATACATGTATAATAACGACTAACGAGATAGAAGATCGAATTTATATTGATAAAATTAACACATTATTTACAGTGGAGAAAATTGTGTTTTTTGACAAAATAAAATAAAGGCGTTTCGGGAATCCAAAACTCTAGGCAAGAAAACAAGTGTGGGGCTGTACATTGTAGAAAACTTTTGTTGTGGTTTTGCGATACGAGTGGGTTTGTTATTTCTTTACGTGCAATGACAATGCAATGAAAGATGAAGATTAGTTAGGATGCTTGTTAGATGACTATCTCTGTCGTAAGAAGTATATCAAGGAACCAGAATTGATTGTACATGTTCACTGCTAATAAATTTGCTGGAGTTACGCCTCAAAGTGTACCTTGACATTTCAATAAAGGTTAACAGCCTTTTCCTAATGAAAATATAATAAAGACAATAGAACATGAATTAAAGGAAATCAGAGAGATGCTTCTTAAAACGGACAAAATACATGTGTACATACTACGTAGGAAATATAGCAAACTTTCTTAATGCAGCAAATAAGTTCCATGAAATTAGAACTCTTTTGTGTACAGTGGTTCGAGCCTCCTTAATTAACTAACCTGCTTAGAGTGTAAATATTAATAAACAAAAATCGTTGTAAACGACAAACAGTTTAATTGCGTTTATCTGGCAACTATTCAAGGTCTTATGTTTTGCTCGAAAAGCTACAAATATTTTTCGCTTTGTAGTGGCTTCGAAGTAAAAAAAAAAAAACGAAAAGAAAAAAAAATGTGAATCGTCCTTTACATCATGAAAATGATGATTCGGTAAACGTTTAAGTTATAAGTCATCACTTTTGATATTTTTTTTACCTGTTCTTAATCTAAAGCCTGAGTAGGTGTTGAAGGCCTCTAGTAGGAGTATATAAACGATAAACCGCAACCAAATATGTCATTATGAATGGGAACTGTGTGTACCGAAAAACCGCAGAATTATATCTCAAGAAAGGACAAAGTCCAAGTCGTCAAGCGAGTAAATAAAGGTGCCTCCCGTTTATCGATTATAAAATTCGATAAATTATAAATTTCTATTTAGCAGATATAATAAACAGTATTTTATATTTTATATATCTCAATTTATAACCGAACAAAAGAAACCAATTATATAGTGTAGGACGAAGAACGAGTGTAAAAAGGGAAACTGGATGCTCTTGTTAAAAAAGAAAAATAAAACGATGGCTAAGAGTTCTTTAAAAGGCGTCTAAGGCGTTCGACAACAAAGTCTATCCTCGGATTATAATATTTTTTGCCCACGCTTTTAAGATATTCATACGACAATTTTTTTTTATTATGGGGTTTATTTCAAAGTCTTTTCCCTATCTTATAAAGTAAGGATGAAAAAGTGAACAATTATACAATTAGATTTTAGGATGTTAATTTTTTAACGAAATTTAAGATTTTTTTTTTTTATCTTAGGGGTACTTGTCACCAAAGCGTAACAGACTTCCAGTTTCTGGTCAATAAAGCGGTGGGGCGTGTGTTAGATGTCCGGTATACTCTGTCTCCAAAGACTGCCATGTCATTAGCCAACAAAGCCTCCCTAGGGTTCCTCCATAAACACTTAAGTGAGTTTATTTTATTTTATTTTTGGGGGGGGGGGGTCGGGTATAAACAACGAATTGTTTCAATATATGTTTTTTCATTAGTAAAAAAAAAAAAGCATTTTTCGATCTCTGGGATTTTCTATAAGAATGCCATTGTTTCTATTTTTAGGTCTACAGGGTAAGGAAACACATGACGATATTTTGTCCGGTGACCATGATCTCATCATACAAGGCACCAACGTCAATTTGTCATAAGTCAAAGGTCACGCCATGGATCCAGCCATGTTAGCAATATGACATAGGTCAAAGGTCACATCGAGGATCCAATCGTCTTCCACATCACTTTGTCTTTCTAATATTGCATTTGCCAAAATTGTAGAAAACTGTGTTCAAGCTGAATCTGTGATATAATTTATTATATGCTTTACTGTATTTAGAATTTTATACGAGTAAGATGAACCACGAACTGTTTGTACAAAACCTTTCATACTTCCCACTCTCTCACCAGAGGCAGCGCTCCGCTTACGGAACGGAACGTAAAACGCCCTCTTGTGAGAGACTGCATACTTCCCTGTCAATACCAATCGCATCATCACGGGCCTTTCCGTGAGGTCGGAAATCCGCTCGTGGGAAAGGCCCGAGAAGTCGCGAATGTGTCTTTACCTCTACAAAACATGGTGCTCTCCTATGTTCTTTGAATTTATGTCATTTTCGTGAATGTGTCGTTACTTCTTTACATTAAATGTGTGTAGTGTTACCATTTGTTTTTATATCCCATTGTTAATTAACTAATTTTGTTATTTATAATTTTTGCAATTGAAGTCAGTTTATGAATAAAATGCTCCTTGCACTGACGTGCTATTTGTGTTTTTAAAAATCTTAAAAATTATATGCCAGTTTAATTTTTAAAAACAGCATGGTTTGATTCATGTCGTAATGTTCAATAGTTTTTACCAGTTGAAAGTGCCCCCTGGTAAAACTACTAAACCTTACATATAATTATAAATATGCTATTGCTATTATTTTTTGACTCGCCTCAACGAAGTTGGGGGCAGCTTATGCTACACATGTGATACCGTCGTCATCGACGTCCCAGGTTAAAGTGTTTGGAGCAGTTTTCTTTTTAGGTACTTCTAACCCCTGCATTAATCAGAGATGCATGGAAGATGTTTCTAATGTGTTTCATTGTACCAGTCAAGGCTTCAGCTAAAGAATGACAAGTTTAATGTTTTTAGAGCAGATAAGGTTTTGGAGCGAGTGAAAGCTTTTGCAAAAGGTCTCGTTCCAATCAACTATAAGCCCTACATGCATGTATGTTGACCAAATTTGCACGGATGATACACACTACCAGGCTTGCTGGATCTGACTTACATTTTCCGGATGAGTGACCAAGTTTTTGGAGCAGGTTCATTTAAAGTACTTGTACCTATAAGTCCTATATTGACCAAACTTGTAGGGATGATACATCTAAAAATACACACTACCAGTCTTACATAGGTGTATCATCTATGCAAGTTTTCTTCAAGACCCAGTCTAAGGATGCATATTATATCAGGCTTTTTTGGGATGCTGGATTTGATCTAAATTTTCCTGATAGCCACAGGCGCCAAATTAAAATTTTTTGATGCAGGTCCACTACGAAGAAACTATAAGCCTATCTGTACTAAACTCAAAGGATAGTGCATCAAGGAATGAACACTCTCAAACTTGCATCAAATAATGGATTTGAATTACATTTTTTCGATGAGTTACTGATCACGAAATATTACATTGTGATTGTAAATGATCTAAATTAAATTTTATAAAATATTGTAAAGTTGTTATCTTTTTATGGTGTTCAAAATTCTGCATCTTTTTCCGTGAATCTATAAATCTATACATTTTTTTTATTTTACAAAGCATTAATACTGTGAAAATTTAACTAAAAATCTATGCGGTTAAATTTATATTCATTCTACTCATCAAAAGCATAACTTCAGTTGTTACATATTTTCTTGAATTTTGTGGAAATATTTTATCATTTGCCCTTTAGGCATTGGGATCAATATAGTAATCTTATAATGGAAAATGGTAATTGCCTTAACAAATTAGAAGATTATGGTCTTATCCGATTTATCCCTCCGTCAAGGGCAACCGGTCCTGAAAATGATTCAGCTTCCTAGTCATTGCAGAGAGACTTTTACAATATCACAGAATTTCAAATGTAAATCACGTGGCTGCGTTCGAGGTAGGGACATGTAATATCTGGAAAAAGAAAGATAACTCTGCTAAAGTCAGTTCTTGTTCGGTGTAAAGTCCAAAAGTAAACTTCGTAGAATACTGGGTTTTTTAATGTTTGGAACAAAATATAATTTCACTTCGGACACGACATTGTCCAGACTTTTTACTACCCTTTCTAATTGTGATGACTAAAAATAAATTATAGCAATTAGAGTATTTCAGGGTCTCATGTTGAACTCACAAACATCCCTTTTTTAAAGATACGAAGTCCTAAAAGTAAAAACACCCATAGGAGAATGATGGGGTTTTTAGTCCTAGCAACTCTCCCACATTTCTCCGATGGGAGAAAACGTGTCAGATGTGATGTTTTTACCCAAGATGTGGTAATTTTACTCATTGGCATTAAGGGTTTTTTCTCTCATGCATAAATTTGCTCAAATGGGAGAATTTGACAATGAATAATCTTCTCTCATACATTGTAAAACATCGGACATATCTCATAGATTCTGATGAGGGGATATCATAATAATAATATGAATGACTATAGTTTGTTTTAATTCTACACATTGAAGACAGGATTGATAATTTATTGTAAATAAGATTCGCTCGTCTCCAAATCATGCACTGCAGTATGAATCTCATTGGGTATACTTTTGCTCTCGTCATTAAAATATGGTCTGGGGACAACCTTTTTTTTCGGGGGGTGGGGTGGCGGGGGTTAAGGAATTTCGAATTTCTTACATGTTTACTACCTTCAATTTACAAACTTATTAATGTTGTCTTTTGTAAAGGAAAATGCTATAAATATGTAGATGGGCGCCTACACGTACTACCGGTAGTATGACTTACCGAAAGAGGCAACGCTTTAACAATTTTTTTAAGCCCATAACTTGCTTGTCTCTAATTTTTTGATAGAATGACGCTTCATTTAATGATTTTAATTTTCCCAGAAGCCTGACCAGGACCTGTAATATGGTGAACATTTACTCAAATTACACTGACGGCCTAACGGTTATTCAGAATTGTTAGCGGAAATCTATAGTTAAAAAAGTAGAACCATGTATAGTACACGACATGCAGATTTATTCACAATACGTATTTAAATTTAAAAAAACGAACATTTATATACAAAAAAATGAAATACTCAGTGAGAGAGTCTTGATGCAAGTGTATTTTGATTAAAATTCAACGCAATTACGCAACGTCTGAACAGGACAAAAGTTATTGCAGCCCGGAGGACCGGGCTGCTCTATACATATAAGTTTAAGTGTTGGTGTATGGGAATTGGGGTGGGAGTAGTTATTTATAATTAAAGGTTTTCTAAACGTTGAAAAGATTGTTAATCAGAAGTTCTTTCCGTTAATAAATTACGAGATACATAATATATTTACTTCCATAAAGTGAATCGGTAAAAATATACATGTTTTTCATATTTCATATATAAAGTTGCTTATCATTTACTATCGAAAAAACGACAGGTCCCCTTTTTTAGAACATCGAATTTTACTTCTCGCATAAAAACGTACTCTGCACAGTTCGTGTTTTATATTTTAAAATTGAAAATTAATACATTTTTGAATATGGGTTATGCATGTGTCTAACTTTAATTTATATTTTATGCAGCCAACATTTACTTGAGGAATTGATCAAGTTTAAAATGGTATCGTTTTTGTTTGATTTTTATCCGACTATAAGTTTTCAAAATATTTGCGACTATCGTCTCCATCTTTTAGACGCATGCCTTTTCACACATATCGAAGCGTTTTGATGATCAAGACTCAATTTCATTGTTTACTTCATACAATTGATGGTTACATCAATGTTTTCTTGTGAAAAATGTGTTAACTTTTCATAACGATAAAACAAATGATATCCGCTTGAATTTCAAGCTGATATATCACGTTCCTCGCATTTTAGTAAGTACATGTATTCAGATATTGTTGGTCTAGCAGATAAAATTAAATGTGCAAGGATATCGCGCAATGATCAAATTGTGAACTGAAAAGTAGTAGTTTCTGTTGACTGAAGTTATCGCCCTTGTAATATTAAATCACATTCATTTTTTGCTAAAATATTAACCATTCTGCTAATTCCAACTAAAAGTAAAATTATCAAGATTAAACATTTTATAATACCTTTTATAAAAAGGATAAGAATTCTCCTTTCATTCCAGAATAGGTATTTTTTCATTATTTCAATTTCTAAAAACTTTGAAACATCTCTTTATCAATTATAAATACAGTTTTTTCGCAAGGTTGAGGTATAATAAAGTCAAAGCCACAAAAAGAGAGTGTGAGCTAGTGGGGAGCCAATGGAGAGAGAGAGAACGGGGGGGAGAGTGGGGAGAGAAAGAGTCACTGTGGCGAGAGAGAGGCAAGGGAGAGGGGGAGTGAGAGAGAGAGAGGAGAGACAGAGTGGGGAGGGACAGAGTGGGGAGAGAGAGAGTTAGAGAGAGAGAGTTAGAGAGAGAGGATAGACAGAGTAAGGATAGAGAGAGTAAGGGGGGAGTCGGAGAGAGGAGAAAAAGAGAGTGGGGAGAGAGAGTACAGGGGGAGTCAGAGAGGAGAGAGAGAGTGGAGAGAGAGGACAGAGAGAGTGTGGGGGGGAGTCGGAGAGGAGAAAAAGAGTGGGGAGATAGAGAGAGTGGGAGTTGGTGTGGGTATTAAAAGTAGAGAGTAGAGGGCATAGAGGCTGGAGAGAGTTGAAAGTAGAGAGATTGGGGTTAAAATGGGGAGAGGGTGGGGCTCTTTAGCACTTTATAACATTAAAATAGCGTTATAAGTAGCATTTAAGATGCTTCATATTAACGCTTGAATATTTTATCTGGTAAAGTTTCACAGGTATAGTATCGATCTTTAAACAATAAAAATTAACTTATGCATATGATTAAAGATATAAATCATTAATAAATAAATAAAATGCTTACATCTGATGAAACGATAGACAGCGATACAATTTTTCCCAAAAACTTGTATTAAAACTGATTTCACTCGTCCACAATCGTATTTATCGTTTGACTCATTGACGTAAATTTCTATAAAATTCAAATCAAATACATATAATCCAATTTTAATTAATATTATTGAGACAGATTCTTACAGAATATTTCCTGGAAATCTTCTTCTCATGGGTGTAAGAGAATCCACATTTAGAGAATATCATTTACAATGACAATCTTTAACGATAAGCTATATTTATGCCAGTTAGCATTAATAAAACATGCACCATCTGCTTTTGATGTACTTTTAAAAAGCCTTTTTCTGTCAAACCTCATTTCTTTTTAAGAAATGTTCGAATCAAACAATATTCTTTTTTTTCAACACGAAAGACTGAATTTATCTTTCTAATGCGTCTTTTTGCTGCTATCCTCGGTTTTAAAGCACGCCGAGAAGTTGCTATCCATACACGTCAGCCCATGTATATTTTTGGTCATTAAGAAGATGTGATAGCCTTCTCATAGGCTCCCGGAAGTAGTCTCTGAGCATGCGCCTAGTGCGGTTTAACATTGGTCCAGCTTTGTCCTTGAAGACTGATTTGTACCTGTGAGACATCTGTGACATTCTGTTTAATAATGTTTCTGACACATCATCTATCAAAAAAGAAGATAATATGGGGAAAAATGAGAATTATATTAATGATATTGTCATTTAAGTAAGTGTGCCTTTTTAACGCACTTTACACTAAAGAAAAAAAATCATATGAAAGATGTTTAAACCTGTTTTCATGAAAATAATTCAAGGTGGTGCATTTAGAAAGATGAATTGTTTATCTAAAATCCAGACATATATGTATACATGTATCAAGATCCATTTTTCTTTCATGCGAAGCATATTGTAAAATATGATGTCTGCCATATTCAATAAGAATAACATATTAATCACTTTTATTCCTGTGAAGAAAGAACCATTTCGATTGCAAGTGATATATATTTACATTTTTCACTTAAAATGAAAAGAAATAAAAATTCCTTCATGACCTTCATAATCCATATGAGTACTATCATTTTCTTAGATTTATTTAGTTGTTGGATGAATACTGCAGTAGATACATCTTAAATGTCAAAATATATGTTGCATTTGATAGATTGCTAGATGAGTCGCAGGTCATTCTTTAGGCTAAATCATCACAATTCTTTTTTTTCTTCCGTGTTTAATACCGTGGGTAGTTATGATTTCGGATATGTTTCTTACCAACTTCAAGAAATTTGAACAAATGTAAAAGGTGAGATCTAATGTCTTTGGAGAAGTCTTCGGTTCGGACGATGAACATCTGGTTTCTCGGGAAGACATCTAACCAGTTGGCTATGTGGACATCGTAAAAGGAGGAATAAAGCGGGGTCTACAAAAAGACGACTGTTTATTTCATGAAAGTAAAATACGATTTATGATTTAATAAGTACAGGACATAAACTTATGCAGCAGAGCGCGTGTATAACATGTATAACAGTGAATTATAGATTTTCTTTTATTTATCTTATTCAAGAAAATATCAAAAGGTGAGGTAATTAAGATCTTGTCATTAACACTAGAAAATAGAAAGATTCAGACAAAACACTTTCAAAATCGGAGTTATAATTTAAAAAATCGCATATTGTCCGAACAAACATGTGCTTGACATAACCCTCGGGGAAAAAAAACACCAGAAAAGCTAAATTCACTAGCTTTAAAATAACTTTGGACAATGGCATTTATGAACTCATCAATAATCCTTCTAAAGTTAAAACAAAAAATGTTCGGTAGAGGAAGTTTATACATTAAAACTTTATAGATCATAACTTTACTGGTAAAACCCGATTCGATAGAAGTTTATTATCATTCCCCTACCGGTGAAACCGGAGGGGACTATAGGTTTCCTCTGATTCTGTCAGTCCGTCCGTCTGTCGTCTGTCTAACAGTCTGTCCTACTTGGTTTTCCGCAGTTTTTGACTAAACGCTTGCAGATATTGACTGATTTTTGGCATGGAAGTATATCTTGCATGATGAGTAAAGATCAAGTTTGAATTTCGTTCCGCGTCATTGATTTTTGACGGAATTATCGCATTTTTTTTTTCTTTTAATAATTGGGATTACGATCGGGTTCTTGATGCACTGAATTAATGTTCCAAACGAGCTTGTATCCCAAAGAGAAAAGGGGAACCCGGTAGGGACATATATTGCTTATGCAATAATCTCAGAATGCTTGTTATTACATTTTAGATCACAACTTACCGGCATATCCCTTAGAAGGGACCTGTTATAGAGACAGGACCGTAGACCGTCCCGACCCCGACATCGTTCTATGTACCTCATGGAGGCCGACACATCTACATGGAAATCCTCTGGTGACGTCCCGAAACCAAGATGGTAGTATTGACTGTATAATCTGGATAGAAAGAACAACAGATGACATAAAAGGATGTATAATCCAGGAGCTTAAATTGGTTAACTTTATAATACGAGGACAGGGGAAGTATATACAAGATCTTCAAGCAGAAAAGCCTAAAAATATACTTAATATGTGGGAGTAGGAGTTGTTTTACTTTGACACAATGAGGGGGTGGGGATGGCCAGGTAACGGATTGCGAGTATAGCTTGATAAACCCCAAGAGATAAATCCTTTCTGTTCTCTTTCCCAAGTTAATAATAATTAAGGACCAACGGCCCTCTGTTAAGAAAGATAACTCCCACTGGAATAAATCTATACATATAAATTAATGCATTTTGCAAATAAATTCCGAAATGGGTGCACCAGAGTCCTTACTTACTCCTCTATTAATATGCTACATGTATATACAAGATGATGCCCGTAATTTATATTTAGATTTTACTCGCATAGCAAGTATCGCACATTAAATTAAACGTCAACTTTGATTAAGAAATAAACAACTATGTTAAAAAGTTCACTGGGAAATGAAGTTGGTCACGTTATCAAATCCTGTGAAGCCCGAAGGTCTTAAAAGTTCGCCTCGCTCCAAGATTTGAATGTTTACAATGATGTTCAGCAGTCCACTTCAGGAATTCTCAGTTTATATATAATGCCAGAAAAATAATCGCTGTTGAGAATAAACTTTTTATTTCACAGTTCTGAAAATATTTGAAGTCAAAAGCAGTGGTATCGCCTGTTTTAGTTTACGTAACTCCAAAGGAATTTCGGGTTAAAAGGGAAGTGCGGTTTTAGGTTGATTATATATAGTATTCAAAACATTTTTCACATCAAAAGACAATCTATTGTACATCTGCATGCTGATTGAAAAAAATCCATATTTTTCAATCATTTATCTTTCCTTGCTATTAATTTAGAAATGTTCCGAAACCGTGACAGAAATATTTGTACTATGTAGGCAAAATATCATCTCGCCGATTCGGTCGCGCTATGACTTCTGACCCCCAAATAAGTTCATACATTACAGAATACTGAACATATTTTCTCTTCAAAAGGTTCATCTAAGAAAAACATTTGCAAATGTAAATATTTTTCTATAAACAGCCAAGAAATAGCAAAAATGAGTAAGATGGGTTTCCGATTGGCGGATCATATATTAAGCTATTCGCAATTTTAATGAAACTGGCAACATTTATTTCCTAATATTTACACTTCCAATGTCTTTGTCCGAGATAAAATTTCAAATTGTAAATGTACTTTATTTCCCCATCAATGTATTGGCGCGGTTCTAAAAAAAACCACGTGCAGAGCGGAACAAACAGCTGGACAGGAGCAGGGCTTGGAGAACGTGGATTGGCGGAATCAAAGCATGTAAATATAAGGAATATTGGAATAACTGTCAGATTTTTTCAATTTCATGACGATGATCAATCGATTGGCTTACGTGATAATTTTCTGCATAAACGCCTTCGTCGTTTATGCAAATTATCACGCAACCCAATCGATTGATCACACCATGAAATCGAAAAATAAGACAGTTATTCCTTAAATAAGTACTGAATATATTGATATATTGAAAGACTATAACATATATGTAGTAGGTTTTTCTAATAAATTTATAGGTAAAATTTAAATTTCCCTTACTGAGAGCATCATTGCAACGAACCGGAAGTACAATTAGTTTAAAATAAGATCCTTTGATTTGCTCACGTTGATCGCTACGTAGTGATCTGTGTGAGCAAATCAAAGGATCTGATTTCAATCAGATTGAAGAAAATTAATGAGTAAGATATTATTCATATACAATTAAAGCTGTAAAGTTTTGTGCTTTAATCAATCCATTTCAGTTTTTTTTTCTGAATACAGTCTACCGGCTTATTTATAGGGCGTTAAAAGCTAATTTTTACACAGGTACTTTGGTCTTGGCTTATACATATGAAAATGTATGTACCTTATACGATATTTTTTTCACATATCAATAAGGTACATACATATTTATAAACCAAGTCCAAAGTAACCCCCCCCCCCCCCAGCTTACCTCAAATCAATTTATCAGTAAAATGTGCATATTCAAATTCACTGCTTTTATCCTTCACGGAAATGAAATAAGAACATCTGAAGTACAATATCCATAACATAGTGTAACAGGTTTCACAATAAACGTCAAATAATGAAATTATTGTTTTTCAGGGGGGTGGGGGTGGGGTGGTGGAGACGTACATCTACTTTATGCGGGATTTCGAACAAAGTTTTTCTTCCTCCTATAGGCCTAGACTGTCAGTAAAACTGTCGTTATTGGTAACTATAAATTCAATTCCCCACGCATGCACGGGGTTTCATCTATTATTCCTTTATAAATAAAAGACTATTTTTTTTATTCCCCTGGAGAGTCTGAATTTTGTGAATTTTAATAAATGTAACATTTTTAATTGGAAGATCCTTTGCATCGAAGCAAAATTTTATGTGAGTAAAGAAGAGAGGATAGTGGACCTTAAGATGCGTATACTGTTTGAGTAAATAGGGATTATATAAAAATGTTAATTGTATTGTGTTAATATTAAAACAAATATGAGAACCTTTCCACTGGTTCCCTGAGTAGTAGGATGAGTTTTATATTGGGTTGTACATGGCGGATCAGATATGGCGTGGTGACGGTCGGCTCTAAGTCATTCTTGTAGTTCTGGGGGATAAATCGCCATAACGTGTTGTCCCAAAAATCCATGGGGTCTGCATGACCTAAAAAGGTATAAAACTCACAAATGATAGCCAATTTAAAACATCTTTTTATATTTCTGCGAGACACTCTTCTGCATGTTCTGTTGTTTTGTTATTTTTAAAAAAGTCATTTCTTCTTTTCTTAAAGCCTGTAAGTACATGTAGAACTTAAAAGTTCATATTCCTGATTTTCTTGCTCACTTACCTGTGATGATGTCAGAATATTTGGAGCCGTTTGATGATACCTTCATCTTCGATATCTGTGGAACTTGGAAGAAATCTATGAAATGGTCCAATGGTAGAAACTGATGCGGATCGACTGAAACAAAAGTATTTCATTCATTAGCCGGGCTTATTGCTCAAAGAGCAATTGCCGGCTTATGTCATCCTGTTCAAGGCAGGAAGTCAACCCCATAGTCGCCATTTTAAAGTTACGAGTAAAAATATAGTTCTTGCTCTCAACCGGTTTTTGAGATAATACAAACGCTAATTAAAGCAACAAAAACAAAACGAAGTTTTAACTTTATAAAACATAAGTAGTAATGACTTTGGAAACTTCAGTTCTAAGTCAAAGAACATAGTTCATTAGCGTAAGGATTTTTGATAATCAGTGTTATCGTAGTTCTCTACACATACGAGGTAAAGCAGGAGAGGGAACCAGACTAGCCTGTTTGTTTACATTCAGCTGCGTACCAGATTAATTCTGATTCTGACAAAATCGGACCGTGGTATTAGGATCGCAAAATTCACTGTCAGTGTCTTATCATTTATATTGATAGTTTTAAAATATTTTTTTCATCAGAATATAAACGTATGATTCATGTAAGAAATTCATTCTACTCTGTAAATGAGCCCGGCTCTCTGTATTTCTGAGTACTTTGATTTTTTGGACGCATCCAAGAATATGACATGAATTATCCCTATGCGCTCCCCGTTTAATTTTGTAAACGTCGAATGATAAATCTACAGAGATATACCCCTCAGCTAATAACCAGAATGTAGAATGTATTGGTAAGAAATTCATCAGAGATGCAAGAAAATGTCACATTGTGAGTGATAAAAAATCTCAAAATAAAGAAAAACATACCAAATTAAAAGCTCGTTTATTCAGGTCTCTTACCTGAAACATTTCTTTTCTTGAGATCTACATAAAAAGTACATAATGCACATAAATTAAAGGTTTATAAAAACAACACAAATGAAAATAAAAGAGCTGTGTTACAAGATTAGAAAGCAATATTTAAAATCGAATGACTTCTTTATAACTCATTCAAGTATTTAACATGTAAAAGACACATTTGGAAGATCTCGGGAATCAAGCTAGAAGACACTTTTTGTGGAGCGCACCTGTGCCGTAACGATGCCAGGACCAGAACCAGGTTTCTTTGGACATTAAACCTCTATTTGGAACTATCTGAGGATGTTGTATTAACCGAAAAAAGAGGTCCGTAGTGCCGGACTTGCAGACACCAAAAATGTGGAAGTAAGGAAGACATCGGAGTCTATTATACGTCCTGTTTCCTTTAAACTCATACCAACACGGATTTTTGAAATTTGGCAGAAACTTCTTTCTTTCCTGAAACCAGACAACAACAGACTATGAACTCTAATAACAACTTCGTATTAAAGACATCTTAATGTACTGCGGTTGTTATGATTTAGATATTGGTAACTAAGAAAAATAAACACAAACTTGACAGAGTATATCCTCTGCTAGAAATGGGTTCTTGGGTCCCCCACACTGATAATTCGGAACACCTCTGCGGTTTTGGAAGAGGAGATCCACGATCCGAAAAGGGATGAAGACTGGAAAAATGATAACAAGACTAAGCCCTATACAAAGGAGTGGGAAGTACTTCCTGAAACGAAATAAGTAAAGTTATTTTAACATTTCATTGAAAATTTGCAAGGCGATATGTGAAAGTCCTTTGAAGGAAGTACCGAGTATAGATCTTGATTCGTTCAGACCTTCGCCGACCGGTGTGTGGTGAAGTCCGTAATTCTCGTATGAGACGTAAAACAAGATAAAATCAATCAAGCAATAAACGTGGTATCAATGATTGAGGTTTCCCCATTTCCATTCATGGTTATTTAAATGTGGTGCAAGATACATTCGCAAGGAAGCGTTACTGTGATGTTGGAAAATGAGTCTTAGGGAGTTCCAGTTTTGCATGAAATGCCAAGGTGAGTATTAGTCATGCCCTAAAATTTGCATTTACTCCAAACCGGTACATTCGAAATTATCAATATTCGGGGGGGTGGGCGGAAATATCCTCCTCCCGAAATAACTCAACAGTTTTGCGATTTTACATGTTTTGTACGAGTACGAGTGGTAAATGAATATAAACTGAACATACATTCTACACGTACGTCTGTGAAAGTTTCATTCATGACTGAGAGAGTTATTTTGTACAGCATTCGAAATATATTATTGTAACAAAATTATCAAGGAAAAGAATTTATAAATATCCACTTTTAAAGCATGTAGAAATTTATATGAAATGCTACAGATTTTGTTTTTAACAGCTGAATGCCTTAATAAAGAGTTACTAGTATATCTGTAAACAGATATAAAGAATAAACAAAATCGTTTAAAAGTTTAAGTCTATTCAGTCATAAAAAAAATTCAAGGGTTTCGTATTTATCTTGCTGAAGAAATTTTTTCTTCTAAAAAGGATAAGTTTTTCCTGTTAAAATAATACATGTATAAACGATCAATGTGTGCATGCAGAAGACTTTCGACTTCCCCTTACATATTTAGTCAAGTGTTTCCTACATTTTTTTTCAATATTATGCAATTACATATATGTAATGATTGCGAACCTTTTCCTCTGCATCAACAAACGATCGACATTTTATCACTTGTATTTACAATGTATAGAACCCTATCTGTAATCATTCGTATAAAGTGCACGAGACTAAAAATATTGTATTATTGGCCCATATGTTACCTTAATGGAAGAGCTGATGAAAAAAATCTTTCCGACAGATGGCTTTATTTATTTTAAATTTCAGATTTCTTAGTAAGTAACAGTAATTTATTGTTCACGTTTATTAAGTGATGAAGGCAATGAGTTTTCATAAAAAAATATATAAGGAGAAAATACTAAGTGCATATATATGTAAATTATTAAGGGGTATTTTGTTGAAATCATATTTTCTTCGAAATAACTGACATTTAGTATAGAAAGGTTGTAAATTTTGGAATTTTCTAGGTGGGGTAAATTTAAAATTTACAACATTAAAACTATAGTTGCCAATGTGAAGTTTAAGTCTTTCTTGTAATGTCTAAATACAAATGACTATACCATAGCAAAAAAGGTTATGCAATTTTATAAACAAGTCATGTAGCCGACGAATTATTTAAGAGTATATATAGAGCATTATCTGGCACATCTTCGGAATACTCCTAGCATCCGAATTATATAAGGAGCTCTTACTTTTAGGAATAACCTTCGGAAGAAATACGTTTATGTTTACAAAATAAAAAATTATTTATTCTACCATTCATGATTTTTTTTTCCCATTTCACCCTTTAAAATACCTCTGACTATGCAATGCTCAATATACTCTGTAATATTTTACATCGCCCCAATGTATCAAGTATTGAGAGAATGGACTTGAACCTTTGTCCATAGTTTTTCCTTGGCATCTGTTCGTTTAGTCTTATTTTATTTCTTGTCCTATTTAATGTCATCCCTCAACCGACTTTCCAAGGACACTCCAAAATTACAAACGCAAGTCTGCAGAAAGTTTAACCTAATTTTATTCAATGCAAAATATTCAGTCCTTTCCAAAATGTTGGAGGGTGGGGTGGGGGAAGGGGGTAAGAATTGGCAGTACCTTGGTGACTGCTAAAGGTTTTGCATATACTCAGTACATGTATATGGTGGATAATTCACATATCTCCATGAACAAATATCTCAATAATATTTGCTTTTAAATTTCCTCGAACTATTCGAATTAGCGCCTGCATCTCTTAGTGATCCGCTCCCAAAACATGTTTTAATAAATTATAATTTATTTTAATAATGTAAAAAAAATCACTTTCTCCTATATTGAAATTAATTATTTTTTCACCAGGAGGCATATTTATGTAATCAGAAGTCTTTACATATGTGCATATTTGTCCATGTCTCCCTGATCATAACTGTCAAAGTGTGAACTTTGTACATGATGGTAAATCATAAAAGATTATCCCTCGCGACAAAAAAGTCAATGTGAAAGGTTTGCCTCGGGTAATATTCTAACTACGTTTTTAAAGATTACCTTGAGAATACACAAATTAAAAACATTATAAATACAACGTACAGAATACATATATTTTAATTAATTTATAGATTCCTTAACAGTATTTCTGCTCCGGAAGAAAACAAACACTTTGACCCTCTTTGGGGTATTTTTTATTCATTGTCTCGGTAGTAGAGAGAGAGAGAGAGAGAGAGAGAGAGAGTATTGAAGCAAGGCATCTCTGTGATGGCCGCTTAATTAATCTCGACATTTAATTACACACGTGTATTCTGGTTTGTCAGTCTAATAAATGTAAAAATACAGAAATTGTATGAACCAACAGAGCCCCCTGATTTTTTCACCCTTTTGGACAAAAAATGTTTGATCTGTACCCACCGTTTTGTAACTTTATGAAATAATTTCCGTTTCCACTTCAGTAAAAGTTTAAGTGGCATGTCTTTCTCCAAAAGAAGAATGGAATACGTACATAAGTCCTAATGAATAGTGTGTCATGTCGCTTACAAAGGTCTTCACACGGTAAGAAGATGTATGCAAATTGACTTCACCGTTTTCTTGACAACATGTGCCATTTACCTGCGACGGTCCCCTCCCTGCTTTCTGACAATTCTCGCCAATTGATTATCGAAGATTATTTCTCATTCATGTAAATATTTTCGTATGAACCGCTGATTAAAAACAAAAAAATCAAAATGACAGTTGTATTTCGTAATGCTGTTTTTTTCTCTCGTCTCTCTCTCTCTGCTTCAAGAAATATTATGTTATATTTTTTTCGCAATCAATGATGAATAATAGATTGATTTGTAGACATTTAAACTTTGCATTGAAATCATTGGCATTGTTTGCGTAAATAAGTGATATTTAGGGCTGCATTTTGCTTTGTATTCTGAGATCAGTAGATGTATAGATAAACACGCAAACATGGGGAAAAATTCTATCGCTCGACCACAGCTGAATTAAATAATAAATGAGTTATACAGAGTTAAGGGAAAAAACTTCCTTGAAAGGTCGACAAGCTCAATTACGATGTAAATAGTTTTTAATTCATTCCTTTTTAATTCAATGTATCAACATTTTTTTTTTGTTTGATCTGTCATGTAAGTAAATAGACATTTTTGCTCCTTGAAAATATAAATTTTCAATTACACGTATTTCATTACCGAAGGCAAAAAAAAAAAAAATTAAGTCGTATAAGGATAAATTTACCTTATTTGTGTAAAAAAGACCGAGGTGGTTGCAACATGGAAAAGTGAAAAAATAGAGGATGATTAATTATTTGATTTTAAATCATATGGAAAATTTAGGAAGAAAAATTGCAATTTTAATCTCGATGGTTTATATAAGAAACATCTTTATTGTGTATTTTTGTGTATTTTTTTTTTATTATAACACATGCTCTTTGCATAGGTAATTAAAGAAATCCGAAGAGTGCCACTGTACTTCTGATATTCTTCCGACATATTTTATTCAATAATTATTCACAGTGCTTCGCCGTTAAAACGTAATAGGTAAAGAAGGAAATTTATAAAACACGAAAATTAAGAATACTCATTGATTTGAGATACCGCATCATTGTTAGTTTTTCCTTTTCTGTCTGCATCGAAAATTATGAAGAAATTGTATGTTATAATTTTCTGGAAAATATCATGTCACCTAGGCCGAAATATCAGACGATTTTGATATCTCGTTTTCCTGGCACGTAAAATTACATGTCACCATGTTTAATAGAAGAGATTAAGTTGTACTGGCTATAGTCCATTAATTTTGCTTGAATTTTGAATTTCTATAGCACTGCAGTTTGTGCAATAAAATAATCAACAGCTGATCTGCCCATTTAAAAGATGGAGATACATTCAGATCAAAGTGTAAGTGTCCATTTCATCACATCTGGATCGTCTATCTCGCTGGTAAATTTGGACATATCGTTTTATTACAAATAGCTTTTACACAATTTTATGGAAAGTTAATTGAAAACTGTTGATCACATTCAGCAGTCAATTCATTTTTGTAAACTGGTGAATAATCAAATCAGTTTCATATTTTATAGTGTAGTTTGAAAGCTGTATCATACATTACAAATTAAGTTTTGAGTGAATGCAAATTTAATTCATACATTCTGACTTTTCACAATATATATCAGGCATATAATGTGGCTATTCTTTGGAAAATAGTCAATATAGATTTCTTTTTTTTCCCTTGGATATACGTAAATGAAGGGAGTGAAGAATATCACGGGGCGTGGTAATACACGTGAGAAAAAAATGTGAAAGTCTTATCTCTTCTCATTCAAAAGTTATGACCAAGGTTAAAGTTTTTGTGAGAGACAGACGGACAAACTCACTGATGGACAGACTGACGAATGAGATTTAATGTCCCCTCGCTTTCGCGAAAGAGAGGAACAAAAAATTACAACACAAATATATAAGATTATAGACTAGAAGTAGACAATTGTAGAATACAAATAAATAACATAGATACATGTGTGTGTGAAACATTGATGTCCCCGTGTGGCATCTTATGGCGAGGGTTGAAGTTTCTCAAATGCAAGTCAAAGGTCAAGGTCAAATTGTTTGTTCTCAAAGGAAGGTCGGTACTCTCACAAGAAATCGAAGGTTTCTCTCAAGGAATACGCCTGTGAAATATAAAAGCCATAGCCCCAGTCCCACTCAAAAGTTACATGAACATGGTTAACGTTTTTGCGGACAAACAGACAGGCCGACGGACGGATTGGAGAAAAACTATATACCAGTACCCCCAATATTCGATTACGGGAGCATAATTCTTTATGGGTAAATTCCTCTAACTATTTTTAGTATCAGTATAGGAGAAGAAAGTAGTGCAGAAAAAATTATAAGTTCCTTAATTTGCAGACTTGAAAAAAGAAGTGTGAAGATGTACTAAACTAAGTCTCATACTTGTTGATAAGGAGTATCTTTCCTAACAAAATAGCTTCAATGTAATTTATCAGAAGATCAGCTGAGTTATTTTGTGTATTACAACGCCAGTGAGTTGACCTTGACCTTGGAGTTTAACCTACTTTTAAAAAAACTTTAACCTTTGCCATAATTTTTGAACGGTAAGGGCTAGGGCTTTCATTCTTCACATATGTAATCCTCGTGGCAAGGCCTTTCTTTAGAATCCAACAACTTAGATCCTTTGAGCTTGACCCTAAAGTTTGACCTACCTTTATAAAACTTGAATCTTGACCATAACTTTTGAACAGGTGGTTATTTTCTGTGAGAAGGCCAAGTACTTTGGGTACCAACATATTTGATTTGCATTTGAGAAAGTTTGATTTTCGCTATTTTGCCATGCGGGGGCATATGTGTTTCACTAACACATCTTGTTTTTTAAGGTACATTGATACTCTGATAGGAGAGGTAACACTTAATGACACAAATGTCTATTATTCCTTTATAAATTTGTCAAGTTTAAGTGCCATTTTTGTCAAATTTTGCAGCTTATAAATTAAAAAAATGATTCCGCAAGCCATGCATTTTTGTTCTTATAATGTACCTGTGCTATAATTGTTTGTATTTTATTCAGCATATACATTTCCTGTGAAAAATCATAAAAGTTAAAGAAAATTTCATATGAGTGAGCAGAGGGTTTATGAAAGCCACATGTAATTTTTTTTAAATGAGAAATTTATTTTGTACTTGCCCCATCATTGTGATAAATTTTGCCTGGTCCCTGAAAACAAATTTATTCAAAATCCTTTATTGAAGACAAAATTTACGAACGTAAAATATGGTGTACCTATGATCGACAAAGCGTACATGCTACACTTCGTTGGTATGATCAAATGACTGAACATTATTTCAAGCCAAGTTATTTTACAGTTTAATGTAGAGAGAATCACCATTTCAAAACCATTATACTTCTAGCATACACAGCAATGTACTGCAAGATAGAAAAATTCAAAGAATTGTGGTCCCCGCTTTCGGTGTCTTAGTGGATGCCATTATTTATGACATGTTGTGTCAAATATGTACAGAGGTTTAATATGAAAGCTTTATCTTTTCTCATTCAAAAGTCATGACCATGGTTAAATTTTTTGAAAAGTGGGTCAAACTTCAAGGTCAAGGTCACGAGGTCAAAAAAGTACAATGTACTGAGAAAGGTCTTTTCACAAGGTAATACACACGTTTAATATGAAAGCCTTTTCTCTTCTCATTCAAAAGTTGTAGCCAAATCAAAGTAATTTTTCTTTTTCTTTTTAAAGTAGGTCAAACGTCAAGGTCACAGGGTCATATATCATTATAGTGTAATGTCACAGCTTGGAACAAACTATTTGTCTCTTTGGTACTTATAATGCTAAAAAATATCTTTGTCCCATAGTTTTCTTCGATGAAAAAATAATTGCCCTGTGCCTATTTGTGTCCGTCCCATCATTAGGAAAATTTTGCCTGGTCCCCCAGTACTTGACAAACACCAACAAAATTCGTGCAAAAAAACATTACCTGTAAATAAATAATCTGTGTTAATTTTCTGCGTTTTTCATCCTATAGAGTAATGTTTAATTTTAATTTGTTGTATTAGGTCGATGATAAAAAAAACAATAGAAACTCAGGAATTCAAACTTTTTTTTAACCGACAAGTACAAAACAGGATTTACATACTGTATAATGTGAATGAAATCGTTTAAATGAGTGACTAATGTGATGACCAATATAACAGGTGAACTTTGCGGCGGATGGCACTCTTCTTGATTTAATGTGAAAAGAGAGATAACCCTATTAGGTTCCTTATTGGCAGGTACTCGATATGAGCGCGCCGTCTAGTACTGCACAATACTTTTACTATGTAACATATATACACATGTGTGTGTGTATACATGTATACACATATATATACATATGTATATATATGTGTGTATATGTGTGTGTATACTTTTCTTTCTTTATCACGTAATGTTGTATCCTTATCCTAACATATTTTTGACCTGGTTATGATATAAAAGGAAACATTACAGAAGGGATCTAATTACATATTTTCTAAAAGTTTTAAGAGTTTTTGAGACACTATAGTAGAAGTTTTTAAAAAAAAAAAAAAAAAAAATTTTGATACAAGAAAATGATACATATAAGCCAATCTTTACAGATGTGTTTCTGGAATGTTGGTGGTTTAATATCAAAACATTCTGACAAAACGAAGGACCCAAGCTTTATCAAGGAAATATCCAAATATGATTTTGTTTTCTTAGCAGAAACGCATCTTGATCCCAATTACAAGATTACCAATCTGAGCTCATTTTACTGTTATTTTACACATAGAAAAATTACAAAACAAAATAATAGGTACTTTGGAGGATTGGGAATTCTTGTTAAACAACATCTACGACCCTACGTAAAGATTTTACAAAATACAAGCCCTGACTTTCAATGGATAAAACTTGAGAAAAATTATTTTGGATTTGATCAGGATTTATTTATATGTGTTGTGTACAATCCACCCAGTGGATCAACTTATACCCAAGGACTTGAAATTGATATTCTGAACAACATTAACAAAGATATTGGAAATCTAAAAGGGAAAGGAGATATCTTATTGTGTGGAGATTTTAATAGTAGAACTTCAATTGAGTCAGATTTCATTTGTGATGATGACCTTCAATTTATCCCTGTAGATCGTAATTACAACACTGATAAAATCATATTACAAAGGAAGAGTAAAGATCAAAAGATTGATGGTCGAGGTCGAGATCTATTAGATTTTTGTATTGGAAATCAGTTTCGAATATTGAATGGCAGAGTCCTTGGAGATATGTCTGGTCAGTTCACATGTCATACTCCTAATGGTTCAAGTATTGTTGATTACGTCATTGTATCTGAAGATTTTTTTGAAAACATTTTGTATTTCAAAGTAGCAGACTTTATTCCAACATTCTCTGATACACACTGTAAACTTGAATGGTCCTTATCTGCTAAATTCAAATTTATACCTGAAAAAACTAAAAACAAAATTCTAAATACAAAACCATTATCCACCAATTATATATGGGATGATAACTCTGAACATAACTTTTTAATTGCTCTTTCATCCAAAGATATTCAAAATAAGTTATCGGACTTTCATAAGAAATATGAAAGCATTGAGATTGCACAAGAAACTGTTGATGAGGCATCAAATGAATTTAATAATATTATAATTCAGGCAGCTAACAACTCTTTACTTAAAAAAAAAATTCCCAAATCAAAAAAGTTTAAATCTAAAAAATGGTTTAACAGTAATTTACATAGGCAACATATGAATTTAATCAGCTATGGTAAGATATTGTCAAGGTATCCTACAGATCCACAAGTAAGAGGTCACTACTATAAATTATATAGAGAGTATACAAAAAGTAGAAAAAGGGCACGTAAAGAGTACCAGAGGTCAATATTATCCCAATTAGAAAACTTGCATGAAGAAAATCCAAAAATGTATTGGAAACTCGTTAATGATCTTAAAGAAGGAGACTCGTGTAAGACAGACGGATCAGAAAATTCCATTGATTCAGATACTTGGCTAAATCATTTTCAGAGCTTAAGTAAAACCAAAGAAATTTATTCCGAAAGATTAAATATTCTCCAGAAAAGTCTTGAACAGCTAGAATCCACAAAGATATTCAATACATTAGATTTTCCTATAAAACAATCGGAAATATCTCAAGCAATTGCTAAACTTAAACATAACAAGTCTCCTGGTTTAGATAATATTTCAAATAGTATGTTAAAATGTGGGCAGCATGTTTTACTATCCTGTCTTGTTAAATTATTCAATATGGTGTTGTCCAGTGGGAGATATCCCAAGGCTTGGTCATGTGGATATATTTCTACAATTCATAAAGGTGGTGATAAGAATGATCCAAATAATTATAGAGGGATCACTGTAACAGGTGCAATAGGAAAAATTTTTAATAGTATTTTGAATAACAGACTAGACAAATTTCTTATGGAAAACAGAGTCATTGATGATTGTCAGATAGGATTTACCAAGAAAGCCAGAACATGTGATCATATGTTTATTCTAAAATGTATTTTTGATAAATATTGCACTGAAAAGAATGGGAAACTTTATGCATGTTTTGTAGATTTTCATAAGGCTTTTGATACTGTTATACATACTGGGATAAAAATTAAACTTCTTCAGATAGAAGTTGGACAGAAGTTTTACAATATTGTCAAAGAAATGTATCAAAGAAGTATTTCATGTATAAAAATCAATAATCGAATTACTGATTTTTTTCCAATCCAGCAAGGTGTTAAGCAAGGGGACAACTTAAGCCCAAATCTGTTTAAAATATTTATAAATGATTTACCGAAATACATGGATAACTCTTTAGATTCTGTTACTCTTAATGATCACATAATACACTGTTTAATGTATGCTGATGATTTAATCTTGCTATCAAGCACTTCGAGTGGTTTACAATCAAAACTTGATATATTGGACAAATATTGTAATGATTGGTGTCTAAATGTTAACTTATCTAAGACAAAAATTATGATTTTTAACAGAGCTGGAAAAAAAATATCAGAAAAGTTTTCTTCTCAAAATAAGTTGATTGAATGTGTTCAACAATACAAATATCTTGGTATTTACTTTTGTAACTCAGGTTCTTTTACCTTTGCTCAAAATGAATTATATAAGAAGGCCTTGAAAGCATGTTCAAAATTACAGAGAGAAATTATGTCCAATTGTCATAATGTCAATATTAACCTTCATTTATTTGATCATACCATCTCTCCTATTCTTCTATATGGTTGTGAAATTTGGGGGGCTTTCAACCCCTTTGCTTCAAAATTTCAAAACAAAGATATTACAATGGACAAAATATTCAACAAATTAAAATGTGAAACAATGCACATTAAATATTGCAAGGCTATTCTTGGAGTGCATAGAAAATCAACAAACTTTGCAGTTCTATCTGAGCTAGGTAGATTTCCACTGTATCATTCAGTTATTAAAGCTATGCTAAGTTACTGGTTTCGACTAGAAACATTACATCCATCCTTTGTCCTACTCAAAGAAGCATACTCCGTCTCAAAAAGCCTCTTTTTACAAAATAAACCATCATGGTTTGCATCCATTGAGACAATTTTGGGTCATTTAACTGCTTTCAAAAATATTGACTTATCAAAATATAGTGTTTGTTCATTTAAAAAGAAGTCATCATGTATTATAAGACAATATTTTATAAACCAATGGTATAGAGAAAATAGGCAGCAAAATGATGGCAAACTAAGAACTTATTCCATCTTCAAAACCAATTTTGGAAGAGAACACTATCTCCACATTGTTAATAACTATGATCAGAGGAAAAATATAACTAAACTTCGCATTTCTGCACATCAATTAAATATTGAAAGGGGAAGATATGAACTTCCCCCTGAATCTAGAAAGTGTTCTCAATGTAATACACAGGAAGTAGAAGATGAACAACATTTTTTGCTCATTTGTCCAAAATACAGCAATGAAAGGTTGCAATTAATGGAAACAATATCAAAAATCAACCCAAACTTCTCTTCTTTGACACCTGATGAAAAACTTATATGGATATTGAATAATGAAAATAAAGAAATTTTATGCTTACTTGGAAAATTTATTTCTGAAAATGGTAAAAGAACCAATGTATAAATACATAGACTCTCTGTCATCATCTTGTTTATGCATGCTCAGCCATTTAAATTTATACATGTATAGCATCACATTTTTGTATTGTTTTGTGATCAATGACATTCTTCTGGACACTTGTATAAATGTATGATCAGAGACACTGAGAACAATATTATTATGTAACTTGGTCATTTATATAACTGTTTAAAAAAATTAATTATATTGATATATATATATATATAAAAGAGAGAGAATGTTTAAATTGTATATTTATGTATGTTGAAATGCCCCCCGGGGCCCTTGATTGGTAAATAAAATATCTTGTATCTTGTATCTTGTACTTCATTTAGATCTAAGTACAGTTATCTCGTAGTGTGGCTGTTCCTTTTCATTGCCGGTACACAAAGTCCAATAAACGGCCTTTGTGTCAGTCACTTGTAAAATAAGTGTTTCTTGACTGGTAGCCCTAGATATTATATACGACTTTTTTCGATATAATTTATATATATCGGACACAGTTGGCTTTTTGAGACGGTGGATAGAAACTGTAGGTTAAGATTTTGAGCTCATATTGTCTTAATGTTTTTTGATTGTTTGTTTTAATCACAAGGTTTATCAATTGTTGCATATAGACGACTAATTAATTGCCATTTTCAAACTGAATATCTCATTTATAATAATTTTCCTGTAAATCTTTCATCTTTAATTTAGGAGATTTTCTGTGACAAAACAACGAATCTACTAGTATATATCAATTTGTTGATAATTATAAGTATTTTCTTCATTGTATGATAATTACATGTATATTACACGTTCCTTTTTTTTACGATTTAAAATATATACATGTATACATGTACATGTAAAAAATAAAGTGTAACTTGCATTTATCCAATCAAGATTCTGTTTGCACGCACTCACTATTGAATTGCAAGTTTATATACTCAAATATGATGAAACTTCAATATGAAACCTAGCAACATATAGTGGAGAGGAAATTTTTTTTTTCGAAAATTCGCACTTTTGGTGACAAATCAAATCATATAGAATAAAATAATTGCAACAAAGAGTCTCTTGATAATTCAATAATTCTAACTCTATATAGTTTGTAAATATGAACTATGACAATAACGGAAACAAACCATGATTTAAAATGAATAATGATACAGCAATTTTTTTCAACCGACATATACAGTCAGCAGGGTGAAAAGATACGCAATGATACAATCGGTAAAATGTGATATTGTGTCTTCTTTTCATTATATTAATCGCTACCATATTTTTTTTCAATTAAATCTATTTCCTTCTTCACGGCGGATTATATTTCCCAGTAGCGGCGTGTCCAGACGAAACGACGAGGCCATGATTTAAACCCCCCAGTTCAATGCACGACAACACCGTGCCAACATATAAACTCTATTGATTGTTGGGGCAGAGACCGAAAGTAACTGGTGATTTCGAAATTTGTCTTGACGGACACACTTTAGATGAATGGAATTAAGTGTTGAAAAGAAAAGTTTGTTTGTAAGTGCTTCGTGTGAAATCTCTCCTCGTCCGTTTCGAAACAGGTAAATACTTCCTCTCTTAGATAAATCGTATATGTGAACCGTAGACAATGTTATAAATAGTGCGTAGTAAAACGCCCCTAAAACAGGGGTATTGATAGTGAAGGCCATGTGTGTATATTTGCGATAGGCGTGAATTACTATAATCAGTTAAATATGTGTGTACATGTCGAAATATTCTTTTATTTTTTGACAGAGTTCATAATTACTGCATGTTTTGACCTGTGTTACTGTATACAAACCTCGTATAATGCCATTGCCTGTCACACGTGTGGGTGCTCATGTGTATGAATAAATAATTGCAATTCATTGCCAACACACGTGCATTTAACAACTGGTAGTACACAAATGTTTTGCTTTTCTTTTTCAAGACGCCACCGGTCGAGGACGTAAGATAATCGATGCGGAAATATCCCGTTGCTTGTGCACAAAGACAAATTGTTCCACAGGAATGATCGGAAAGTCACTATCAGGACTACATCTATTTATAACTAAGTTCGGAGAATAATGAGGAGTGGTTTGATTGCTAATAGGCGGATCACAGGTAGGCGATTGATAATTGGAGATAAAATTTGGCAAAAAGTAGGGGGGGGGCTGAAAATTTGAATGTTAAGGAAGTTAAATATTGTTTTCCTTGATTAGCAGATTAGAGGCGTATTGAAATTGATAATAATAATAGTGTGAAAAATCAACATTGTCACAAAATGCACGTGCAGTCATCAAGAGAAAAGGGGAAAATAGTAATATGGTAGCCCCTCCACCCTATTCTACTTAACTGATAAGGGGAATATGCATGTAGGAAGATTATTAATCATCTGTTAATTAAACAATTTAAAAACATGAGCAACATCTTATTAGTGCAAAATGATTAATGCCAAAAAGATATTTGAATGTTTCTCTATTTTAATACCTCTATGTAAAAACAGGAAGAAGAAAGACGTTTTTTTCATGGACATTGTTGGAAAAATACATTCCCATGTTGTGGTGTAAACCTGAAGTATGGATATAATACCCTCCCCCTTTTGTTAATGAAAAAAAAATGTAAGAGTGTATAATATCTCAAAAATATAAAATTTCCCCGTCAAACACATCTATATGTCGTTATATGCAAGCAGATTGTACTTTTTCTCACGTTTAAAGAATGACCCTATTCGGTATAATAAAAATACACAAGGCTTACATTTTTTTCATTAACAAAAGGGGGGGGGGGTATTATCCATACTTCAGGTGCCTGTGGTGTAAACACGGTAAATGTGTCCCTCTATAAAATTGTCACTACATTTTTACGGTTTAATGAATTTATTGTAAGCAACGCAGAAAAATATGCTTGATTAATACCGTGTTTATTGATGCGCTAACCTTCATGAAAAACAGTATGTTTAAAGATTTCACCATACATTCTGATATGTTTAAAAATCTAATAGCTTACATGTATTTTAATTATGACTGCATCTTGCACGATTTAAACAAAGTTCAGACTGCATTACTGGATACTTGACCACGTAAATAGATAATCGTAGCACTGCTGTTCATAAAACAAATTTGAAGACTTTTTCTTTTTGTATTTCACAGAAATTTGAAACTGATTTTGGCCATACCCTACCCCTAGGGACCGAAAATAGAATACATATGAATCTGCACAATATCAAGATGCTATTAGTACTACCGTTTATCTTTTTCTTTTAACATCGCATTAGATTTGCCCTGTATCCTCCTCTGTTCAACTCTTCTAACTAGGATATATCTACTTTACACGATGATGGTCTAGTGGTCTAAAAGTAGCTGCAGATCTAAATATTGATAGACCGGAGATCAAAATATTTTTTTTCGGAGCTTAAACTTAAACATTATAAAACACACAGAAAGCTCACTTAATCGACCTAAAATCAGAACACTAATGAAAATGTAAACATGAATGATTTCTGTTCGGAAATTTTGTGAGGTTATAGGATATTTTGTGGACAGTTTGAAATATAATATACCATTGAACGAATTTTAAACGCCATTTTTATGCGCCCGGATCGATTGATCCGAGGCGTATATTGTTTTTGTCCTGTCTGTCTGTCTGTTGTCAACTTTAACCTTCGCTATAACTTTTGAACCTTGAGAGGTAGAGACTTCATATTTGAGATGCGTACTCCAACTAATAAAGTTCTTTCAAAAAACGCCAAGGTCAATAACCTTGTGACCTTGACTGTGACCTACATGCTAAAGATGGCTTCTTCTTTTTTTTAAAAAAACTTTTGCCGTAACTTTCGAACCATAAGAGATAGAGACTTCATATTTGGTATGCATACTTCACTAATTAAGCGCATAAAAATGACACCAAAGTTAATGACATTGTGACCTAGACTGTGACCTACAATTGTATATGCTAAAAATAGCTTTTTTGAACTTTCGTCATAACTTTTGAACCAAAGGAGATACAGACTTCATTTTTCGTTTGCATATTCTACTATTAAAGGTCTTTCAAATGACATTAAGATCAATGACCTTGTGACCTTGACTGTGACCTTTATGCTAAAAATAGTTTTTGGAACTTTGTTGTCGCCGGGCGCATAGTGTTTCACAATTTTTTTTTTTTTTTTTCTTATCAAAATATCATTTAAAGACACTAAATTTATGTATGTTCATAAAACTATTCTTTTTCACAGGCTATTAATCATACAGTTCGGGATGCTAAACCGGCGGCGTGGTAGAAGATATATCCGTAACTTCATCCTTTTTGTTGTTGCGGTAACAGCCATTGTTTATTTCAACATTCAATTCAACTGGCCGGTGTTTCATGTGTTCAGAAATAAAAATATACTCGCTCCTTGTATTTTGCCAAAATATGACATCTACGATCCCCAATTAGACCGATTCTTCTGGAGCCAAGTTCCTCTGAAATGCGAAACTTGGGAAAATCTGGTGTATATTGATGCTGAGGGTATCCTGCACGTCAACGAAACCGCCATATCAAGAAGTGGACACGGTCATGTGACCTGCAAGTATGGAAAAATTCATCTCCACGGGGATTATGGGAAAGTCAGCATTGAGGATTTAGTCGAGTTTAAGCAGCCCGAATATATTGACACGGATTTTATCAATGTGCAGTGTTTTAATGATGATAACAAACAAATTTACAATAACCTTCACCTGCATGTTGACATTAAAAGTATAAAGAAACAGAGGCAAATTGGTATGGAGAGTAAAGATCAATTAAGTGTTTACTTGTTTGGAATTGACTCAATGTCAAGACTCATCACCGAAAGAAAAATGCCAAAAACTATGAAATATTTACGAGAGGAACTTGGTGCGTATGTTTTCAAAGGATACACCAAAGTAGCAGATAATTCGTATCCTAATCTACTTCCGGTTTTTACCGGTTTGAAAGCATATACAAAAGAAGTACCCCCTGGAATAGAAAATATCCCATTCATATGGAAGAACTTTTCTCGAAAAGGATATATAGATCTTATGTCAGAGGACCATCCGGGGCTCGCCTGTTTTCAGGGATTTAATGACCCTCCCGTCACACACTATCTGCGGCCATTTTTTATGGCCATGGAGAAAATTGTGAGTCCTCGTAGTGCCCTCAACAATGCCTATATGTTTGTGCAACACAGAAATTTTTTGCAAAATAGTGCCTCTCCGATGTGTTTTGGAAATCAGCTAAAACACAAATACGTTATGGATTACACTAGCCGCTTTATAGAAACCTACGGGTCTCATTTAAAATTTGCATGGTCGTGGATTAATGAAATTACGCATGACTTCATTAATATTGTTGAACTGGCAGATAAGGATGTCCTCGAACATTTTAGATGGTTAAAGGAAAGCAGACGATTAGAAAATGCTGTACTGATTTTCTTTGGTGATCACGGTCCAAGGTATAGCGAGATGCAGAACACAGCTGTTGGAAGAATATCAAACCTTCTTCCACTATTTACAATGGTGCTTCCTGATCATATAAAATCCAGGTTTCCCCATATACACCGAAATGCTAGGACAAATATCAATAGATTATCAACACATTATGACTTCTTTGAAACACTGAAAGACATTTTGAATTCAGATTTTGCTGAAAAACCACCAATAGACAGCACTAACATTCCGAGAGGGATTAGTTTGTTTCGAGAAATTCCAACGAGTAGGAGCTGTCAAAGCGCAGATATATCAGAACATTACTGTCCTTGTTACTCATCGAAGGAAATTCCTCCGCAAGACGAAAGAGTGCGCATTGTTGCGGACTTCGTCGTTGACAAAATCAACACTATCCTACAAGAGATTCCTGGGAGGTGTGCTAAATTGTCCCTCGACTCAATTCAACAAGCCTCCCTCGTATATGCTGATATGGAAAGGGACTCGGGAGCCGAAAGCTATTTTTCATTTAGGAGTTATTTATGGTCGATCAAGGAAAAGACGCGTATTCTTGTAACTCTGAAAACTAAGCCTGGTGGGGCACAATTTGAAACGACTGTAGAGTATCGTGGTAAAAGAAATATTAAACTTTTAGGTGATATTAATAGAACTAATAAATATGGTGACCAAGCCAAATGTATCAAATTTGAAGAGAAATTTTATAGATTATATTGTTTGTGTTTGTGATTTTGAAACAACAGTTGAATTAAATCAAAAGAAGTTGATTTTTTTATATATATTATTTCGTACTTATCATACACACATAACATAAAAATTAAAATATGTAAACATATAAATTGTATTTTTATGTGATAAGTGGCCCAGTGTTGACGGACTACATATTCAGGGTGTCCCAAAACGTATGTTACACTACTAAATTGTTATAAAAATTTTATGCCTCAAGTTATATGAATGAAATTTAATATACATAATGAAATTGTTCTGAATTTTTTGTCAAGCAAACATGTGTCACAGTTTCCTTATTTGTTATCAATATTTTTTGTTTAGAATAACATATGTCATTTTACAACATCTTCTAAATGAGGTCCCTTTAACTTAACAGTGTTTGAACACGATTTCTGATGTTTTTTTTTATCAAACTTAAATGTAACATTCTAACAGTTTGGATGGTTTTCCACACTAAAACTGAATTTCACCAAACAACAGAGTTTAAGATTTTCTTTAAAAACATTGTTAAAATGGAAGTGGGCTTCATCTGAAAACCATACTTGAAGTAACTTCTGTTAATTTTTCTGGGTCAGGTCTAATTAAAATCCAATGGACAAGCCGAAAATGATTTCTAATTTCAGTCTCTTTCAAATGCAGCATTAAGGAATCAATTTTAATTAAAATTTGAGTATTTTATGGACACTAGATTTATAAAAGTTGTTAATACAGAACCCTTCTAAGGGTTTTTTTGTAAAGTTTCAATAGTAAGTTTATCAATGTGTGTAATGTTCTCTATGGTACGGAATTTTGATCTTCTGATGCCAGAATTAAGTCATGAGTCATTTATGGTGCATTTAACTTCAAACTCCTTCACAAATTTGTAAATTAGTATTCTGTTGAGTAATTTCATTACAGGATGTTGTTTTCCCATGGCTCTTATGACTAAAGTAGAAGATTTAGACCCATAGTAAAGTTTTACAAATTCTATCTGACAGCTGTTCACATGAAGGTTCCATATTAAAAAATATGATGCCGTCATAAGGACATAATAATTACCTTAATTTTTAATAAAATTTCTCAAACGTTTGTCAGTTAAAATGTATACTAATACACTTCATGTTGACAAAATATCTTTGTGCATGCTTTTGGTTTGATAAAGTTGTATATGATTAAAAGTGTAACATATGTTTTGGGACACCCTGTATATGCACATGGGGTCCATTTTACAAAAGAACTTACGATTAAGACCTAAATTTTATTTGCCAATAACTTTCTTATGTTAATATATGTATATATTTATGTTAAATACAAAATAGTTTTAGTATTTTTAAAAAGGTATGTAGAAAGATAATTTTACGCTAGCATTTTAAAAAAAAATCATTAATTTGTCAAATTTGTACATTCAAATCAAGTGATGTACTTTTGTAAAGCAAACCCCTGATCTGGTTTTCAGCAGCAAAGATACCTATCCAAGAAGATACAAAATTCCAAACTCAAAATTTGCTTTGTCATAATAATCAGATAGTATGAATTTGTAACACCTCATGGATTAAATCAGATTTGTAACACCTCATGGATTAAATCGGATTTAAAAAAAGAAGCAATCGATGTTAATACTAGTAGTGGTCACACTTTCAAAATATTTTATATGACTAAGCCTTCAATCACTATTTACACCTTTGGATATTAATAAGCATTTAGGCAAAAGTCCTACAACCATATTCAACCATTAAACTGGTGCCGTGACCAGGATACATTTATATTATTGTCATAAGAATGTCACTACCAAGAAGACAAGTATTTATCAACTTGATTTTGTATTATCAGAAAACTTCACTCTTTTACATTGTTCTGTGGAGTGTCATAAGTTGCATTCTCTGGACTAATGTGGCTATAATCGCCCTCTGAAGTCACTTTGTTAGAAGATGATGTTAGAGAACTGTATGCAGCACTGTTGTCAGACACATGACTGTAGGTTGGGTCATAGTTTAATTGGAGCTGGCACTTGGCCTGTCCAGACCTATTTAAATGGTCGTATTCCTCATCATGAACGACCCAGTCCAAGTCTTCCTGTAGCTCCGTGTATTTCTGCGTCGCTAAAGATTCCTTTTTATTTGGTCTACAGCAATGTAAGCAGCCCGAGTTTCGACAAAAATGTTTTCTGTAAAATTTTGATAGTAGTTTTAATCAAACGAAATTATGTTTTTTGAATTATGGTTAAAACACCAATGGTACAAAAAAAAGAAATTCATATATTTAGAATTAAGAAAATTTCCTGGAAAAAAAACTTGCCTTGGTTTTCTTGACACAGCATGTTTACTCTTTAGGAAGATGATCAGAGCTGTCGTCATGACAACAAGTAGTAATAGAAATCCCCCAGAAATTATCCAGAAGGTTTGTCTCGAGTTAGTCGAGATTGATTTCTCTGCCACTACAAATAATTAACGACAGTTACTTAATCTCTGATATTGATATTAAGGAGTTTTAGGGGAAAAATAATTACAAAACCAATTTTGTTTCGCTGTATTTTGAAATGTCTTCTTCCATATGTTTTTGAAAGAATGATCATGATTTGTTTAAAATTAAAAATGACAAAAAGAATAGTCTCATATCTCTCTTTTTTGGAGCTCTCAAAGGTTTATAAATTACATTTGTTATGGCAATTGATAGTTCTATCTGTCTAAATACATTTAGTTGCCTGCAATATCTGTTAGTATGGTTAGTATGACTTTTTTTCAAAATTTCTAATGAGGAGATTTTTCCAAACTCCATTCTAATCCTAAACAATTTCAAAGTGACTAGTCTACATACATGTACGTTACATTTTATCTTTGTATTCAACGTTACTGTAGAAATACAGTTGTATTATATTTAGCGTGTGCGATATTTGGCGAAAATTGACTTTTGAATATTAAGTTAGTGTCGATTTGATTTAGCGCATTTTTTTTTCATATTCTTACTTATGTGTATACGTGGAAGATATTTAGCAATGTACTTGATTTAGCGGTTGCTGCGATCCGCCAAAGCCGCTAAAAAGAATACACAGCAAAACGTAATACGTTTACAGTATTGCACACTCCCTGTTTATTACATTTTTGACTTTTACCTGGCCTTCTCTTGGGACTACAAGCCCCGGTCACGTGATGGCATCGTTCGTCTGCCGAACAGTTGCAGACGTTGTCACAACGCCTCCAGTTTTAGTTGAAAGGTCAAACGAGGCAAATACCCTAACTGAGCTAAATTCTAAATAGTATATATATGAGCTCTTAAAATACTAGAAAGCTAGATTTAGACAATAAAAATGCTAAAAATGATTGAAATGCCATACTTTTAGAGCATTTGGGACCTGTCCATCCGTCGTTACATTGGCATCTAGATGTATTGGCAACGCAACAAGTACTGTCCGGCGATATACACTCGCAAACATCTATAAAACATAAAATAAATCAGAGTCTGTGTAAAATAGAATTTAGGAGAAATCACAAGAACAAAATATTAAGATTTAAAACAGGCTTTTACCTCTGCACTTTTCCTTTGCAAACCAACTTTCAGAATGACAGGTGTGGTTGTGGTTAGGTAAACATTTGCAGGAATCATACAAGGTGTTACAGTTAGCGGTACCCCTTTCATGGCAAACACATCCTTAAAGATAAAATAAGACTTTATTTTGAAAAATAAAACCTAGTAACTTTTAGTACGAGTATATATATAGTATTAATTAGCCTACATATGTTATCTATTGGGGAAGAACATGACTGTATATTGAACACATGTCAGTACATGATGCAAGTTAACCATTCTACTCGATTAGCTTATGCTACTTCAGTTGATGCTATGAAAAAGGTCCTTTCCATTTCTGCGTTAAATTATTTTAAAGCATCCATCCTATATCATACTGAACCTCCTATTTACAAACAAGAGGCCCATGGGCCATATCGCTCACCTGAGTACATTGGCTATGAAATAAAGCAGAAATCACTTCAGTATTGAGAAGTTTACATGGGGGTTTGGGGAATTTTAAACTACCAACTACCTGATGAGGCTTCCATACAAAAAATGCCTTTACTGTTTTTGAGCAGATGATTTTTTCCTATTTATTTTTTGACCCCCCCCCCCCCCCCCCGCATTGTGGCCCAGCCTTACCCCTGGGAGCCCTAATTTGAACCAGTATAACTTTGTACTACGTGAGAATGTCTCCATATTAATATGATTTAACATGGCTTCTCTGGTCTTGGGAAAAAAATTCCTTGAAATTTCTAGGCAAAACTTTGATCCCCAATTGTGGCCCACCCTACCCAACCCCTACTTCCCGTTCATGACTTGAACAAACTTGAAACAACACTATGTGTGGATGCTTACATTAAGATGTGACCAATCATGGTTTTGTGGTTCTTAAAAAGAAGAGTTTTAAAAATCTGATGAATTCATTCCTCAGGAAAACTTTAATCGTCCATTGTGGCCCCGCCCTACCCTTGGGGTCATGATTTTAAAAAAATGAATCTACACTACCTGAGAATGCTTCCATATAAGTTTCATTTTTACTGGCCCAGTGGTTCTGGAGAAGAAGCTTTTTTTGTAAAATCCTATATATTCCTATGCTAAACTTTGATCAGCTATTGTGGCCCCGCCCTACCCCGGGGGGTCATGATTTAAACAAACTTGAATCTACACTACCTGAGGATGCTTCCACATGACTTTCATCTTTACTGGCCTGTTGGTTCTGGAGATTGATTGATTGTATACTGTTTAACGTCCCTCTCGAGAATTTTCCCCTCATATGGAGACGACACTGTATGCCGGTGAAGGGCTTAAAATTTAGACCTATACTCGGCACTCAGGGCCATTGAGCAGTGAGGGTACTTCAGTGCCAACGCCTACCGTGACACGGGACCTACGTTTTCAAGGTCATATCCAAAAGACCCGTGACTTTCACTTTTAGTGCCGAGCGCTTGGCGAAGGAACAGTCACTACCTATGTTTACGTCTTAGGTTTGACGCGGCGCCGGGAACGAGAATCGAACCCGGGCCTCCCGTGGTTCTGGAGAAGAAGATTTTTAAAATATTTTTCCTATATATTCCTATGTAAAACTTTGATCAGCCATTGTGGCCCCGTGCTACCCCCGGAGGTCATGATTTGAATAAACTAGAATCTACAGGACCTGAGGATGATTCCACTCGAGTTTCATCTTTCCTGGCCAAGTGGTTCTTGAGAAGAAGATTTTTAAAAGATGCAATTAATTTTTCATTAATTCATAATTATCTCTCCTTGGAAGAGGGCTTGGCCCTTCATTTGAACAAACCTGATTCCCCTATACACCCAAGGATACTTTGTGGCAAGTTTGGTTGAAATTGGCCCAGTGGTTCTCGAGAAGAAGATGAAAATGTGAAAAGTTAATAACGACGATAACGACAACGACTTCAACGACAGACAACGGACAAATTTTGATCAGAAAAGCTCACTTGAGCCTTCCTATTTACAAAAAAGTCATATTTGAGGTGATTTATTAAATCACAGTAAGACTGTTGACTTCGGTATACATACGTGAGAAGCATTCTCCCGTCACCGGATTACATATCTCAGCGCCTGTACAGTTACAAGTCTGATTGCATCCTTCACCAAATGTTCCGGTGGCACAAACTAAAACATTATGGTGAATAAAATAAATAAATAAATCAGTTATCAACTTACAAGGAATCTTTAAGATTTTAGGGAAATAGATTTTTCACTTTTCAAAAACATACTAGAAAATTGTGCAGTTTGTTTGTTAAGGTTGTTTGTTAAGGTTCATCAATACTCTGATAAGAGAGATAACTCTTATTGACATAAATGCCTTTAGTATTATTCAAGCTGAAACGTCTTTTTTGTCTTCTTTTACCCAGCAAGTTACGCTATATTTATTTGCATTTTCCTTTAAAAAATACATTTCTTTTATAAAAAGAGTCAAAGAAACATTTTATACAAGTGAGCAGAGGCTTTATGAACCTCAAAGACACGTTTTCATTTAACTATTCTAATTATATTATCATTTATATTCAAATATGCTAATTATCAACAAACTGAAACCTCTTTGACACTTTTTCCCAGTGAATCCTGCTTCACAAATGCACTTTCCGTTAACTGCGTCACATCCGCTGGAATGTTTGCATGAGCAGTTCTTGGTGCAATCTGGTCCAAATTTAAACGGAGGACAGTCTGAAACAAAATTTATAGCTTCAACTTTAATCTAACATTCTTTCTTTTTAGTCTTTTTATATAAAATTGTTTAAAGTAGAAAGTAAATGAATAATTTACCTTCGGTACAGTTCGATCCTGTTTTGCCGGCCATGCATCTGCATACGCCAGTAATGCGATCGCATGTTTGGTTGATAGTGCAATTACAGTTACTCTGGCAGTTTTGTCCGTATTTTGTAGAATTACATTCTAAAATTTAAATTGAAATAAGGAGTATGATTATTTTAAAAAATAAATAATCTTGTAGAACACTTATTTTTTTTTAATTATATTGTGGTCAAATGGCATTCAAAATGCAAAAAAAGTTTCATGCAGCTTACGGTACATGATACAGTTGATGTATTAATATATTTATTAAGATGGATGTGTTTAAATATTTACAATAAAAATATATTCTGGTACTATTTTTTGTTAACCTTCATCGCAGAATTCTCCCGTCCATCCTGGAACTGTACAGTTACAAGCGCCATCTAGTGGACTGCAGGTGGCGTTGTTCTGGCATAGACACTGACGATCGCAGTGGGAGCCAAACCAACCGGCTGGACACACTGTAGAATTTTTTTATTGTATATTTTTTTGTTACGGTTAATAAATAAATAAATACAAATTTATATAAAGAAAAAACAAATCACAAAAAGAAGCAATATGAATTATTATTTGAATTCATATTGTAAAGTTTGTCCTTTTAACTTTGGTACACGTACAGTTTATACAAATATTACTGCAGCCAGAATAATGCATACATGTTTCAGTGCATCAAAAAATGCATTTTGGTTAAATTAATGAAGTATCTTGATTAATGAGAGGTTAGGATCGAAGTCAAAAATTCTGGTGACTGGGTGAAGATGGACACTTTTACGTCTGTCTCAAATCAGGGCTCCGAACAATTATTCTACATTGTCTTGAAAATACCATTGAACATATAAGCTTCAAAAATCTATTTTTAACAACCCCCAGACTGAAAACGTAAAACGCAATTTCTGTAAGATGTTGGAGGGATTGACAGAATTAAAAAGGGCTTAAGATACACGTAGTAAAGTTTAAAACAGACAATATCAATAATGCAACTGTATGACGATATTCCGATGAATAATGATGTTAAGTCATCCACTGATCGTACCTTGATCACAGTTACTTCCGGTCCAGCCCGGTAAACACGTGCAGTTTCCGGTATCAATATCACAGTCTTCGTATGCGTTGTTAGAGCAGTTACATTTGTACTGACATTGGTCCCCATACATGTTTTCTGTACAGGCTGAGAGAAAAGATAAATTTTTCAAAAAAACAAATGATTTTTGTTATAATTCTTCTTATTTTGAGAATTTCATTACTCTATATTTATATCGGAAACATTTCGTCTGTTTCACCTCTTAAACAGGTTCCGTTGGCTAGTTCCTGGTAACCAGGGCAACAGACAGGTATATTGCGAGATTTATAAACCATCCGTGACATTTGTCGAGGACAAAGATAATACCTATAAAGTCAGAGAGAAAAAGTGGTTTTCTTCAAATTGATCAAATACATTTATATCTAAATCAAGGAGATGTTTTATTGGCATGACAGTCTATCTGAGTGGTACCTTGTGTACGTCCTGCATCTCCTGCCGAGGAACCACCCGTTACAGACTTGCTCATAGTGGGGGCAGGACGTGTATCCCTCATAAATCTCGACTTGAGTAAATCTGCAAAATTTATATAAAAATGTATGGCTTTTTGGGATTATGTAGAGTTACTAATACATGTATATGTGCAATTAACGAAATATACGCTATAAATTTATTAAAAGCGTATATAAAACTTTGGAATAAGTCATTTTATGAAATTGTACCAGAATTAGAAGGTGTTGTCAATCAAAATCATTGTTTGGATTAAAATTTTTCAATTCAATTTTTATTCCAGGAATATTTTTTATCCAAAGAAGAAAGAAAAAAGTTTGACATAATATTTTGGCTAAATTTATCACCTCCTTCAAGATAAATACGGCCTGGGGCCATTTCAGTATCATTCTTTAACCACATAAGTGGACATCACATAAGAATTTACTTACGTATATCGTTCTGTACACGTTTTATCCGTCATGTCTGTCCGTACTGAAATGATAAGATCCATTAGAAACAAACCACAGACAAACACACCGACCAGCTGGAATCCCCCCATCTATATAAATCATTGAATCATATAAACACTGGATAAAAGATTGGATATACATGTATTATTTGTAGTGATGTATTAAGATCTCGAAGATCGTGATGAGGCATCGATACCACTACTGATGAAAGTGAGTATTTCCGCATCATTTCCGCTTGACCACCATCCTTGTTTACAAACAAGTGTCGACCTTAACTTCTATTTCTATACAAGGGTTACTGGAGTTAGATATTTAAGTGAATACTCAGGCTTACGGGGTGTTATAATGATATTCTTTTTAAGAGTTCATAAATGAGATGGACTCTATATAAGCAATGCATGTATTACTTATCGTTTCTGATTTCAACTGACATTTTTAAAAACCAATTTTTTTTTCAAATTCTCGTAATGTATGTAGGTTTTAATTCAAATAAGCATCAGGGAGCCAGAGCCTGGCATTGGATAAAACAAAACAAAAAAATGAATTATGATCTTGTTTGCAAATGAAAAGTTACTGCTGATAATTTTCAGAAATACCGAGCTCGACAGTCACAGACGGATGCAATCTAGTCTAGTGATGTTAATTACAACACTTAATACACGTTTATGTTAATATGTTCACACAATTACATGTACATATTTAGTGAGTATATGATATAATTATTAAGTTCGATAAATGAAACAAAGAATATGGGCGAACAAGGGGTACGAAATGGCAACACATTAAGGCGTGTGAAAATCCCATTCAATTTGTTAACTGTTTTAAAGTTTTTAGAGCTCATTATTGAGCTCTAAAACATGTATGAAAAACAGAAACAGTTTTCGTCGGAAAAAATCACGGCAAACATTTTTCATTTGTTTAAAAAAGCTGTTTTCTAAAGATTTTTAAAGGTTTTAGGTTTTTTTAGTCCTTTCTTATCATGATGTTGAACATTCTTCGATATGTAAAACCAACTTTACTTATCATGGTGAAAGTTAGAAATTCTTTTAAGAAAAAAAACTAGAGCAGAGCTCGTTGCAAAGCAACGAGAAGATCTTCCGCCCTATTTACGATCTTGACATTAATAGTTCCACTTAAAAAAGATGGAAGAACAAGTAAAGATAAATAAAATTAGTGCTTAAATTATTCAAAATATGCTAACAAATACACAAGAAATGTGAGATTTTTAATATTTATTTCCGGTTCTTTTTCAATTACTTCCGGTATGACAGGAAGTGCTCAAAACGACTTAAAATTCCACAATGGGTGTGTTCATGACTTTTCTGAAAGTTTCAATGAAAAATACGCATTTTTTAACAACTTCCGGTTTATTAGACCCACTTCGGGTTTTTAAAACCAAACTTCACGTGGATATGAAATGACTTGAAACACCCTATACGGGGAATTCACCATGCATCGGACACCCTTGTACTTCAACAAGTTCTAGCGATATCGCTACCGACGGAAAATTATCAAAATGGAGCTTTACACTTAGTATGTGATTAAAATATAAATTTGGGACTCAATTATATGCCTTTTATTGAGAAAAATATCACCAAAAATCGATTTTTTCTAAATAACTCAAAATTCACCATGGATCGGACATCATTCTCCATGCATCGGACAGACGGTATTTCGACCGAAAAAATATCATACCTTTATCACAGTGCTTTAAAATCCTTCATATCGATATACTTTCATATTTTATCTAAGAAATAACCCTCAACATAAATTTAATTGACGATATTGTTGCACAAATGTAGAACGGTTCGAGATACCTTACTTTGCCTTAGAAATGCTTTAAAATGCTTGTAATGCGGTAAGTTCGCGCTCTTCTTCTCATGGGTTAAGAAAAATAGCTATCCATGAACTACTTTCATGGTTTGGAGAAATAACTTCCCCTTTAAAAGTGCAAAATTTAGATTTTCTAACAATATTGTAGAGAGAACTTCAAGGCCATTTTTTTGGATTTTTTACCTTAACATGATAAAAGCATATCAAAAGCATTTTTCTGCAAAAGTATCATTATATAAAATTTAAATGCATATTTAGCTTCAAGTTAAAATTTGACAAAATATAATACATTTGAAGAAATGTTTACATTTTGTTCTCAACTCTCCCCCTAAGTTGAAAGAGAGTCTATTACCTAAAGTTGTCAGAAGCAAGGTATGTGTCCGATGCATGGTGAATTCACGTCTATGCTATAATTTTTTTTAAATGAAAATTTTTCAAAAATGCATATTTCTAAACTACTTCCGGTGGACAACGGAAGTTATGTCGGCCAAAAAAAAACACCGGAGACAAATGTACAGATCAAGATCTATTATCACAGAAAGTTTCATGACTGAATCTTTAATCGTTTTTGAGAAAAGGCCTTTACTAAATTTCAATTTAAAAAAGAAAATCTGGAATAACTCGAGATAGGAAGTGACATCATCAAATTAAAAAAAAATGCCTTAAGTTCATATGATTTTCCATCATTGCTGAAAGTTTCATGAAAATCCATCGACGCATTCACGAGAAATCGCGTGCACAAAATCGGTAAAAATAATAAGAAGAAAAGTTGAAAAGAAACAACAAAATAATAAGAAGGTCTTCCGTTGAGACGAAAGACGTTTTAGTAAAAATTCCATAAATAAAAAATAAAAATAAAAAAGCGACAAGTTTGTTGTTGTGATTGTGTATAATTTTATTGGGGCTTTCTTGTTGTCATCAAATTTACTGTCGATATCTTTTTTTAAAATCAGGAAACAAAAGAAGGTTACAACAACTATGAAAAAAAATCTTTGATGACAGTCAAGTAGCCTTTGACCTTTGCACCACAGTTATACAACTTCCGTCTGCTGGGTTACAGGATTCATTATCGGCGCATGTGCACATCTCCTTGCAGTTCAATCCAAAAGTTCCAGACGGACAAACTTGGAAATAAAAAAAAATACTGATTAAATTTTTATTTAAATCCATCGAACAATTGATAAATAAAGGATATATTTACTTATCAAGCAAAAAAAATTCAGGATGTTAAGCACTGACATCAAAATTACTAAAAATAAACGTTTAGTTATTTCTTATTAATACCTATATCACATCCGCTTCCTTTCCAACCAGGAAAACACGTGCATCTACCATCGTTCACGTCACATGACGGAGAAGCGTTGTCGGGGCAGGAGCAGTGATATTGACATTGAAATCCGTATTTATCATTGTCACATACTGTAAAGTTTATTCGTAACTCGTTACAAACAATTTTACATCTGTTACTACAAATAGTAGACAAATTAAATGCTTTTTGAATGAAATATTTTTTATTATTTATTCATTTATTTATTTATTTGCCTTAATCTCCTCTTTACCTCTTGAGCAATTGTTGTTGGCTGTTTCTGTATATCCGGGACAACATACAGACATCTCCTTAAGTTTGTAGGCGGATCTCGTGAAGGTTTTCAAACACAGCCCAATCCTTCATAAATAAATCAGAAACGATGAAGTTGATTTACTTAGTTTAAATGTATACTTTGTTAACGTACAAAGCTTGGGCTTTACAAAGGTCAAAAAATGACTAAATTTTAAAATTGTCGTATCGTTTAAGATAATTATTATATTTCTTAATTATTTCAACAAAAATTCACTGATTTATCACTTTATTTGGAGAAGTAGAAATATGAAAAGAAAAGTTAAATCCAAAAAACTGATTCTTATTAGGATTTGAACAAGCACCTTCTCTCTGTGGTACAAACTCGTTGTCCAAACCAATTTTTCTTGCACTTCCGTACATAGTAAGGGCATTCAACCAACTTACGATAGGTTTCATTAGTTTTAAACCTAAAAAAAAAAAAAAAAAAAAAAAAAGAAGAAATACATTAACACTTTTCATTTAATTAAATTTTCGAAATTATTTTATGAAATTTTATCAAGTAAATAACAATGAATAAGTATACAAGTATTGGTTTCCCTTTTCTCTTTTATAAATTTATATTCGTTTCATTAGTTCTAAACCCAAAGAAATACATTAACACTATTGATGTGATATTTCCGAAATTATTTTAAAATAATTAATGAAATAATAACAATGAATAAGTATACCAGTATGAGTTTGTTTTCTCCCTTTCATAAATTAATATACATGTATACGTACTTGATAGTCTTTGTACAAGACTTGTCCGTAAAATGATTCCTTGCATCACACCACATAAGCATAATCGCAACACAGGTCAACACCTGAAGCAGGTGTCTTAAATCCATGTCCAAAATAACAGCCTTTTATTCTGTATGACTATTTTTTTCAACTTTAATTTAAAATACCGGAGTTACAAATTTTGACGATGTTCCGGACCCAGAAATATTCTATACGGATATTCATGTCAACGATTCATGGTTATTAAATGGAAAATAAATGATGTTCAAGGTTCAATGTCTTTATATATATAATGCATGAAAAAGAAATTAGCATTTATTTCACCATTTACCCGAGGAATCGGTCAATTATTAAACGAGGTCGGTTATCTTAAACTATTGAGTATCATATGTCAGTGACCAATTTACATAAATGTAAATTACATGTATCAACAGTGGCAATCAGGAGGCAGGCACAGGACAGTTTAAGACTGATAGAAATCTTTCCTCCATTTTCACTTATCTCTGGGCTAACTTACTTTCTCCATCGTATGTCTTGACCCTACTGATGTTTTGACTTTCTCTTGACTTGTAATGCACATTTCAAGGGGGTATAATGTCTTCGAATGGTGCATTTCCTGCATTTTATATTAAACCAGCTAAGTTTTTCAACTTGCTTATTTGTGTACTGAACATTTATAAAAACTTTACCACCAAGTTCTTTATAAAAAGCGAAACAATATCATTCAATATGTTTATATTTTTAATTTACATACATCGCTGCTTTTCATTAACAATTTTGTTATATTGTATCTTTCATCGACATCTACACAAAACACAATTCAACTTCATCTTTTCTTTCTTTATTCATGCATAAAATTCTCTCTATTTGTTATGGTCGCATCGATATATATACATGTATAAATACAGTGAAGTTTGTCGAATCCGGCATGCACAGGGTTATAAATTCTGTGTCGGAATAGACAGGTTGTCAGAATAGACAGGACGTCAGATTACACAGTGTGAAGATTAAAGAACATATAGAAAATATAAAATTGTAATAAAAATTCACAACATTGTTTCATAATATATAGGATCAATGTTGTCTGAACTGTTTCATGATATAAACAATGGATTGATATTTCTGCTTAAAATGAAAATTTTATCATACGTACATAAAACTATAAACATCTAAAAACAAAACAATTATATGTGGATTACATGCTACCACCAGCTAATATCGGTATCATAAACTAATAAATATAAAATTCCAAAAATGGAAAAAAAATTATGATGAAAAAGCTTATATTCTGTCAAATATAAAAAATAACATTTCATTTATCTTAATATAAAGATAAATTATTTTTTAAGAAGATTAGTAAAGATAAATTTCCTTCATCACAGAAAAGTCAATAAGTGTTTGCAAGGCAGTATTATAACCATCATCACAGATAGGCAATATAGGTGTACAGTTAGGTTTATAACTTTATAAACATTTTCATATCAATAATATTTGAAGAAACAATGCACATATACACCTACATAAAGTTTTTATCTCCCTTTTCTCATTCATCAGCAACATAGGAAGAAACAGTGTATAAAGACTACAAACAGTATAACACTTCCAAACCCTTGTCTAACATTTGTAGCCCCATCTCTGACAAATGGCTTAGGCGTCGTTGTCACTTTATTAGTTAGCCTATCCGGAAGGTCTTCTAACCAGAACTTGACCCTGCTATTAGCGTACCCTGTAGAAGGTTTGGTGCCTCTGTCCAGAATTATATAACCTTTAGCACCTGGGTTATAGACTGGCCATCTCTCCAGAGAATTGTCATTAGGGTCACTGTAAGAAAATAATTTTCGCAAATAATTATTTTTTACATTAGTTTATCAATTAATTGCCGTGTTACCTATTATATCGTTTTATTTAAATTCGGAAAACGTCCCCATTATTTAAAAATACTAACCCATTTTTGGCAAAGTTACTCCAATATGCTATCATTTTGTCAGAAACTGCCAAATAGTCTTGTATTCCCTCGGTTGGGGGAGTGTAGTACTGGAATATAAATCCCACGTCGTCTGCGTGACCAGGGCCCTCATACCAACTAGGATATGAATAATAAGGATACGGATAATCCTCGGTCACAAGGTACTGGAAGGTCCTGGCGCGAATATTCTTTGAGCTATGAGCATCAAGGACCTTTACCAAGGGTACTGTGAAAAGGACATCAGCGACAAAATTCAACACTTCATTTGCTTGCTTTCCTTGAGAACTGAAGTCACGATATTTTTCGCATACAGTTGTTTTAATTAGCTGTTGGTTTCCTAGAATTTTGATGAAATCAATAAAAGCAGGGATAAAAAAGTTGCAAACGAATTCAGTTGGCATGCCAACTGACAGGTCAAAGTTGAAATGACTTTGTATAGTGTCGGTGAAAGTATCAAATATCACGGTGCCTTCCTGCTTCATCGCTCCAGATATCAAATCTAGGGAAGCAAAGAATTTAAACTCTTCGGATGAGGTGTTCTTTAATATATCAGAGGGGGGTTGACGGAACAGCTCATTGTCAATATTTGGCAATAAGTCAAGTACTGGGGCTAATTGTAAAGGATTTCTAGTTATAAATGTTAAATAATGCCTTGATATTTCTTCTGCAGATTTGTTACGCATGCATCTGATGAATTCCTCACTGCTGCCATTACATTGAGATAATTTTCCAACCCCTAATGTTCCTGGGCGCGAGTCTCCGGTAGCTATCGGACTTAGAGCTGCTCCGCTTTGCGCTATCACTCTATGGAAAAGCCCACGATTTTGTGGAATTAGAGAGAGAAGTGACACACTGAATCCCCCAGCTGACTCACCAAATATAGTTATTGAGTCTGGATTTCCACCAAAGGATGCAATATTATCTTTAACCCAACGTAAAGCCAAGATTTGGTCCCATATCCCATAGTTTCCTCTCGATGTAGCGTCATTCAAACTGAAGAAACCGAAAATCCCCAAACGATAATTCACTGTTACAACAATAACGTCTCCTTTGGATGCTAAAATGGATCCATCATTTTGAACGGCGGACCCAACTGCATATCCTCCTCCATGAATCCAAACCATCACAGATTTCTTATTTGAGGTAGAAATATTGTTTGGAATATAGATGTTAAGTTGTAAACAATCCTCACTATAACTTTTTATGTCTGAATAGAGTGCAGGTTGTAAGCAAGCGCTTCCAATATTAGTCGCATTATAAATGTTGTCAAATCTACCAAAAGGTATGGGTTTAGCGAATCGAAGGTTGCCAATAGGAGGTTTGGCATATGGAATGTTGTAAAAGACATACACATTGCTGTTAAGATTTTCTGGTATAACTCTTATTGTTCCTTGTATTTTACCAATTGGAGTTTCAACTATGGTGTCAGATGCCGATGAGCTTTCGATTATCTTTGGAATGCTGTCTACCCAAATATTTATGCGACTTTTTTCATATTTCATATGTGCTTTTGGATCGTCGTCAAAGGCAAAATATGCCTCATTTGATGAATCGTAGGTTGGCCACAAAGGCAGCGACGGGTCATTTGGGTCCCTGTTAAAAAAAAGAAAACGTTATAACAAAAAGAAAAGATGAATATTTGAATAAACAATTGACAAAGAAAACTTTTATTTATGATAAGAAAAAAATAACAACTACAATTTTTCATTTTATTGCTACCTTTCTGCCTTAAATGTTTCTAAAATCTTGTATACTGGTTCCTTTTATTAAGAATCATTTGTGAATATTTACCCATATTTGGCAAAATTTGTCCAGTAAGACATTATGGTTTTGGAGTATTGAATGTCTTCCAGTGACGAGAGTTGAAAGTATGCAGGAAATATATACGCTAAATCATCTGCATGACCAGGAGGATCAAACCAAGAAGGGTAATACTGAGAATAGACGTAGGCGAATGACATAGGTGGCCTTTCAATGACATACTGGTATGATTTAGTACGAATGTTGAGGAAACTGTGGGAGCGAAGATTTACATAAGCAGGTGCCAAAAATATAAAATCCGTGCATATGTCCAGCATTTTCTTTCCTTGTTCTGTAAGATTGTTTCTGACGCTGTACTTATCACAAATATACTTTGACACCTGACCATTTCCATTAAAATAGTCTGACACGAGAGTTTGAGTAAAATTGTCACACATGAATTCAGTTGAAATACCTAGGGATGCATTAATATTGAATTTGTTTTGAACTGCTTCTTGATAAATTTCTCCTGCTAATGAAGATCCTTCAGTCTTCATAGTCCCAGTAATCAGGCTGAGAGATGTGAAAAATTTATGTTCTTCAGAGGAGGAATTTGAAAGAATTTCCTCGGGAGTGATCTTAAACATGTCCCCATCTAATCCTGGTGTAAATTCTAGTATCTGACGTATCGTAGAAGGATCTCTGTAGATATATGCAGTTGAATAACTTTGTAAGGTATTTGCATCTACATTACGCATACATTCGACATATTTAGAACTGCTCAGAGTTCGGGAACAACCCGATAGGTCTCCAATTGATCTTGTCGCAGGTTCAGAGTCTCCGAATGCCCAGGGAGAAGAGGACACTCCGCTCTGAGATATCACTCGATGAAAGAGACCTTTATTTTCAGGGATCATGGAGAGGAGAGACACACTAAATCCTCCAGCAGATTCTCCAAAGATAGTCACAGATGATGGGTCCCCACCAAAGGAGGCAATATTTTGTTGTACCCACTGAAGAGCTAAAATCTGGTCCCATAGTCCATAATTACCTCTAGCCAAAGGATCATTCAGTGTAAAAAATCCAAAGATTCCTAGGCGATAATTTACTGTCACAACAATGACATCGCCATGAACTACAAGATCACTTCCATCATAGATTAAGGAAGTACCCAATTCGTACCCGCCTCCATGAATCCAGACCATTACCGATCTTTTTTTCGAAGAAGAAAGGCTATGATAGGGAGTAAAAATATTTAATTGTAAACAGTCTTCACTCTTCGACAAGCCAGACACCTCTGTTTGCAAGCACTCAACTCCTGGTTTGGTGGCATCTCGTATACCAGACCAATTACCAAACGGTCTTGGTTTTGAAAATCTGAGTTCACCTAATGGAGGCGCAGCATATGGGATATTATGGAATACAGTCACGGGTGTTTCCATCTTCCCATCAATGTATTTTGTTATTCCTTTTAATTCTCCGCTTTTTGTTTTTACGATAGGGTAAGCTTCATTTAAAATTCGTGGGATTTCTACATCGAACATCTTCAAACGCTCCATTTTGTATTCCATGTTGGGCCTAAGTTCTTCCCCCATCCGTAAGAAGCTACGATCAGCAGTATTATACGATGGCCAGTATGGTAATCCAGGATCATTCGGGTCCCTACAATGAATAACTTAAATGATAAGAATTTAACTTGAAGGACAATAGGATGTAAATAAAATTCATCAAGAAAAGCAAACTTTATTTCGAAAATCTTTCTCTTTAAAGTTAATTAAAAAAGGTCAAAAGTAGAAATTTTAAAAAGTGCTGCTTCCGCAGGGTCACAATTTATACTTTAATAAAAAGTATTACCCTGATTTTGCAAAATTTGTCCAATATTTTAACAAAGTCGAGGCAAAAGATGCTTGCTTTCCAGAGAGATAAAAGAAAGGAAACTGATAAATAAGTTCATCTGCATGACCAGGACCAATGTACCAAGGTGGAGGCGTAGATAACATCACTGTCGGTCCATCTAACTCAAACACATAGTGAAAAGTGTTTGACTGAACATTGCTTTGACTGTGGGATCGAATGCTTTCAAATGCTGGGTAAGCAAAGAACAAATCTGTGAAAAGATCCAACATTTGTCGACTTTGCTCGGAAACATTATTCTTCACTTGATATTCGTTGCAAATTTCCTTGGAGACGATTGAATTATTTCTGAAGAAATCTGCCGAAATTGAAGGAACTAATTTGTTACAAAACTGATCGGCTGTGATACCCGTAGTTAAATTTAATTGATGTTGTTTCTGAAATGCTTCAGTCATTGCTCCCAGAATCACATTTCCGTCTGATTTCACTGTTCCAGTCATGAAATCCAAGGAAGAGAAAAATTTATATTCCTCCCTTGAAAAATTTTTCATCAAATCAGTTGGTGCCAATTTAATCAATTCGTCATCAATGACAGGTCCCATTTCTGATCTAAAAGACATAACCTCCTTCATTCTATAAATATATCCCAAACTTCTGTATAATAGCGTGTTTGCATCACTGTTTCTCATGCAATTGACAAAGTCAGACGTAGGTAGAGTTTTGGGACATCCCACCATTTCTCCAATTGCATATGAAGTTTGGGAGGCGTTTGTTACGACCCAAGGTGCTGTCATGGTACCACTCTGAGCGATTACTCGGTGAAATCTATTTTTGTTTTGTGGAATCAAAGCAAGAAGGGATACACTTGCTCCTCCGGCAGATTCTCCAAATATTGTAACAGAAGAGGGGTCCCCACCAAAAGAGTCAATATTCTGGTGAACCCACTCCAATGCCATCATCTGATCCCAAAGGCCATAGTTTCCTAAAGCTTCATTCTTACCAAGTGAGAAAAATCCGAATATTCCGAGTCTATATTGAATAGTTACCACAATAACATCTCCTTGTGAGGCGATAAGGCTTGAATCATAGAGATGAGCTGATCCTCCAGTAAATCCACCACCGTGTATCCATACCATGACAGGTTTCTTAGATGACACAGAAATGTTATTTGGTACGAAGACATTGAGGTTCAAACAATCTTCAGAAGTTTTTACTCCGGGAATTTGAGATGCAGGATCAACCTGCATACACTGGTTACCAAACGTCGTGGCATTTAGAGTTCCAGTCCAACTTCCGTAAGGCGCAGGTTTAGCAAAACGGAGTTCACCCACTGGAGGTTTGGCGAAAGGAATATTATAAAATTTCAAGACTCTTGTTTTATGCTTATCGTTATCCAGATAATTTATTGTTCCAATCATAGGACCCAATTTTGTCAGAATTGAAATTGTTCCGGTACGTGTTGTTTTTATCAAATTGGGTACATCTTTTCCCCAAAATTGCATGTCACTTTCTTTGTATTTCATTGATGTAGTTTGGTTTGCACTAATTGCCAAATAAGCTTTCTTCTGATTGTCATACACAGCCCAGTCTGGAAGGGAGGGATCGTTTGGATTTCTGCAAATAAAAATAATATTGTATAGTACAAAAATACTGTATACAGGGTTCTTTTTGCCCTTCATATTTTCGCCTTTTCACACTTGAAAAAGTTTTGTCCCGATTTACATTCGCCCAGTTATATTGTTGTTTAAGAAATTATACTATATTCTTTGAATTCGCCCTGTTTTAAATTCGACCAAATGAGGATATTGCAAAAGGGGCGTTAATAAAACGGGGGGGGGGGACGAAAATGCCCCTGTATACAGTACATGGAACCTATGTTCGAATCAGCTTCAATGCATAGCAAAAGTCGTTATTGTTAAATGAAAGAAGTTGTGGACTCAGAATGTGTTAAAAATCTTAAATGCTTACTATTAATGTCCTCAATATAATCACGCAAATAGTTTGATTAATAGATGAAATATATGGAGATAACCGAACAGTTTTCAATCTCAAAAGTCCAATAAACAGTACAAAATAGAAGCAAAGCAAACATGGACCTCCAAAACATCACAGGTGGGCTTAGGTACCAAATCTCAAAAAAGTAAATAAGATGTAAAATATGTTGTATTATTGGAAATGATTCTCATAGCTCAGTGCTGGTTTAAAAAAAAAAGTAAAGATGTAGGACAGACTGTAAATATATCAATTCAATTTTCTACAGCTGATTAGCTAGAATCATGATTAAATATCTGGCAAAAATAGGACTATGGATTACTAGTCTTGTTATTTCCTAAATTACAAAATTTTGTTTTGAATCCTTTTACTTATATAGAATATAAATTCAAATTTCAGAAAGGTTTAATAGTAGACATTCATAGTTTTAAATCTTTCTTTCAATTAAGCATGATTTATTATAATTTTTTCTTGCAATATGTTTCCTGTAAGTCATTTTTTAAGCGCCATTACCTAGAACAGTCTACTTGCGAAAATTTCATTCTCGCGTTTATTTGCATTAAATACTATCCGTTATCTCCTAAATTTCTTGCTTATTTACCATTTAAAAAATTGAGAAACATTTGTCTTCATTGAAAATCTTCAAATTAATGCGTTGCAAAAATTAAAATTAAGTTGGTGATCTTCAGAATTTAGGTAAAACATACCCGCTTTTAGCAAAATTTGTCCAGTATCTCATCAAGGCAGCTGAAACAGATTTTCCTTGTTCATTGTGGGGATAAAAAGGGAACATGAAACCCAGTTCATCTCCATGGCCAGGGCCGACGTACCAGGCAGGAGTGGAAGAAAATAAAATTGACTGTACATCGAACTCAAATACATAATGAAAAGTGCTAGACTGGATGTTGTTTTCACTGTGTAGACTAAGACTTTCAAATGCTGGGTAAGCAAAGAATACATCTGTAAAAAGATTCAGCATTTGTCGACTTTGTTCGGTTACATTGTTCTTCACCTTATATTTGTTGCAAATTTCATTTGAAACAAGTGTATTGTTTTCAAACACATCTTCTGCAATAGGAGGAACGAATGTGCTACAAAACTGATCGGCTGAAATACCCGTGGTTGCATTGATTCCGTGGTATTTCTGAAAAGCTTCTGTCATTACAAGCAAATATACGTTTCCGTCTGATTTTACTGTTCCTGTCATGTAATCCAAGGAAGAGAAAAATTTATATTCTTCCGATGAAAAATTCTTCAACAAATATGTGGGCATAGCCTTGATCAATTCTCCATCGATAACAGGGCCAATTTCTGGTACAAAATTTATCAAATTTGGATTCCTATTAGTATATACCAAATATCTGTTTAAAAGAGTGTTTGCATCACTGTTTTTCATGCAATTGACAAATTCAGATGTAAGATTTTTAGAACAACCCATAAGTTCTCCAATTGCATATGAAGCTTCGGTAGAGTCTGTTGTCGCCCATGATGCTGTCATGGTACCACTTTGAGCAATAACTCGCTGAAATCTATTTTTGTTTTGTGGAATCAAAGCCAGAAGCGATACACTTGCTCCTCCGGCAGATTCTCCAAATATTGTAACAGAGGAGGGATCCCCTCCAAAAGACTCGATATTCTGGTGAACCCACTCCAATGCCAGCATCTGATCCCAAAGGCCATAATTTCCTAATGCTTCATTTCTACCAAGTGAGAAAAATCCAAATATGCCTAGTCTATACTGAATGGTAACCACAATAACATCTCCTTGTAAGGCAAGCTCACTTGAATCGTACACATGAGCTGATCCTACGGTAAATCCACCACCGTGTATCCAAACCATGACGGGCTTTTTGAAAGACTCTGACACGTTATGTGGTACAAAGATATTCAAATTCAAACAATCTTCACTGGTTTCTACTCCAGGTATTTGAGATGTTGGATCGTATTGCATACACTGGTTTCCAGATTCTGTAGCATTAAGAGTACCAGTCCAACTTCCGTAGGGCACAGGCTTGGCAAAACGGAGTTCACCCACTGGAGGTTTGGCGAAAGGAATATTGTAAAATGTTAACACTTTCTTACGGTTATTTTCATCCAAGTATTCTATATTACCAGTCATAGGACCCAGTTTTGTCTGAATCGTGATTGTTCCTGTAGGTGCTGATTCCATCAAGCGAGGTATGTCTTGGTCCCATAACTGCATACTATGTTCTTTGTATTTCAATGCTGTATATTGGTTAGCATCAATTTCCAAGTATGCTTTTTTCTGATTGTCATAAACTGCCCAGTCTGGAAGGGAAGGATCATTTGGGTCTCTTAAAAAAGAAATATTGTTTATGATTTTTATGTGTATGCTCAAAAAATAGGCATTTAATCAAAGAAACCAGTTTCAGTAAATATATAAGAAAGTATGTCGTAATGACAGTGAAGTTACATAATTACTCAGCGTCTAAACTGAATTGGAAGCATAAGCTATCATTTTTGGCAAAATGATAACAAAGCAATATAATTTTGTGGATATTCAATCCCTCATGTACAACATCAGCGATTTCCAATTCATTTTAAACTTAAAAGACAATAGGTCCATGGTCAACTTGATCCTATTATCCCCTCTATGCCAATAACCGGGTATTCCTGAGAGTAATGCAACACAGACTTTAGGATACGAAAGTTTGATTCGTGAATTCTCATGCAACAAAATAATAATGATGAAATAATTTCAGAATCTATTAAAGAATTTTTTGTCTTAAATTTTCGTTTCCTTAAATTAGTCGACTCTTTCATTCAAACTTCAGTACCAAGAACATTATTAGCTTTTTCATGTGCCTATCCAAATTGTGAATTATACTGTTTTTTTTACAATGAAATCATGGGAGAATCACATATGCATATAAGTATGTTAATACAAGAAGAAATAATAATAATACCCTCTTTTAGCAAAATTCGTCCAGTATGCCATCAAGGTAGTTGAAACTGCCTTCCATTGTCCACTGAGGGGATAAAACGGAAACAAGTAAGCCAACTCATCAGCATGACCAGGGCCGATATACCAAGGAGGAGGTGAGGGAAGCAAAATCGACACTCCGTCCAACTCGAACACATAATGATAAGTATTAGACTGAACGTTGTCTTGACTGTGAGAGCGGAGACTTTCAAATGCTGGGTAAGCGAAGAAAAAATCGGTATGAAAGTCGATCATTCGTCGACTCTGCTCAGAAACATTGTTCTGCACTTGGTATTCGTCACAAATGGTCCTGAACACGTGCGAATTGTTTTGGAAAAAGTGAACAGTAAACAGACGAACAAATATGCTACAAAACTGATCGGCTGTAATACCAGTAGTTAAATTAAAACTGTAGTATTTTTGAAACGATTCAGTCATTGCAAGTAAAGCGTCATTACCATCTGCTTTCATAGTTCCAGTCATGAAATCCAAAGAAGAGAAAAACTTATATTCTTCTGAGGAAAAGTTTCTTAACAGCTCACTTGGTGTCACTTTGAAAAGCTCACCATCAATACCAGGTCCCATTTCAGTGTCATATTGAAATGCATTTGGGTCTCTGTACATGTATCCCAATGCACTTGTTAAAAGCGTGTTGGCATTGATGTTTTGCATGCAATTGACAAATGCAGGTGTTTCTAAAGATTTAGAGCATCCCACAAGTTCCCCAATTGCAAACGAAGCTTTGGTGACGTTTGTTGTTGCCCAAGGTGCAGTCATTGTACCACTCTGAGCAATAACTCGGTGAAATTTATTTTTATTTTGTGGAATCAAAGCAAGAAGGGATACACTTGCTCCTCCGGCAGATTCTCCAAATATTGTAACAGAGGAGGGGTCACCTCCAAAAGAGTCAATATTCTGGTGAACCCAATCCAAGGCTAGCATCTGATCCCAGAGACCATAGTTCCCTAATGCTTCATTTTTACCAAGTGAGAAAAATCCGAATATTCCGAGTCTATACTGAATTGTTACCACAATAACATCTCCTTGTAATGCAAGAGCACTTGATTCATACACATGAGCTGATCCTCCAGTAAATCCACCGCCGTGTATCCATACCATTACAGGTTTCTTTGAAGAATTAGAAACGTCATGTGGTACAAAAATATTGAGGTATAAACAGTCTTCAGAAGTTTCTATCCCTGGCATTTCATAAGATGGAAGTTGCATACACTGATTTCCATGTTCAGTAGCATTTAGAGTTCCTGTCCAGCTTCCGTAAGGCACAGGCTTGGCAAATCGGAGTTTACCCAATGGTGGTTTGGCAAAAGGAATATTATAAAATTTCAAGACTTTTTTATGATAATTGTAATCCACATAATCGATTTTACCAGTCATAGGACCCAGTTTTGTCTGAACTGTGACTGTTCCTGTAGGTGCTGATTCCATCAAGCGAGGAATGTCTTGGTCCCAAAATTTCATACGATGTTCCTTGTAATCCATTGCTGTATATTGATTTGCATTAATTACCAAGTAAGCTTCTTTCTGATTGTCGTAACTCATCCAATCCGGGAGTGTCGGGTCACGTGGGTCTCTGGAAATAGACAGGAAGCTTATGTCTAAACGAATTCTTCTATTTGAATTTCAACGTCAAATACTAGTACAGTTTTAATAATTGCCTAAAATAGGTTTGATATTCAATTAAAGTAAAAGTAAGGTAAATTTTGTAATTTTTATTACTTTTAAACAATATTTAATGTCAGATTACTATTATTATTAATTTAGCTCGTCAAAAATGTCATCAATAATCGTTAAAAATCATATAAATTTAGGGGGAAAGCATCAGTTAAGCTTAGAAGTAAAGAACTGTTAAATATATGTCAGATTAAAATATTAGATGTACATGCCAGTTAATTGTGATATAACAAAGTAAAAGGTTTTCAGAAATTATTACCCATTCTTTGCAAAATTTGTCCAGTATGTCATCATGGCAGTAGAAACATTTTTCCTCACTCCACTTAAAGGAGTCATAGTAAATAGATACACTAATTCATCTGCATGGCCAGGGCCCTCGTACCAGGGTGGAGGCGAGGGAGTTATGGCTGACGGTCCGGGAATCTCGAAAACGTAATAATAGGTGTTTGACTTAATATTGTCTTGACTATGAGAGCGAAGACTCTCAAATGCTGGATAATCCATGAAAATATCTGTAAAGAGGTTCAACATTTGTCGACTTTGCTCGGAAACGTTGTTTTGTACTTGATATTCATTGCAGACCTCTTCCAAGACAAATGGATTGCTCTTGAAGAAGAAACCAATAATAGGAGGAACCATAATATTACAAAACTGTTCTGATGTTATACCTGTAGTCAAATTGAATCCATAGTGCTTCTGAAATGCTTCAGTCATTGACAACAGAATAATATTCCCATCATATTTAACTGTTCCAGTCATGTAGTCCAAAGAAGAGAAAAACTTGTATTCCTCTGATGAAAAGTTTCCAAGGATGTCTTTTGGGGTCATTTTGAACAATTCGCCATCAACAACAGGACCTACTTCCACAGACAATGCAAATTTGTTTGGGTCTCGATAAGTATATCCGATAAAATTATTTGAAAGTGTCGTAGCTGCACTTCTTCGCATACAACTTACAAATGCAGCTGCTTCTAAAGATCTGGAACATCCACTGAGTTCTCCAATCGCGTATGAACCTTCGGTAGAGTTTGTCATGGCCCATGATACCGTCATGGTACCGCTCTGAGCGATTACTCGGTGAAATCTATTTTTGTTTTGTGGAATCAAAGCAAGCAGGGATACACTTGCTCCTCCTGCAGATTCTCCAAATATTGTAACAGAGGAGGGGTCACCTCCAAAAGAGTCAATATTCTGGTGAACCCATTCCAATGCCAACATCTGATCCCAAAGACCATAGTTCCCCAAAGCTTCTGATGTACCAATTGAGAAAAATCCGAATATACCGAGTCTGTACTGAATGGTTACCACAATAACATCTCCAAGTAAAGATAGAGCTTTTGAGTCGTAGATATGGGCGGATCCAACTGAGAATCCACCACCGTGAATCCAAACCATGACAGGCTTCTTCACGGACTCCGACGCGTTATTTGGGACAAAGATATTGAGGTATAAACAGTCCTCCGAGGTTTCGATTCCAGGCACTTGCGAACTTGGGTCCACAAACTGCATGCATTGATTCCCTAATGCTGTAGCATTCAGAATACCAGTCCAGCTTCCATAAGCTATTGGCTTAGCAAAACGGAGGTCTCCAATAGGTGGCTTGGCAAACGGAATGTTGTAAAAGACGGAAGCAACATTTTCATCAATAGTGTTTATTAATCCCCTAATCTGTCCTAGTCGTGTGTTGATAATTAAGTCTTCGGCGTTGCAAAGACAAAGAAGGATAAACAGGATGCTCAACTGGTATTTGATATCGGAAACCATCTGTAACACCAGAAAAAATGTTTATTAAATGTAGTCGATCTAGGTTTTGGAGGAGTAATATATATTTTTAATGCTAAGTTTGTCATTGACTACAATATATCTACATGAATGGATCAATCTTCAAAGGTAGCCGTCTATGAGGTTTCCGAAACCAGATATGTTTCCGTAGACAAATATTAACAAACTGTTTCGTTGATACAAAACACATACATGTACAACACAATAAATAATCCCTAGCACAACATAGGCATTAGGTGCCGCGTTTGAACCAAGAGCACTGCTACAAATCAAATAGAATTTTGTGCAAGATCAGTTATACGACATGTACCTTATTCTAAATGATGCTTTCACAATTTTATTATTTCTCTTTAAAAATCGTCCCATTTAATGCAGGTGATGATCTAGCGTGAAAAAGTGAATTTCATTAGCAATAGTACATTAGAATTTTAACTATTGGGCATACAAGTTTGAAAAAAAATTGTCTGCTGTCATTTTCATATATTTGTGAAGCATGAAAAAAACATCAGAATAATAAAATCTGTCATTTTCACGTGTCTTTTAAAACATTAAAAGAGAATTATCTGCTGGTGTCATTGATATTCTGTCAATTTCGTATCAATATTTCCTTAGTTAGAATAAGAGACTGTATAATTTTGACATTTAGCAAAATTGTTTGCTCCCCAACCAAAACTTTAGAGTAAATTCATTTTTCAGCAAAATTGTAATGCTGGTAAAAACAAAATTAATATTTTGAAGTTAAACTCAGAGGTCTTGTTGAGGGGGTTGGGGTACAAATATGTTGCTTCCTTTGGTTAAAAAGATATTTTCTCTATTTACTGTTTGTAGAAATAAAACTTTTTATTGTTAAAGATATAGAACAATAATGCAAAACTGTAAATTCTGAAAAAAACGTATTTAACTGTACTCACTGTGGAACACATCCTTGTAAAAAAGAAATCAAAAGGGTACGGATCTCATTTCACTTGTCATCTACAAAAATAAAGGTTTAAATCGAACAAGGTAGATCCATAAACATCACTGATCAATGCACATACTACTTTGGTTGAAAAGGCTTCCGGCTTCCCTCCTATCCCTTCTTAGATTTTTTTAATTGTCTTTTTTATGCAGAGATAATTAGTAGCTTTAGTCAGCCCCCCCCCCCATCCTTATAGTATTTTGTCGAGTTTGGACAATTTTTCCTTTTGTTCTTTCTTGTCAAGTTTTCTTTTAGGTGAGTTCATTTTTTTTTCTCCCTGGATCACCCCCCACCCCCCACCCTTCAAAAAAGATGTTACGTCACTGTATTTCTAAGTCGGTTATGGTCAATGTGTTTGAAATGAATTACAATGCCATGACCGATCAATATACTCGAAAATAAAATCAAGTTTTTCACTTTATAATCCCTTGTTTTTAAATTACTTTAAATACTTGTTTTACTTGCACAAATTCACATCTAACCATACTTTACTAGTTAGGGTATATTTCGACTAGACGTGACAATTATTTGAAAAATAAAAATTAGCATTTGACAGCAGTAAGAAGTTAATACACTGTACTCGTAATTGGCAATAACCTGTCACTTTATGTTATTGCCCTTATAGAATAATCGGTGCTTTTAATAAACAGCCATTTTTAAAACATTTCAATCTGCACTTCTCTCTCGAAAAGGTTATCAAGGGAAAATGTTTGCAATACATTATATAATCACTGTGTAAAACCAACGTGATGGGTTTGATGCCTTTTTTTCTGAGTACAAGGAGCTTCAGAATAACCTTGCAGGGGTATAAATAATAGATGATGGAATTCCGAAGTCGAGTCCCCCTTTTGTCCCCCTTTCGTAAACAAGCAATATAATCAACAATCCATGACCATTAAAGTAAACTTCGTCTTAGTACGTTTTACATACTTGTGTGTGTAAATTTATACAACCCTTAGGAAGAAATGCAAACAAACTGCCATTCATGGAAGTTAGCGAAACGTTGGGATCACAATTACGATCCAATTCTCCTAATTATGTCAGTAAATTCTTGTGCGTATAAAAATTATTTTGATTTTAAACTTTATTGTTGTTATAAATTGTAAACAGAATGTTTATTAAGTACCCTCTTTTTAAATTCATAGATAATGTGTGCTTTTATGGTTACAAGTGAGTTTCCAAATAAACAAATAAATAAAATAAGCTTCCAACGGGATGCATAAGGAATAAAATAGCAATTCATCCAACATGTCCAATTAATGCCATGTTGTTAACATTTAAATATTTATACCATACAGAAAGCGACGGTATTTGGAAGTGAAAAGGATCACACTTTTAACGTCAGTAGTTTCCTAAACATGTTCTTTGTATGTGTATGTGTGTATGCGAGAGAGAGAGAGAGAGAGAGAGAGAGAGAGAGAATCACAATACTAATCGTTAGGAATCTTACCGTTAGTGGAAGTGACTTGTTTCTGGGGCGAGGATGGTTCAGGTAAAAATGTAGTACAAGTTGTGTACTTTTCAGTTTACCTACCAGTACCGGTTCCGGGCATTTAAATCTCCTTCATTTCAAAATGCTTAGTATTGCAACATTTCGATTATTCTTTGGGATCGGGGTAGCTCACGTCCTTTTTCTCTCAGTGAGCGTCTATCTTTTTAGTTATCTATCCCGGCCTCAAAAAATGTTAAGTAACATAAACTTGCAGGTTAACTGAGGGATATATGCATGTACATAATGGCATCTCCTCGATCAAGAAGTCTGAAAGATTAAAACATTGGTGCTAAAATACTGAATTGTTTCATGAAAAGCTGTTAAAAAGTGATGAAAATAGATTTTTATGCCCCCGTAAACGAAGTTTCGGGGGTGTATAGTTTTTGCCGTGTCCGTCTCTCTGTCTAGCTGTCTGTCTGTATGTCTGTTTGTCTGTTTGTCCGCAAAAACTTTAACCTTGCCCATAAGTTTTGATTTAGTGGAGCTATGACTTTCATATTTCACAAGAATATTTCTTGTGACAAGACCTTTCTTTGGGTACCACCAAATTTGACCTTTTGACCTTGACCTTGGAGTTTGACCCACTTTTACATGAAAATTTTAAACATTTACTTTGGCCATATCTTTTGAACAGTAGAATCCAGGACATTTATACTTCACATATGTAATCTTTGTTGAAAGACCTTTCATTGGATACCAACAACCTTGACCCTTTGACCTTGTAGATTTCCGTACTTGTGACAAAACTTTAACCTTGGCCATAACTTTTGAACGGTAAGGGATGGGGCATTCATACTTCGTAAATGTAATCCTTGTGAGAAGACCCTTCATTGGATACCAAGAACTTTGACCCTTTGACCTTGACCTTTGAGATTGACCAACTTTAAATAAGCAAACCTTGACCATAACTTTCAAAGGGTTAGGGCTAGTGCTTTCATACTTTACATATTTAATCCATGTGACAAGACCTTTCATTTCATAACAAGAACTTTGACCCTTTTACCTTGACCTTTGAGTTTGACCTACTTTTTAAAAAATTGAACCTTGACCATAACTTCTGAACTCTTAGGGCTAGGGCTTTCATGCTCTACATAAGTATTCTATGTGGCAAGACATTTTATTTGATACCAAATTACATTTTGATCTTGACCTTGGAGATTTTTGTACTTATTGAAAAAAAACTTGAACATTGGCTTACTTTCAAATTTCATAATTGTTTTCCAGTGAGAATACCCTACTTTTGATACCAATTAATTAAATTTGCATTTAAGAAAAGTTTAATCTTTGATATGTAGTGCAATACGGGGACATCAGTGTTTCACAAACACATCTTGTTTTCTTCAAAATTATAATTAGTAAGCCAAAGAGATGGGCTTAATAAGATCTATACTGTATATGTCAACCTCTAATCAGATGCACTCAGAAAATTACAAAGGTATACCGAGCCTTTAAATCAATTTACATGTATAATTGTATATCACAGAATAAACCGAGATGAACCTCATATCGCAAAGTTTGAATACTAGCTTTCTTCTTAGCATGTCACACAAATGTACATGGGGGGGGGGGGGGTGCAGTTTCTCAGTACTGTTTTTTTTCTTCTTTTCTGAATTTTCAAAAAAAAAAAATATAAAGAACTGAAGCAATGTTTTTTAATTACTTTTCTTCTCTTCACTTTATCCTTATGACATAGCCTCTAATTTATAATGCAACCAATTCACAGTACATACCAGTGTATCAACATTTCACACTTCCTTAAACATAATAGGGGGTGCCTATTCCTTCATGGCACCTGATTCACCTCTGATGTTTTCAGGGGTCTGTTTTCAGCCTGCTCATGATTTGTATTGTTTCAGTCGTCCTTTGAGTATGAGTACTGTTTCTATCTCCAAGTTTAAGATAAATGCAACATTAAAATATAACAAATCATATTCATTGCAATAACAATTTAATCAAAAACAAGATTTGTGCAATTTCTTTTTCCAATGAATTGCAACTGTATACAAACTTCATGATACTGTGAAATATATAACGGAGACAGTTAAAGCGCAATATGTATACATGTATAAACTACAAAACATTTCTACATTATTGGAAGGTGTGCTTTTCATTAAACCTCTTCAATTCATCCTTAAAATACAAGTTGATAGATATCCTCTTTTCTTCGATAAAATACTCCTTCATGATAATGAAAATTCAATATTTTCATAGAAACCCTAGTAAATTAAACTGAATGGACTAAATCAAAATAATATATAAAGGTTCCATAAACTGAGCTTGATTCTTTTTAATGTAATCTGGATAACAGAAGTTGGACATATTTGATTTACAAGATACAGAAATTCAAGTACTTGAGAATTTTCATTAAGTGATAAGTAGACTTTAAACCTTAAGAGCCCTATTCATACATCCATTTTATGGTAAAATTTCCCCAAAAATTATTTTGAATCCTCACTTGATAACAATCAATATAATTATACCAAAAATAGATAAAGAAACACTACCCTATAATACGTACAGACTATGGCAAGCTGTTAATGTCCCTGAACAAAAAGCATACATAAATGCATGTATGACAATGGAAAAAAAACAATATCTACACATGTACTTGCCAAAACTTGAAATACTTGATTTAATACATGTGTTTGTGGATTCTTAGTTCAAAAATATCAAACTGATGAGACATGTAAATGCAAGACAAGTGATGATCAAATAAAATAACGAATATGCAATACAAGTGATGATTATCATATATAAGTCAACATACTCAAAATGAACGACATTAACATTCATTTTATTCAATTATTAACATCCAAGGATTCTAAAATGATCATTGTGAAAACTTCTCTTTTTAGAATTTGACACCTGTGCAATCCATCAAACTGTAAATTACAATACTACATGTACCTACATTTCACTCATTTGACTATTCCCCGTGCTCTTTACATTGTTCAATCTGACATCCTGCCTTATCCGATACAAAGTTACTCCTGTCCCAGTGCTTTGTGAATTAGACAGGTTTCACTGTTCTACACAGTTATATGACAAACACACCTATAAATTGTGTATAGTGAAGAACAATAAAGTCTGGAGACACTTATCTCAAGCCTTTTTATGACATTTTCTGTCTCACAGATAATAAAAAAAAAATACAACAGCTATAATACTTCTTAATCAAGTACAGTGAAAAATCATTGAATACTGAATCCACTTCAATTTCACACTGTATATAAGAAATTGGTTCAGATGACTACTTATTCAAGTGACTAATCATTCCCAAATGCACTCAAGATAAACTGTTCTTAATAACAGGTATGACTTCATTTCTATTTTTAAATTCAAGCAAAACCTTAATTGTTTATTATATCACAAATACCCTTGAATGTCCAGCGGCCCTATCACATTTTATACTATATGATACGCTAGGATCATCATCTATGAATAAAAATTTAAACTTCTTCAAAATTAATATCAAATTGTCTATGATCACAAAATAAAAATCACCATTAATCAGATCACATTTTTATCTTCCCTTTGACTTAGCATCATACTTTTTAACAATCACATTTTATTTATCACACCTATGGTATCTATCACATGTTTTTCTTTCTATAATTAAAAATGACCTAGGAATGCATCTAAAATTGATTTTAAATAAATTTATGCTTTGCGTCACGAAATGTTTGGAAGTCAATGGGAAATTATTGTATTAGTTTTGGGAGATCATTTAATAGCTAGGAACACTATGTTATTTCTATCTCTAACAAGTTTTAATCTTTTAAACAAACCTTATTGACACTTTTTATCACATAAGGTAACAGAGAAAAAAAAAACAAACAAGAGTAAACATATAATTCAAACAATAAATAAACGCATAAGGAAAACATTCAATTACTGAAAAAAAATATATAGATAACACACCAATGTGGTGTGAATTACCAAATGAAATATACAAGTACATCAGTACAAGTAATTTACACAATCACAAACAAAATAATAGTAAACTAATGCTGGTACTTGTACTCTACCAAATCAAATCACATTAACATTAAATTATCTGACACATATGCACTCTAATCGAGTCACTAAATTACATTATAGCTGCCTTCATGATACGATTCCAATTTTTGACTGGCAGCAATTTTTTTGTGATACATAAAACTTGCTGGAAACTCAAAAAGAATGAAAGAAAATGAACAAACAAAATATTGTTCCCTTGCTTTGTATCTAAATTAATAAAAAAATCTATTGAACACAATATTTCTACCATGGACAAACAGTGTTTGTTTTGAATTCTGGGGAAGAAACAACTAAACCTCTTAACAAAAAATTAAGAACATAAATAGAAAACCTAAAGTATTCTTTAAAAAAGATAAAAACAAACTTCACAAAAATTTTTAATAAATGAAAGTACAACAAACTGGATTCCTCATAATTAGCACCAAAAATGCCCAACAAAATCTAATGGAGTTATAAAATATGGAAAAACAACCAAACTCTTTAATCTCATGGAAAAATAAATAGATACTCTGATATTATCTTCATTTAATAAGCAAATTTTCATTCACACTTAAAAGCAGTGTTGAATTTTTAGTTCCAACTTTAACATCTGAAAAAAAAAATCTTTTAAAAATTCTATATAAGTTAACTTGTCAACCTTTTTTACATGTAGAGACTAAAAGGCATAAGCCAGTACTTTCCAGTTTTCTGAAATTCCCGTCTCGGCTCCAGGGCCTGCGATAATTTCTTGTCCTCTTCCGAGTCGCTCTCGGAGAATGTCTCAAGGAGATCATAACTGTTATTACTCTGTAGGACGCTGTCACTGGTGGATGACGACGAGAGGCGAGGCACCTTAAGTGGAGCGGAGACAGACTGCGTGTCCATGGGTGTTGGTTGTCATTTCTCCTCCTTAGCTTCTACCTCCAGTTTGGAGATTTCTGTCTCCGTGACACTGGGAAGAGGGCTTTTCCAGTATCTCACCGTACTATAATGACTATCGTATACCCCTAGCCGTTCTCTGGGTGGGAAGAAATGATCTGCAATCTCTGTCAAGCTATAATACCTGTAACACAAAAAAAACATGTCAAATAAAGGTAATCAACACTGACAGCATTTTCGTCTTTAAAAAATCAGTCATAATTAAAAATATATCTCATTTATTTTTTTTTCATGATTAAAACAACTCTAATTAAAAAGTTTTCATAGTAATGAATATATTTAGAATTGTCATCCATTACAAAAATGATAAGTTCTTACGATGATTGGAAAGTATAGGATGACTCCTGTTTCAGCTCTCCACGGTGGTTTATTGTAAATATTCTTATGGTGGGAATATTTATTGCTTTGTATGCATACACATCCTGAAAACACATGGTTTAAGGTCACATATACATTTTTCAATTAAAATTAAAATGAAAACACAATCAATTTCTAAAACAATTTTTTTTTCGTTAATAACCTACATTGATCTTGTTGCCAAATCCAGCGTAGAAGGGCTGAAGTCCTGGGAATAGTTCTCCTATGTCACGTAGACAAGCAATCTTAAAATCTTCTGGCTTCTTCTCTATTACTTCTCTGTAAAACAACCATAGGTTATAGGATATAAAGAGAATGAAAATAAACTTCCATTTGTATTTTTTCACCTAAGTTTTAGTTTCCTATAGAAATTAAGAAATGTTAACTCATTTAAAATTTGTTGGATTCAAAATTCAGTTCCTGTAAGAAGTAACAGAAAAACACAGAAATTGATTAAATGATTGAACATTCTGTTTAAGTCTAGCATTAAAAAAATCCTTTAATTGAAAACCATCATTTCATGACATAAGAGATTGTCATTGCACGACCCTACTATGGACCATGTATAGACCTCCTGTATAGAATGTTTTACCTGTGGAAGGCACTAACGAGTGAAGTGGGAGACAATAGCAGTGGTCCATCAGGTAACACGTGGAACTCCTGTTTAATGCTCTTTAAGAGGTCCTTGGTCACCTTGGACTGACCGATGGCTCGGGCCGACAGATACAGGAATTTGTAGCCGTTGTTGTAGATGTGGGTGAAGAGTTGAGCCACCCCTGACTGGGACCAGTCTCGACCAATGATGGGGAGGATCTGACCAAGGACATCAGACCTAGGGAGGAAGAAATCTTACATTAAACATTTATCTTTCATCAAAGACTTTCCATTCTCTCTTGTTCAGTAATTTTAAAACTAATTTCTTCAGGAAAAAAAAGAGATATTCACAAAAAAGAAAAAAGTATATTATACATGTATATCTGAAGAGTGAAATAAAAAATATTCTTACTTGGTGATTGTGCCATCAATGTCAGAAACAACAATCTTGTCGTCATATCTCCACAAGTAGATGTGTGACGTACATCTGGTTGTGCCCTGGTACTGTGTTGTCACTGAGAAAGATATCTCATTTTGGCCCTCACGTAAGTTCAGTTTTTTCTGCAAAAAATAACAATGAATAATGATTTTTTATGTGATTTATAATTTTTTTCAGGAATTTCTCTTTCAATACGTATTTTGCAGTGGAATAGCAATTTTTCATATCTCCATGATATTTCTGAAAAATCAGTTACTTGGTACAATATGGCTTTAATGCTCAAAGTGAAAACTCACAATTTGTTCAGAGGAAAGACGGAGGGTTTTTTTGAACTTCTCCTTCACTGGTTTCACATCAATGGGTTTACTACTACTGCGAGCCTCGGGGTCAGGCAGAGCAGGGTGGCCACTGGGGTCAGAGTCCTCCGTGTCAAGGTCATCACAAGAAGTATCATTTCCCTCACTCTTCAGACTGAAGGAGGGGAAATGTCAAGTTATAAAAATAACACATAAAAGAAACCGAGAAAGAATTCCATGTACTTAAATTCCACGTTAATAGAAAATGTCATCCAATTTTCACTAACAATGAGAATTTCTGAACTGAATCAAGACCTGACTTATTGCAGGAAAAACTTTTGTTCTCACCTCTCATCAGTTATCCTCCTCTGTGATTTTCGTGGACTTCCTGGCTGACTGACGGGGGGTGACTGGGAGGTAGAACTCTCAGCCTGGGGGTCAAAATAGAGGTCAAAGATTAAGTGTACTAAATATGATTTAGATGAGAATGCTTCAAATTTAATGATGATTAAAGATACAATTTTTCTACACTTTATTAACAGCAATTCAATTTGCATTTGAATCCATTTGATGAGATGGAGGGATATGATAGACATTGCAGAATTAATATATATTAGATAGTTGATATTTTTTCATGTATCAATTAAATAAATTCTCAGAACTCACAAGAGAATAAGTTTCTTTTTTTTTGATTTACTACAGTACTAGAGAATGTGGACAAGACCATACACCCTTTACATCTACTTCAAACATACCAATAGAGGATTTTATTTCAGAAAAAAAAACCTATTACATTTTAAATCTGGATCAGAAATAATTTGTATTCTAATCTGGCTACAAAATTAAGTTGTATGACCATTATAATAAGCAATTTCTTACAGATTTTGTAGTGTGTGCATCAACCTCCGGATTAGCGGGTGAGGTGGGATTTGAGGTATCTGTTGTCGTCCGTCGCCATGAGAACCAAGAAGATACGCCACTCTTCTTTGCTTTCTTTTTCGGCATGTGTTCCTTGATAAGGTTATTCATGGTCTCCTGTAAATAGTTTATCAGTATTTTTTCAATATCATTAATATCATGTAACATGCAAATTACCCAATAATATGCATGAAATCTTTCCACAGATATAATTTTCTAGTTCAAGTACATTATCAAATTATTTTTAAAATCCATTATAAGAAAACATACCAAAGAAAGTACAGTAAAACAAAGTTGTAGTGAACATGTTCATAATAAACTCTATCTTTCAGCTGAGTGATTTCAAGATGTATCAAATTAAACTTAATGGATAAAATAAACCTCACAGATAATAAATCAAAGATTATTTGCCCCTGGCATTTTGCTATGAGCAAGTTTTAATGTACATGTACTGAATTTGAGCTTTTGCTCACCTCTGGCTAGGGCTGTGTATTGAGCAAAAAATTTCGATACGATACGATACAATATTTTTTAAAGCGATATGTGATATACTGGATTCTTAAACAAGTCCATCAAAAAAGTCTTATATAGTCATTTAATGCATGAATTTCATAAAAAACTAAGTGTTTTATAATCTATTTCAAAGTTCTTGCCTCAATGCTACTACAAATAACACTTCAAATTAAAACTTTTAATGAATAAAAAGTACGTAAGGGTTGCCCGCAACCCTGTGTCTCGCCTGCTGTCGCTGTGGTTAGTAAGAAATGATTGTCTGAAAACTGAAGCATTTATTGACATTTCAGAAGGAATAACTCAAAAATACAATAATAAAGAAATGGAACAGCTGACTTAATATCTAATCCCTTGGCGATTATATTGGCATTTATATATATACATATACCCTGTAAATTCACAAATTATTGTGATGTTTTTATTATTGCGAATATTGCAACGTGTTATGATTAATTTGAACTTGCATTTTGAAATCAAATCCACTGTATATGTATCAATCATTCATGCAGAAAATGTAGGTGAAGATTACCTAATTATGGTACTGATATTGTTGGTTACCCATGATGTGTAGACTGACAAATTATCATGCCACTATAAGTTATAGTTGCTGAGATATGGACCTCCACCATAAATTTATGCAAAGTCACTCATTATAAGTTATAGTTGCTGAGATATGGACCTCCACCATAAATTTATGCAAAGTCACTCATGCGGAAAAATGTAGGTCAAGATGACCTAATTCTGGTACAGGCGTTTGTGGTTACCCATGATGTATCCACTGACTAACTATCATGCCACTATAAGTTATAGTTGCTGAAATATGAACCTCCATTATCAATTTAACCAAAGTCATTCATGCAGAAAAATGTAGGTCAAAATGACCTAATTCTGGTACTGATGTTGTTGGTTACTTATAACCTGTACAATGACAAATCATCATGCCATTATAAGTTATAGATGCTGAGATATGGACCTCCACCAAAAATTTAACCAAAGTCACTCATGCAGAAAAATGTAGGTCAAGATGACCTAATTCTGGTACTGACGTTTGTGGTTACCCATGATGTATCCACTGACTAATTATCATATCCCTATAACTTATAGTTGCTGGAATATAGGTCTTCACCATAAATTATCATGAAAAAACTAAGTCCAACTTAAGGAAAAAATACGGAAAAATTTGAATTTTTTTTTTCAAAATCATACTTGGGATATAAATTTTTATCCATACTGAATATTGTGTCCAAATTTCAAGAAGACTGAATAAAATTTGAGAAAGTTATTGCAGTTTATAAAACTTTGACATTTGGGTTAACCAAAAGTTGGACGCCGACGACGACGACGACGACGGAATCTATGGTCGCTATGTCTCGCTTCGCGACATTCGTCGCAGGCGAGACAAAAAATCAGCATGTTAAAATAAAATTATCTATGTATTTTGTAATAATCATATAAGTTGTGCTATGTCCTTAATGATTATATTTCATTGGTCAGTTTTAATTTTAAAAATTGAATATCATGTTTAGTGATTAAAATTCCCATATTTTTTCACAGAATTAAAAGAAAAATGTCTGCCCGATACGTATTGGAAGTTATTTTTCAATACTGTAACAATATGATTCTTGAATATCGATACGTATCGATATATCGATATATTGATACAGCCCTACCTCTGGCAGTTCTTTATCAAAGCAGACATGGCTGAGGATAATGGGAGCTGCCGTCTGCCAATTGTAGTAGCTAAACAACACAAAATAAAACTCCATAAATAAATCTGCTAGGGTAATATCTCAAGTAAATTCAACTGTATTAGATAATTTTCTTTTTAAATGATTTCAGTTATTTTACAATCAGAGTCACTTACTTTTCTCCGATTCTGACCACAAGGTCGGGATTGGACACCATGTTGTAATTTTTACAAATATCGTCGAATGTGACGATGTCGTTCATGAACTTCTGCAGGTTCACACCCTCTGGGTCGCTCAGTCCACCACACAAGGAGAGGGAGAAATTTCCTAGGTGCTGAACCTCTGACTTTAGGAAGTTGACCCCTGGTGGCCCCCCGATGGCACCCTCTACAGAGTGGGGGGAGACGGGGAGGGATGCCCCCCGCCCTGACTCTGTGTCCTCCTCATGTTCAGCTCTCTCTTTGATTGATACAAACTTAGAGCTGTGGAATCTGTAATGAGAATTATGATAATTTGAGTGAATTTGAATAACCTTTAATTTACACTACCAAGGATGATACAAATACCTGGAAAGACTTATAATGGATTATGATTTAAACAAACTTGAATCTACACTATGTAATAAAGCTTACACCTATTAAGTTTCATCTTTTCACATTTATTTAAAAAAAAAAAAAAACACCATTAAACTTTTGCTAATTCTTTATTATCTCCCATTGAAAGAAGATGTAACTTCATTTGAACAAATTTGAATTCCCTTCATCCAAGGATGCTATGTAGCAAGTCTGGTTGAAATTGCATAGTCTAGCAGTTCTTCAGAAGAAGTAGAAAAATATGAAACATTTAAGACAAACAGGGAAAATGTGATTATTAGAGATCACCATGAGCTTTCAGTTCAGGTGTTTTAAAAAATGTTATAATAAACTTCCATTGCGTATCACATTCATCATCTTTGAGGTTTTAAAATACAGTGTATTAGCTTAAAACAGGACAGAACCTACATGTGTTTAGTAAAACTACTCTCTATAGCCCTGGAGAAGTTCATGCAAGAGTGTGGTATATTTAGAGCTCTGACCATCAAATTATGTAATCACTTAGGATCTAACTACAAGAAAACATTAGGTTTTATAATTGAAAAAACTTTCTAATATCTTAACATCTTGAATTTAAATTAACATCATGACAATTTTCTTTAAAGAGAGAGGAGTTCGAATACATGAAGTTGGTACAGTACTAGGAAGTAAAGGTTATATATATGTATCAAAAATGAAATGTAAAATTTTCAGACTTGAGTTCCGTACATAATTTTGTAATCTCTGCATTTCTATTTAAAATTTTTCATTGCCTTGAAGTATGCATTTGAGAAAATATTTTTTTAATTAATTGAAGTATGGTGCTCATCTTTTATTAATTGAAGTATGTTTCACAATTTTATTTTTGTCCAAGTACTTTTTTTAAGATTATGTACAAGGCATTTTTCTTACATACCGTATATACTCGCCTATAAGTCGGTCCGCCTATAAGTCGGTTGTAGTTAATAAGCTTATATTTCAGTTGGACTGACCTCATATAAAACCATTCTTTTTATAGCTCGCCTATAAGTCGGACACATAGTTTTGAACCAGAGATTGACTCCCAAAAAACCGACTTATAGGCGAGTATATACGGTACACACTATATTATTTTTCAACCAAATCTTAACATTTCAAAACCTTGATATTTATTATGTCTAGACTTGGGATACGTTACATGAAATTTCTCATTAATCCACTTTCTATGTTACAAACAAGTAATACCTAATTATGTACAAATGAGACAGGGTCAATCACATTGATGTAATATACAGCTGCAAGATGGCCTTGTGTAGCCAGCCATTCCCTATCATTTCTGTATACTGGAGTGTACTGAATTTTTTGAAAAAAATGAAGTCAAGTGTATCAGAAAAAACCCATGTGAACCACAAGGTCAAAGAGAAAGAGTCAATATGGTGTCCAGTCTAGCACTACACTTGAATCTGATTAGTCTCGAGTTTGTATATAATTACACACACTACATGGGATAGTTACATGCATTAAATACTTACTGATATGAAAGTCTGAAAAGAAATCAGAGATTTCATGCCAGAAGGATGACTTAAGCAGAAGGTTAGAGCATCACTAGAATCTTATAGACAAATATGTAAACAACTTGTACTTATATTGCTCACCATGCTTCACAGACCAGCAAAGTGTGTCACAAAATGTAATACATTAACAAGCTGTTACAGAAAGCGAGAAATCAACCATGCTAGAAATTACAACATAGCTACTTATGTAAATCAAATACATGTAAGAGAACAATATAAATAATGCTGAGATAGACTGTTTTGTTCTTTTTTCTTTTTTTTTGGTAAATTCTGATTTTGCAGTAATTTTGTATGTTTCTGATTTTGTAGTGAGTTTGTACGTATGAGGTGAGTACCTTTTGGGGAAGTAGAGCTTGGCGACCTCTGGGTCCATCTCCTCCAGATTGAGGTCATCCAGGTAGATCCCCTCCCCCTCAGGCTTGTGGCGTACGGCCTTGGTCTTCTTCATAAACTGGAACAAACTCTTACTCTCTTGGGATTCTCCTGCAAAAACAAAATATATCCTATGAAATTTTGCAACTTTTCACACAGACCAGAGAAAAGTTGTCATGTTTACGTTAATACAGTCAACCCTTGTTCATCTGGGGGCCTTGATACTGAGCACAATCCTGCAATAATGGCTGATGACTTGAATACTTTTCTGCATGTTATCAATTTATGCTATGTATATATGCAATCATAAATTTTCTGCGAAAATTTGTCACATCGTATTTAATATGCATGCAAGTCATATAGTGAGAGTCTAAGAAATCTGTGTAATTATCTACTGACAGATTAAAACAGAAATAGTGATTCCACTGGATTAAAACTTCATGGCAAGAAGTTATGTCTATAGTATTACATTATGACATATAAGTTCATACCTTCTTTATCCCCAGTCTTTTTACCGCTGGACTCTGTGGGTGATTTCTGATCTTCATCTTGTCTCCTGGGAAGGTCGCCCCACTCCCACAGAGTGCTGTCCTCCTCAGTCAGGATGGACTGGTCTACCTCCCCCTGTCTCTGCCGGTCCACCTCTGTGTCACTCTTAGGGGAGGGGGGACGAGTGTTGGTGGGACTGAAAGTCAATGTTTGAAAATATGAAAATACAAAAAGCAATAGAATTTTTAAAAGATCTACATTTTCTTTTTGTTGGTCATGAAAGACTGATAGACTTTTTTGTGTGCTTATTTTGTTTCCTTCCATGTTTCAATTGTACCAGTTGCTCAGACTTATTAATATGCTTTTCATATCCCCTTTCTGAGAAATATAAACTACTTTGGCAATTGAATCTTAATGTCATTCAAAAGACCCAAACTTAACAGTGCTGACATATCTGTGTTGTCAAAGGAAGACCCAGGTCAATCTAGCTTGTGGTGACATATCTCACAGTTATGTCTACCTACCTAGCTAGTGGCGACATGTCCGTGTCACTGAAGGGGTGGTTGAAGGAATACTGTGATTGTGCCCATTGACTGGTTCTCTCAAATCGACTTTCCTGGGTCTCGTCCATCACTGGTAGACTTACAGATTTCCCCATACGTGGGGTGAGGTCTGGTAGAATGTTTGGCATACTGGCCAATTCATCATCGGTGGAGACATCTTCCATGTTAAATATCTCATCACCAGATTTCTCAGCACCTTTCTACAATGACAAAGACAATCTTCTTTTTATCATTTACATTTAGTTTTAAAATTCACTGATTTGTTCAAAGAAATTTAACAAAACTTTAATTTCCATGCATGAGTTTTATTTTTTTTAAATTCTGGGTAACATTTAATAACTTGAAGAAAGAATACATTTACGATATGTCTAAAAAAAGTACTAAAAATACTTTTAATGAATTACCTTAGCTGCTTCCTCATTGGAGGAAGTCCTTCTGATGGGACGTTTCTTTCGTCGGACCTTCTTCTTTCTCCCCTCTTCATCCTCTATCAAGATGCTGACATTATTCTCTGGGACAGTGCCCTGATGGGGGATCACTTCAATGGTATTCCCTGCTGTGTTGAGGTATTCCTGCTTCATTTCCTTCACCCCCTCCTCCATCATTAGGTCTGAGCTGGAGGGCAGGGGGGATGTAGCCAAATATGCTGGGAAGTCCTACAAGAAAATGAGGAAATTCACTCAAACTTACATAACATTTGTTGTTTTAAAGAGTAATGTTATTGTTTTCTAAATTTTTACAGAAAAATTAATACAATCAACTAACATGAGGCAGCATATCTATCTAGCTTGCCTTGTGTGTAAGATTTTGAAACATCCCCATGTGGGATTTGAAAATTCTTGTAATTCTAAGATCAAAATTTAGCCAAAACTTTCACAGCTTAAAAAAACTAAGTGTACCTCATTTTCTTCTTCAGGCAATTCCTCCACAAAGAACGCCTCACCAGACTCTCCCAGCTTCATCTGGATATCCACTGGCTCCCCATTGATCTCTATGTCAACCTGATGTCAAACAAATTCAGAAAACAGAAATTTAGCATTCTGAGTTACTGACCAACCAATACATTGCCTGTCACCTAAAACTGATACATGCAAATATATCATTCACAAGAATCAGGATCATCATAAGAAATTTTCGAATTCCATATTTCATACATTTTAAGACTCTACTTGAAGGTGATACCAAAATTTGAAAATTGCAAAACTCACCACTTTTTCCCGGGCCCTAAGGACGCCCAGTTTTCCGAATCTGACATGAAATGGCGAGGACAGATATGAACCATCTTCCTGCTTTACGATCACAGCATCGATAGCGCCTGTTAGTGTGGCCGCGTTGATCTCGTTGTAGAAACCTTTGACGTTGGAGAAGATTCTGCCCACATAACTGAAGTAACTCATTCTCGGAGGTTACACGACCCTCCTGACAGACACAGAGTTACAAGGCTTCAGGCATCTTCACACACATTCTGTGGATTACAAAGATTAAATTGTTATAGGTAAAAAACAAACCTTCTATGAAATTCATACCTTGAAAAAAAAACCTCAGAAGTGCTTTTAATATTACCCACTGCCTAATCTAGCTGCAAGGCAACATATTTAGGTCTATGGAACAAAGTAATGAATTATACTCCTTATCCATACTAAGGGCTGGATGTAGTCTAGGTTTATTCCACCAATTGGCCAAATAGAGTATAATACTTGTTTCGGATATAACAACCAAATATCAAAATCATGCAATATGCCTGGAAAATGCCAGATCTGGGATTTCCTATTACTATAAATACATTTGTATTACATACATTGTATTTTGATGTTGATTTACAGATAGATTGATACAATTTTGATGCAAGGCAACTGAATTTAGAGATGTATAACTAATTTTTTCACCCATGCAATTAAATACTTTGTCAAATTATAACTACAATCAAATTATAATTAATATAAAATTATTCAGTTTTTGGGATTGTAAACTTAATTTACATCCGAAATGGGATAGTATTTGGGCATGGTCACAACCTGTTAAACAGCTAGAAACCCCGTACAGTCACAGAGAAAATTTTCAGAAACTCCTCTTCACATCTTTATATTCACAAAATATGCAAATATTTGACACATAAGCGGGAACAAATTAATCATTCAATCATGATCATAAGCCAGATTTCATAACAATGATATAGCATATCAATTTGTGTTTCAAAATCAAATAAATCTAACGATAACACGATAACACACCCTGTCCAGGTGTACTCCAGTTTTACGAGCAGATTTACCGTTACCCAAAACAATCGACAGGCGAAAGCCCTCGGGGCTTGTTTCCAAATACAACGATCGCCATACAAACAATTAAAATAATACGCTTTAAGACAAAGAGGCTTTGCAATCCACTGGGATAAAATGCAAACGAACTATTCCCCACAAAAAATTGCCTCTGCGTTTGAGTAGATGCGTTTCTTCGACTTCGTTTTGCCGGGAAATATACCAAGTCGTTTTTCATTATTAAAATCTTGTAAGAGTAAAAGTAGACAAAATGATAAGAAATGTTTACCTCCAAACACATTTCTTGCCAAGTAGCTATAGAACTATGAAGATATTGGTCTAAAAACGCTATTAACAGCCACTTTACACAGTACACTCGTGATTACACCAGTGTTGCATTCACTCCACCATTTCACGTATATCACCCGATCACATGACGCACGGGGTGAGAGGTCAAAGCATATATAGGTGGATCTCAAACTGGCGCGGTGTTCAGTGGTGTTTTAAGTTTGTCGCACTCTCACTCTCTTGGACTTATGATTCATAAAAACGTCTTTAAAAATAAATGTCCCTGAAAACGCTTAATTAAAATAATTAATATGACTGATATTGTTATATTCATAGAGCGGATGGAGCAATCATTTAAACATATATACCCCCCCCCCCCTCTTTGCATCCCAAGTTGACACAGCTTTGAAAATTGAAGGTATTAGGAGGAAAAAAAAATGTCTGTAACAAAAATGAAATAACTATACGCATAAAGCACGACACTGTAAAATCTTATTTCAGAAAAAAGAATTTTAATTTCGGAGTATTTAAATTTTTAATTCACTGTTCATCGATTAAGGATGTAAAATCGAATGACGTGTAAGTACTGTACTTATAATGAAAATGACATGTTATGACAAATTCATCATGCTACGAAATCGTACGAGAAGTGGGTATATATGTCGCAACAGTTCGTGACCAAACTCTTACATCTCGTAAAATTATACTGTATCACTGAATATGATCATACAAGTAACAACTATGACCGTCCACTTAAATAAGTTTATACATGTATAATACATGGATTTTTTTTTTTTTTTTTTTTTTAATAAATCTTCTTCTCAAGAACCACTGAGCAAGAAAAGCTGAATGAAACTTAATATGTAAAAAAAAAAAATAAATAACAATTTTCTTTCTCCCTTTTCTCTCGTTCTGATTGTATTTTCTTCAAACAAAATTTAATAACACCAGCAAAAATATATTTTAGAGTCAAATCTTGGCTCAAACAGTACGTGGTTATATTATTCCCACATGTGTTTCTATCAAAACTAATAAAATCTTAATTTTTATGAAATTTGACTCCCCTTTTTTTCAAAATACAAATTTTTGACCCAGATTTCCAAGAAAAGCAAGGAAAAAAAATGAAACAACTATATTTAATAACGTTGTACAAATTTTAGACTATAATATTAATAAAAGAAGCGGCATCTAGTTGCTGTTAACATTTCACTGGTTGATCTAGCTGTTGGTGTATGTTATATATCAAGATTATCATTAACATGTACATCAATAAAAAAAATCTAATTTTTTTTAATTGTTTATGTCAATTTACAGTGCATAGACCTAAATTAAATATACATTTCGACGTCAACTTTGAAAAAAAAAAATAATATACATGTAACATGTACATGTATATCTTTAAACATTTTTTAGATATATTTTGTGCACAGCAAAGAACTTTGTGTTACTTACCGTTTGTGCACAAAAACACAAAGTTTGTTTATATCGCACATATGCACATAGATATTTAACACGGTTACCCAATTCATAGTAACAGTACAAAGAGGTATGAAGCTTCCTCTGGATTTACCCCTGAAAACGCACGTAGAAAGAAGAGGACAGTTCATGTGTTTTGAAACGTGGTTTGGAGGCATGTCCTTTTAATCCAATCATTTACTTGGTAGCTGCGGTGACGTGACCTAGATTTTGACAATATGTAAATAAACATGTCTAAATTTAAGTGTGTACAACTACTAGACGAGGTCACATACCTTTGTTTAAAGATAAATATGAGAGAGAGAGAGAGAGAGAGAGAGAGAGTCGTAAAAAAATATGCGTTCAATATTTTTTTTAAAATTGTATGTACTTGCATGTTAAGGTACAAATATTGATTTATTTTTAAATGTTACTCTATAACTGACATAAAAATTCAAAGTTGAGTTTTTTTTTTAATTGTTTGTTTTGTTTCAAAGAAATAAATATATGTGTAAAACATATCCCCTCAGTCGATTCGATAGATATTTTGACTGCAGAAAAGGACATATTGACTGAGCACAAAAATATATGTCGCGATGGTTTTCTATATCTATGGATCGACCTCATTAACTGAGGACTTTATTTGTTTGGGATGTTTCGAACAAATTTTCTCGACTGAGGAATTAAGCAATTGGTAAAAATCTTAAATGTTGCGGATCCTTTACTTGAAGACTATATATAACCCTTTCTATATTTTTTAATAAAAAGAACACAAATCTGACATAACAAGAGAAATGTCATTGTTATTGTCCATGAATGTAACTTTAACTCAACTTCTAGAGCTCCATATACCACATGTATTACAATATGTGGCTCTTGCTCCTCTTTGTTTGCCAAATATACACATGTATATAGGTGTGTTATACTACATACATAATGACTGTATTGACCTCTAATTATAACAAGGATTCTAAGCATGAACAATACTGTTCATAGAAAAAATATCACTCGCTTAACGTACTCCGATCCTCAGGTTCTGAAAATCAGGCATTTAGTAATTGAGTGTCTCTGAATTCTCAAAGTACTGTGTTTGTTATCCACGAGAATTCTTCAAACTTCATCTTTAAAATTAATCATATTTTATGTAGGAAAATTTAGTAAATCTCAAATAAGTTTTCAGGAAGTGCGAATAAAAACACCTACACCTACACTGCGATCTTTTTCGATGTAATGTAATCTTGAGTCCACTATGTTCTTGTGGAAGAGTGGAGGAACACATTATTTCTTCTCATGCAAAAAATATACAGAAGCCAGGAAAGAATTTTTTGACAAATTTTTGCAATGGGTAAATTTTACACACTATAACTCACACTTTACTCTGGGGAGAATATAAATGATTTTGAAAATGAATACCTATTTTATATTGTACAAACTTTTATTAAAAAGTCAGGACGATTTGGTTGACACAATAATTATTTCTAATTGTAAATCTCATACAGCATGTCTATTACATATGAAATGTATTCTAGTGGATGTGTTTCACTCTGATTATTATATATTATTATTATATTATTATTATATTATTATTATATTATTATTATTGTTGTTATTTCATTTTAAGCTGAAACCCATGTATGTAAATTTGATTTCTTTTTATAAGACCTTTCTGATGTTTGGTATAATGTATATGTAGGGAAAGGGCGTAATAAGTTTTCTAGAACTTTTGCCCAATCCCATTTGTAAAGTATAATCAATAAAATATGTTCAAATCAAATCAAAAACACCTACTATAAATTTTCCAACTCCTATTTGATCAACAAACACATTTTAGAAATAAAAATCATAGGTATCCAGGCTTTTGAAGAAATTGCATAATTTTTATACATATAAGGTATATACATTGGTTTCTTCTATTTACTTCGATCATTTTACAATGCATAGTGTATAGAGACTTTCCTATCATTGCATAACACCACAAATCACTTCTTTTCATATCATGTCAATAAAGATGGGTATTTATGATTAGATTAAAAAATACTAATTTTCTTTCAATATGTTATTTTAATTAAAAACACTTTCATGGGATAAAAAATTTGATTTCTTTTTATAAGACCTTTCTGGGAACTTCAAAGAACCTTGAAGCACATTGAAAGGCATCAAATGAAAATTGTTGCATGAAAAGATTCAAATTTCAAGCTTCATTTTTATACTTTTTGACTTTAATTATAAATTTAAGAGTTATCCCTCTTGTCTGAGCATCGAATGCTAATGTGATAACCATGAAGAGATTGAAATGCATTTAAAAGACCAAAAACATCATTTTAATACATAAAATAAAAAAAATTAAAATTATTTTTAAATATAAACAAAAGAAAATTTTATTCTTGAGAGTTAGATATTACTATAGAAGGTTTGATTTGATTCTAAACACATTCTTCATGTTCTTATATACTAGTCTTTTATTTTTTTACTGATGATAATATTTTACATACCTTATAATGGTAATTATTCCTGTATATTATCATTAATTAGTAAATAACTTTCTCTATATACATCGTATATGTATCTAACAAAAACAAAACTGTAATATGTATACAACGAAACTAGAAACTATAGTGAGTAAACAGACCTTCAGATGACAGGTGTTGATAATTCAAGATATATATACGCATAAACCATGGAACAAAACACAAATAACTTAGCCTTCATCTAATTAACCCCCCTTCATAAACAAGTTCGTTGCCTGAATGAAAACACAAAACCAGGTCTCGGAGGAGACTGTCGCTTTACCGTAGTCTTTTATATTTAACAAAGTCGCATATATTATACCTTCCCCATCATGCAGCCGAGGTGAGCTCAAAGTAAATATTGTTGACAAACAGACAGACTGAGAGACACCTTACTATCACATAAGCTCTGAACAATGAATTAAAAAAAACAAAGGGGAAAAAAGAAACCCCTCTTCCCCTTAGTTCTGTTATCCTACTTGCTTGAGTCTTCAGATTTCTTGAAACCTGGTTACTGAATATTAGTGCCTAGTATATTAAACACTATAATCCAATGAAAAGAGCTTTGTGCTTTACTGGTAGGAGGTATACTATTAATGATTAAAAAAATCTTTTATTTTTATGCCCCCGTAATAGAAGATTCCGGGGTATATAGTTTTAATTGTCCTGGCCGTCCGTCTGTCTGTTTGTTCGCAAAAACTTTAACACTAGCTGCCCATAACTTTTTGATTCATTGGAGCTATATGGCTCTCATATTTCACATGTGTTTTCCTTTGGACAAGACCTTTCTTTGGGTACCAAATTAAAATATTATGACTCTTGACCTTTGCAGTTTGATTCAATTTTGCAAGAATTTACCAAACTTTAACCGTGGTCATAACTTTTGAACATGTGATGCTAGGTCCTTCATACTTCTCAAGTATATATTCATCGTAATAAGACCTTACTATAGATATACTTTTTACCCTGACCATTGAATTTTACCTACGTTTAAAAATATAAAACCTTGGACTTTTTGAACAGCAAGTACTTGGTCCTAAATATTCCATTTGCCAAGGCCTCCATTTGAATATACCAACTTTTTTAACTTTGGAGTTTAGACATACGTTTGAACTATTTTGACCTGGAGTCCTTGACCATATCTTTTGAACTGTTGATGTTAGGTATTTAATTATGCCCCTTGATCTAAAGATTCCGGGGTTTATTGTTTTTGTACTGTCTGTCTGTTGTAAACTTTAACCTAGCCCATAACTATTGAGTGGGTCGGGCTTTGGCTTTCATATTTCACAGATGCATTCCTTGTGACAAGACCTTTCTTTGGGTACACCTCTTGACCTTGGAGGTTGATCTCCTTCTACAAAAAAATACCACACTTTATTCTTGGCCATAACATTTGAACAGATGGAGTTAAGGCTTTCATACTTCACATGAGTATTTTTTGTGACAAGACCTTTCAGCTGGTATAAATATTTTTGACCTTGACCTAAGAGTTTGACCCATTTTTAAAAAAACTTTTAACCTTGGTCATAACTTTTGAACAGTTAGAACTAGGGCTTTCATATTTCACAGATGTATTCCTTGTAACAAGACATTCCCTTGAGTACCAACACTTTTGACCTTGACCTTTGGAATTTGACATGCATGCGAGAGAATTCAACCCTTGCCATGAGCTGCCATCGGTGTTTCACAAACACATTTTGTTTTTTTACCTGTGTACTTCTTATGGTAAGACCTTCTCCTGGATACAAATGTATCTTTAATTTGATCATTTGACCTTGACCTTTAAGTTTGACCCACATTTAAAAAAATAAGTACATTTGGACATAATTTTTTTATTGGTTAGTGCTTGGACTTTCATATTTCACAGGATTATTCATTGAGACAAATGTTGGGTAGATCATTTTTCATACCTTGACCTTGGAGTTTGACTTGCAATTGAGAAACTTCAACCTGCCAAATGCTGTTGTCATACAGGGAACATCAGTGTTCCTAACAACCTTTTTTTTTTTTGCATTGAAATTCTGAGTTTTGGGCCCAATCATTAGAAAACAAAGAGTTTGAGCTTTACTGGTAAAATAAAAATAACATTCCATGTTTTTCTTGGTCCCCCAAATCCTTTTCAACATTTCACATTTAAATTTTGTTAAATCAGCATTTTCTCACCCCAGTGATTTTTTTCCTTTACCAAATATAAATCTGAATTTCAATACCCTATATTGTCATACTGTCTTGCAGGAAACAATATGAAACTTGCACAATCAGACAAATTGCTAATGTAACTGCCAGAATTTTTTTAACCTTTGATATACAACTCTAGGCAAATTGAAATTCAATTTCATTGAAAACCTGTCAAAAACACAAGACAGAGGCGTTTTTAAATATTTGATGTTGATTTTAATGTCATATTCCTGATTTTTCCATTCATCTAAGATGGGTTACACTATATCATGATTAACAGACATATAACACAGAAACAACTAAAATGAGAGAATCCAACAGTTGGAAGGACCCACAAAAATCACATAAAAACCAATTAACAATTAACTCATTAAGGCATGCCTTCCAACTGGGTTGAGGTAAAAAAGACTGGGCTCGAGGTGAAACATATACATGTATATAGTGTCACAATGTATAGAGTAGAATATTTAAAAAATAATACAAATAGCACTTTTTTCCTTTGCTTTCATTAAAAATTTTTAAACCGAGTTGAATGCGTTTTCACAGCGGTCATGACCACCAGTAACAGAGAAATTTCAAGAGCTGAATGTGACATTTTATTTTAAAAAAATTATTTTTCAAAATTTTTTGAATTTTTAAAAATTCTTGAAATTTCCCTGTACTAGATCTGTAAATGTCAATAATATCACATACCGGTAGATTAAAAATGAAAAGAATTCAAAATTTTTTTTTATCGATACAAAAATATTTTCATATCAAATATATGAATCTAATAATTTTGGTGAAATCTCATCATAAAAAAATTTTCCTGGAATGGAGATGCTGCTTTAGCAAACCAGCAAATGGAAATCCTTCTCTCAGAGAAAACTTCAAAATGACATTTTCTGGTAGATTTGCCATTCTTTCAAGAAGTATGTGTGTTGAAGAGCTGGACAAATCTGATAAAACTGTGGCAATGCATTGGCAAACTTTAGAAAATACTGTTTTACAAAATTATGTCTTGTAACTCCCTTACTTTCCAGTATCAAATCAATTCTATAACAATTAATTGTAACATTTGATACAATCTTAACTATTTCATTGGAGGAATTTACCCTTTAGCAACAAATAAACAATTGTGGGTGACATTAACAATTGAATATACATTTTGTAAATGCTTAAAATTTGAGGTTCTCCCTTTAAATTGGAGGGAAAAGTACTAACTCTGAAGTGGAAAATTAAATTCTTTTATTTCTTTTTTTTCAAATTAAAGAGAGAGTCTATCAAGTATTTGAAAGATAAAGGTGATCCTAGTGTTTTGTTTCTGTCAACATGTCAATAATTAGAAGCAATGAGATGATAGTGCAGCCTATTTTTCGCAGAAACAAACTGGAATAATCAAGAAGTGTCTATCACCGGGAACTGCCTGAAGCATCACCATGTCACTAGAATTGTCTTCTCAGTTTTGACTTATCCCATATAAATGGAGTATAGATTTGATTGATTCACATCACCAGAGCGGGAAACTTGAAAGAGTCAAGGGCGAACCCTGCTGCATAAAGGGGCACCTCATTTTTTATATTTTCCGTGTGCATAATCAGAGATGATGAGAAAAAGGCCATTATTGATAGGTATGCATCTTCCTATATTTACCAGGTAAAAGTCGTGATATGAGAAAATGCCAACTATGAAATCTTCATAAAATGATTTTAAAAAAATGTCACCCTATGTTTTCATAGCTATGGACTTTGAAAAAAAAATATTGAGCAAATCATATCAACCCGTTTCAAAAAAAAAAATTATCTGGCTCTCTAAATTTCTACTGCAAACATTTTGATTTCAAAATTCATGCAACTCTTATAAAAATTACCTCAAAACAAATTGTGCTTCATGCTTTCCAAATTTTGGTTCACAAATTATCATTCCATGGACCAAGCTTTTTTCCCAAGTCACATTATTAAAATTTTAGCCCACAACATTAAAAATAATTGGACAGTGACCACATTGCACATAAGGTTAGGGAAACCAACTGTTTGGTTCAGATTGAAATTTGACTTTTTTGGGGACAGAACACAAAGCTATGAAATAACGAAACAAGGCCTTCTGTTTAAAAATCACTGGTGTCTATATTCAGTGGTGACTCAACTATGTCGAGTCTCCCCCATGTAAAATCATGGAGATAAATTGATGCGCTTACTTTTTCATACAACCAAAATGTCACCCTTCTAAAATATGCCTCATAATAAAAATAATGTACACGCCTGACACTAGTCTCTACACAGGAAATGATCTAACAACATCAAAGTAAGAATGAATTACCATGGCAATGCGTCTAATGAAAAAACATCAGGCGATGAAATTTGATACAGCTGAAAATGTGTATATTTACAAAAAATGAATTGTTATGCATTTACACCACCAGAATTACAAAGTTCAAGGTCAAGAATAGTGGCCCTCATCCAAATAAAGTGAATGAAGGGTCATAACTCTTGCCTTTCCTTCCAGCATTTCCTCTGACATACTTAAACCAATAAACAACATCTTTTTACCATCACAAAGTCCATCTGAATTCCTGTACACAGAATCTATATACACAATGTACTTACAATAATCAACAAATTACATTATGCAGCATTCACAACATGTACAAATCCATTTCATCTCAACAAATATATATATAGATTACTATATCTTATGATAAAGTTTGTGTTGGCTATCACTGTCACAAGTCAAAACAATATAATGTAACTATAGATATCTTAAACATTATGCATACACAATATTCAAGGATACACAAAGTTTATAACGGTGAATAAAACAACATTAAAATCTGTGTCTCTTTAACAAAAAAGTCCATGAGTCCCATGTACAACAATATGGGACTATAATTTTTTTATATGTTACCCGTCAAATAAAACCCACACCACGGTAGTGGATAAAAATAGATCCACTCCTCACAAGTGGATAAAAATAGGTCCACTCCTCACAAGTGGATAAAAATAGATCCACTCCACACTAGTGGATAAAAATAGATCCAATTCCTCTGAGAGGCCCATAGTTTCTCTGAGGAAAGAGGAGCCTTGTGGTAGAAGTCATTAAATGTGTCTACAAAAATATAGAGGCCAAAAATCAATGTTCAGAAGTCCGTTTTCTCCTTAAACAACCGTATCTAGATTATATCTATAAAAACACTGCCGTATGACGGTCCATTGTAAAACTCCCAACTTGGAGCATGCTCACTACAGGTCCTTAACAGAAGTCACGTGAGTTAGTTCCCTGGATGTATTTAATATGGCAGGCACTTTGTGCTTCAAGTTTTTCTCCAGAATTAAACAAAAATCACGCTCTTCATAAGTCACATCAGAAAAAATGAAAAAAGAAAATAATCTGCCATTCCTGGTCTAACGGTCCAACAAATAAAATTGAGATCATAGTTTTTTTTTCTCATCACAGCCTTGTTACCATGACGACCTTCGTTAGAGATCTGGGCAATTAACACTGGCCATTTTTTATCATGCCTTGAAGGCACCCAAGGTTTGTTATCCCTGAATTTCATTATACACATTTGGTGACGGTTTTCCTATACTGGGGGCCCTATGTCATTCAGACAAGAGTTGCTGAAGCAGACTGTTCTTGCTGTGGTCTGCAGGTTTAATATCTTCTATATTTCCCTGTCAATGATAAAGACAAATATATACTTGCATAGCATATTATTCACTTTTAATTTCCCCCAAAATTACAGCACTACAGTTATTCTATTGAGCATTCAAGAAAACAATTCTAGAATTACTATCTGTTGTAATTTACAATATGCATTTAAATATCCATGTATCTTGTAATTAACTTTTAAACAAAATAACTTTTTTGGTCCAATTTTTGTAATAAGTACTAATGACTAATTTAGTACTAGCTAATTTAACTAAACCTTAGTATCTTGGATATCAAGAATACCACGAGAACGCCAAAGCAATTTACATATTCTTTTAGTATTTTGCCCTAAATACAGTCAAACCTGTATTAAGAGACCTTCCAACAGAGATAGGAAAAAAGGTCACATATGACAGGTGGTCTCTAAATACAGGTTGATTATTTTCCGTAGTGTTCAAATGTACAAAAATATCACACGTATATGTTGAATGTATTTTATAACACCTTCTGTTTATTTCCACTTTTTAATAGGTACTGCTCAACTCTAAATTGCTTTTACAATTGTCCTCTTAAGAAATAAAAATTTGCTCAATCGGCATGTGTACATGAGTCATTTGAATATTGGGAAATATTGTGATCATCTGAAAATATTAATATTTTTTCATACAGTATAAAAAAGCTGCAAAGTTTTTTTTCCTAATACCGTATATCCGGTTATTTTCGCGATTATCTATTTTTTGCTTTTTCTGCAATCATTTTTAATTCGCAAAATAAAAAACACGCAGAAATTATGTCAGCTATATTGTGACATAAAAACATTACCTTGTTTAAAAAAATCTTCAATCGTAAAAAATAACTTATGCAAAATAAAAACTATACAAATCTACCCCTTTCTCGCAAAATTTCCAACACCCAAAAAAACCCCCGGATATACGGCAATAGTTTTTTTTTTTTTACATGATGGCCTATATATAACTTCTGATGTTTTGCATATTACTAAGAATTAAAACTGTATCATGATTTTTGTTATGCACTTGGTATCAAATTAAATTACATTTATGACTAAAATATTTATTTAACCTTATTAATTTTTTTTCATTACTGAACTGCCGTGTCTAATTTGCCTGTTTGTGACCAGGTATTTCAATCACTTCAATTATCACATGGCGTGGGTGCTAGCTAGCATGTGTTTACATACCCATTGGTGACACAATGCACTTAAATAAACATCTAGGATTTAGTTACTTGTTAATTAAAGTTAAACAGGCAGGTTTTATAGCTGAATATCCATTTGGCCCTTATAGCATGAAATGATATCGGGATCGACCTAGAACATCTAATGGCGCTCGATCACTGGACAGAAAAAATGTGATGTTTATGTTTTACATTTTAATGTTTATTCAATAAATATCAAAGCGCAAGTAAAAATATTCATTTTTAAATGTTGCTTTATTCGTAAAACTCACATTATATAATTATTAAATGGAATAAAAGCGTGTCTGTAGTTGTTTTGAACCAAAAATGTAGCACGCTCGACCGAAATCGAAAGTAGGAATCGGAAATATTGTAGCCATTAAATTCAGGTAAAATTGCCTGAAATTACAAAAAATGGTCAGGAAAATCAGGGTCGTTGGTCGCGTTAGACAGATGGTCGTTTAATACAGGTAGAGTATATAGGGAAAAGCGTTGGGGGAATTTTTACGGTCACATGTGACAGTGAGTCACTTAATACAGTGGGTCGCTGTGGCAGTTTTGACTGTATCTCGAATCCTCTGATCATATATCTAAGATTTTCCTGATACCACTGAGTTTGAGATAATGATGTTTGACTGTATAAATTTCAGTGCACTACATAAAACGGGAGACTCTAGCTTACCCTTGGTTCCTTTGCGACCACCTGCACCTGGTCAGCTTTAAGACGTCCCAGATCGTCGGGGATGGCTAGATGCTGACCGTCAACATTTTGGGGATTCATCAGCTGTGTACGGAACACTGCTGTAGCCTTTATCTCGGGATTCTCTGGTATTACTGTATAAAACGAAACCAAACAAATTGTCACACTACTTAACCTTAACAAATTCTGTATGAAACTTTGTAAACATGAAGAATAAAGAGCCTTCATAAATATAGTATACTGAGTATTATTTTTAAGACTTTACAAAAGAAGAAAAAATTTGGGAAAAACAACTGTGTTGGAGGTTCATAAAAAACAACAGCCATAAAATTACAAGGAAAATGCATTGCTTGTATCGGAAAGATCTAGAGAACAAATGTATATATACCTAATTCGGTTTTCTCGGAGAGCTGTCGGAACTGCTCGTAAATTTCTTTGGCTTCCTGTCGTTTTACTGCTAACACGTCATCCTCTTTGTAATTGTCGAAATTATAATCTGATTTTGCCTGCTGCTCTTGCTGCATTTCGCTAACTATAAAAACAACAATGAACAAATAAAGTAACTTTAATTAGCTGCTTATGATTCCTGCAAGCAGTTATGGCAATTTTGACAAAAACTGTTCAAGAAATGGGGTATATTTATCTAATAACGATAATAAATCTGAAAATTTAAAATTAACATTGTTGATTACAAACATAAAACTGCTTTTTTCTTAAAATCATTAACGTAACTGTCTCTTTGATGCAGCCCTGTACTACTGCCTTGACTATTTCTCCCACTCATCTGACCACTTACTCTGCTCTATGATGTAGTTGGGGAGCTCACTGTAGTCTGAGGAGATCTGTGACTGGGGGGTGGCGGGAGCCGCCTGGGAGGAGGGGGGTTGGTGTGGGGGTAGGGCGTGTGACATCCCCTGTTGCTGCTGCTGCTGCTGTTGTTGCTGCTGCTGAAGCTGCTTCTCTGATCGGGCGTTACAGATATTTCTAAGCTCCTCCTTTACGTACTGTGAGGTCGATTTCTGCTGCATCGGCATGGGCTTACTGTTATAAATACAGAAAATGAAATTATCATAGCTTTAACCTAGCAGTAAATATTAGAGTTTCTTAAAACTGTTCACTAAAATGAAAAGCAAGGGTAACTCTGGGAATACTGTTAAAACAAGTCAATTCATCTGCATCTTAAAATATGAAATGATCCTTTTAGGAACATTTTTAGATGGATGAAATAGATGAATCATCGTCTCAAGCCACGGTCTGGAGTCCGCATATATAGCTCTCTCCTACCGGTGGCTGTTTGATCACAAAAACTGCCGTACTCTTGAATATTTACGCCTCTCTATTGTGACGTCATATTCAGTCAGTGGTAAGTTTTGTTTCCATCGCAATTGAAATCAACAACTGACGTCAACAGTATACAAGAAATATTTCCTATAATGCGATTGGACATTGAAAGGTCGCGATAAAGTTCATCATCCAACTATGCTTTACTTGCATTGGTCAATTTTTTAATGAGCTACGAAGAATTCTCTCCTCGTTCAACCACGGCCAGAATGGGAGAGGATCGTACATTTTGGCCGTGGTTTGCGACGATGTGTTGGTACATGTATTAACAAAATGAAATTATTCTAAAATATTCTTCCAAAATAAACATATGTATGCAATAATTTTATGTGGAGGGAGATAACAAATTGATTTTATTTTACCTGTCTAACATGTCATAGTCTGAAAACACCGAGTTCTGCTGACCCATCATGCCTGGATGACTGTTTGCCATCGACGTCTGTGGCATGACTGAACTGGCCATTGAAGAGGCATGATTAAATGGCGGGCTGACCTGACTGGTTTGGGGGTTCTGGCGAGGGGATATAGAGTGGGGGGACATTAAGAGAGGATCTGGGCTATTCCCAAATGGACTAGCAGGTGCCCTTGGTGAAGAAGCATGACCTGAAAACAAAATATACATCAGTAATCACAGAACAAAGCATGGTTTCAATAGGAAAATCATGCATCTATGAAAAATTAATTGAAAGCCAAGAGCTTGGCTGAACCAGAGAATGATGGGAACTGCTTGTACCTGGAGGGAGGCTCATCTGCCTCATCACCCTGTTGTGAGCCATCATGGTCTGCTGCTGCTGCTGCTGTAGGAGGCCCATCTGTCCCGAATTAGCCATCTGGTCAGGGAACTGAAAGTGACCGCCCTGGTTATTACTGGTCATCGTCCCTCCAGAGAATGAGCGGTGACGATTCATCAACAGAGGGTTTGACTAGAGGAGAAAAATTCACTTATTAAAATTCCTCAAATGTATTGAAACAAGCATATGTCTCTAGTTTTCATCTGAATAATATTTACTTCTCTACATTATTGACAAAATCACTTTTAGGCCTTCGGAAATCATTTTTCTTTTTCTTTTTATTTTCATTAATTAAATAATTTCACTGAAATGTTAATTTCACATATGATCAATAGTGGCAGTTAAAGTGAAGCCTTATAAGTAGATAACTTTAACACTCGTTCTACTTCTTATATAGTGTTGCAATGTGTTGCCTAAGTAATGCTGCATTGACCCTAACCTTAGGTATGTTGCTACTGATGGGGCTCTGCATGGCAGGTTGCTGCGGCTGTTGCTGCCTCATGTTCCACTGGTTCTGGGGTTGCTGATTGAAGTGGGGTGACATCTGGGAGTTGGTGGTGGAGGGGCCAGGTCTAATCAGCTGACTGAGGTTTGGGTGTTGTTGCTGGTGCTGCATTCCACTAAACCTGGGGGACATAGGACCCGGGATCTGGTTCCTCTGTAATCATGTCAGGAAAGTGTCCAGTAGAAATGAATATAGCACAGAAGTTTATGTCATATTATTATAGCTAGGGATATCCCGACAGCAATCCCCCCTTCCCCCGCAAACTTAACCCAAAGTGGGCAAATTTAAACATTGATCTAAAGGTGCATCATATTTGCAAGTCTGGTTAGGAAACCCATTGATACAAGTTGGGTTATGACCAAGGTAGGGAGCCTACATTTGTTTGAAGGAATACAGATGGATGGACAGATAGACAAACATTGCAATTCCAGCATACCCCCTTTTACAATTTTGTTGTGGAAGGAATATATAAAAAAATAAAGTGCCATGCCACAGCATGATACGCCCGTCAAAATATTACACAATTATCTTTAAAAGTTTAGACTGCAAGAAAATCACTTCAACCTTGATTCTAAGATTTCCATGATTTTTCCATTTTTTAAAAAAAAATTTCTTTATCCATCCCCTGTGCTGTGGGCATAATTATAACAAATATTACATAACTGACAGATTTCTATACTGTTTGTGTTAAACTTTGTCAAATGCTGGCCATCATAATAAACAATATCAAATAATAGTCTTAACAACTTAATCTATGCCAAATTAATTTTGAAAAGAAAGGCTGGCCATCAAATGACATTTGCTATGACCAGCAGTTCTTCTGTCTAATCCCCAAAGACAGATAAGGCAGCCTTGATCAGATAGCCTTCCTACATTGAACTCATCAATTAATCTTTGACTGGATGCTTGTCTACTCATTACTCCCTAAATATTAATGGATCTGCACTTTTTATCCTAAAACACTTTTAAAACATATAAAATACTCCATGATTTCTTTTTAGATTTAATGCCAGACAGGTTTTATATTTAATTCAAATGGTCAAGTAGGCATGCTGATTCAACCCCACCCCATAAAATTAGTTTTTAATTAATTAATATTATATAATATCAGATTATTAGTTTATTATGCAATATCAAATAAGTTTTAATTACTTTTTATCAAATTCATTTTAAAACTTAGCTAGCCACCAAGAGCTATTTTTAATCTAACAGCTAGGCTGGCTGTCCATTTGCCTAACACCCAAGGGATAACACCAAACCTCCTCACACTAAACTCATTAATTTCTCTCTAATTTGACATGCAACTTTCTGCTATCAAAATTCTTCCTGACCAGTGCTTGATAATTATGCCCATGGACAAACTGAATTCCTCTCATTAACACTGAAATTTGTTTAAGATTGCTGTAAAGTATATGATGAAAAAATAAGTTTTTACTTGATTTAATACTTTTTAATAAGGATACAACTCTATTTTTTACATTATTAGGATTACAAAATTTAAAATTTAAAAAACTTAAATTTTTAAAAAATTTCACTAAAATTAAAGGTCACAGTGACCTTGAAATAGGTCGAAATACCTATAAGACACACCTTCTACCTAAGATGTATACTTTTGCCAAGTTTGATAGCTCTAGGTCTAATAGTTTTCTAGTTATGAGCCGGACAGGATTTTTTTTTAAATAAATGGAGCATATTTGGCCGTAGCATCTTTATTAAAGGTCAGAGCGACCTACTTTTGGTGCACGACACACCGTCTACCCAAGAAGTATCAGTTGACAAAGTTTGATAATCCTAGGCCTCTCTTTTAATAGTATTGAAGTTATGAGCCGGACACGAATGGACAGACGGACGGACGGACATGAAGCCTATAACATAATACATCCCGTCTTAAGACGGGCGTATAAAAATTAAGGGAAAAATAATTTGTCAAAGCAAATGTCAAACAATAAATTATAATTATAAAATTTTACATCTATTTTTAATCAACATTTTAGGCATTTTATACTTTTACTAATGTTCAAACTTCTATTGTTTTGTTTGTTTTTTTTTTACATACCTGTAGAGTTACATTGGGTGCTGTTCCATTGTTCAGAAGGTCATTCAAGCTTTCTGTATAAGGCTGCAAGGATGTGTTCTCCATGTTCTGTGTTAAAACGAAATACTTCAGTTAATTGCCTCTTATAAACACAGTCATTAAGCACTAAACAGTAAAAGGAGTCACCATTCATTGTTCCAGATTTTGAGGAAAACAAATCAAAACTGTAGGAGTAGATATTTCAGATTTTCACACTCTTTTTTTTCAGTAGGCCTAGTGATCGCAATACCAACTAGAGGTACTGTGAGCAATGAGCTCACTAAATGATACCCCCTGCCTCCCATATGAATAAAATGGCAGTGTCCATGTTTTGCTCTGGAAAATCCAAAATGTATGTCAGATCAAAAAGTAAAATAGGAGGTGCACAATGGCAATATATAACAAAGATTCTGTGAAAGTTTCATTAAATTTCCTTCAGTGGTATGAGAGGAGTTGCAGGTAAGAGATGGGTACCCCAAAGCGTAACAGACGGACGGACGGACGGAAATACCGATTACTATATACCCTCCCGCTTTTCAAGCGGGGGGTATAATAAAAAGATAGTAAGCCTTTATTTACAATATAGTGTTGCAGATTTTATTGGAACCAGACTAAATCTGTTGGAGTAGCATTTCAAAATGATTTCACACAATATTCAATTCTTATTAACCACTGCAACACTGTTCACCAAATCTTCGTATAAGAAAACTTTGTTTTAGTGATTACTGTGGAAACATTTTTTAAAATTTGTGGTTGGCCAATGTTCATGGTAAGCAAAATTTTGTTGGTACGTGGAGAGGTTATTTTATGGGTAACTCGTATATATTCAGACGATTCAATGATTAAAATATATTTATCAAAATAATCCTCCATAGGGATGTAAATTCCTGGATAAGAGAACCCACGAAATCGGAGACCTTTGGTCCTCTACAAACAATGATGATTGAACAGTTCACTTCACTAGATGTTTTTCAGACAATATTTCACACAATATTTACTGATTTTCAGTTAATTAACCAGGTGTCTGGAACAAATACACAATTTTTTCTGATTTCCAGTTAACCAAGTGCCTGGGACTTACTGGTGGTAATCTCTGGTTGAACTGTTGACTGAGTTGTCGTTGCATTAACTGCCGTTGCCTCTCCTGGTGCTGAGCAGCCTGGCGTTGCTCCTTCAGATACTTCAGCTTCTGTTGCTGTAGGAGAGACTGCCGAACTTGACTAGCCATCGAGGGAAATCCCATGGGTCTCTGTGGTTGTGGACCTCCCACTTGTAAGGCACTGGTAAGGGATCCCCCTACAAACAGCCACAAAATAAATCGTGCATTAAAATGAAAATTATACAAGTTGTACTTTCGTTCATTAAAATTCATCTTTTATAATATCATCAAAATTAAAAGCAAAAACTATGAATGAGTATTCAACTCATTTAAAATAGCAGTTAAAAAATGCATGTTTTTGCAATTAATAGATATGTGCTATAAAGCTAAATGATTATCATTTAACAAAATTTCAAATCATATACAGGTTAATATGTTGTTCATGAGTACACTACATTTAAAGCATATTAATTTTATGAAAAACATGTTCAAACACTTCCACAAAAATCATCAACATAGTACTGGTGATTTCATTTACGTCACACAGTTAAACCTGTTTACTTTTGAAAGCAATAACTTACAAGATTTCAAATTACATTCTGGTTTTAAATCAATATGTACTGAAAGAAAGATTGTGATAACGTTACCATGACATGCTTTATTAATCAAATATAAAATTTAGTAGCACAAAACATAGAACCAGAGGAATAACAAATGATTTCCTTACCTTGAGGATTGGTGTGTCGAGGGCCTTGTGGAAGGAATTTTTGGCCCCCCTGGGGGAAGCGTGGTCCCGCCTGGGTGGGGAGAGGGGACTGCTGGTTGGCCATATGCTGGAACTGAATGTCCATGCTAGCACCCCCCATAGGACTGGACATTGGGTGTTGCTGGTTGTTGACCATGCCAAAATTGTTCTGTTGTGGCATGGGAGCCTGAGGGTTGTGGTTTTGTGCCATATTGTTCATCTGTCCCATCGACGACCCTCCCTGGTAGGGAACCTCACTCATCAGCTGGTTTTGAATTCTGCGGATGGCTGCCCGGTCGTCTGACTGTTGTGGATCCGGATCAAGTCCAGATATGGACCCGATGTTGAAATTCGGATCTTGTATCACCTGTTCCAGCTGTGACAGCAGCTGCAGGTCTTCTGATGATGGCACAGGATGCATGTCGTTCCCACTCTGGGAGATGCAGCTCATGTCTTGGCCAAGATTTGGCATACTGTTGCTTCCATGAAGTACATTTATGTGTTCTTGCTCCAAATCTGCCGCTTGCTTCAAAATTTCAGCTAGCAATGGATCTGGTGTTCCTGACGCTTCCATATCCATCCCAGAAATGGAATTTGACATAGAATCATTATTCCCACTGTTGGACCCCATTCCTCCCAAGAGTTTTTGAAGTTCATCATAATCACTCGACATTGAAGAAACAGAGTTTGAAACACTTTTTCCATTGAATACACTTGTGTTTACAGATGTGTGAATACTAGCTGGAATATTTAAGTTTCCTATACTAGCCTTCACAGAAGTATCCATATTTCCATATTGATTTGAATTCTGAAACCCTTGCAATCCCTCTTTAAGACTTTCTTTTTCCTTCTCAGTTGACAATCGTTTTGAATCAATGGGTCTCAGACTCAGTTGTTTATCATGAATATTAATGCGATTCTGTGGGGTATCACATGGGTCACTATTCACCAATAATCTTCCAGTATTCACCACAGCCTCACTAGGAGTCCGTTTTGACAACAACTGAGCCAGCAATACATTCTTATTTCTAGAGTTATTGACCATCTTCACTTGTTGGCTGGGCATGCCCAGCTCCATGTCTGTACTGTCCACACTACCGTCTGCTCCCGATGCTTTTCGCTTCCTATTATTGGGTCTCTGGAGTGGATCAGTGTCCGCTTTGTCCCAGAGACATTCCAGAATGGAACTCAGCGGGTCTGGCTTTTTGCCAACATCGTTAGCCGAGCTGACTGCAGTCGTCGTTGACGCAGTGCGATGGTCCTGGGAGTACGGAGGCAGTACGGATTGAGGTACCGAGGTAGATGGCGTTGTTGACTGAGGTTCTTGAGGCCCCGATTGATGCCGCTGACGCGAGAAAAGATCATTTTCATGACTAGTACTCTCCTGTGGAATAAGAAGAATATGTGTTGGTCTACATGCTTCAGCAGAATGCAAATGCCATTTCAAAATGTCACAAATGAAAAATTTCTAATTTGTTCCATTCTGATTCACATTACCTCCTCTTCAAATTTTATGTCAAAGTTCAAACAAGTTAAACTGCATGTAATATTCACAAAGAGAAAACAGCACACACATTTGAAACCCTTCATCCACAGGCCTGCACAGATTACTTTGTTCCGACTGATATGTACCAGAAATTTTTTTAAATAAAGGTCAGTCTGATCAAAGCAATCTGAAGGCCTGTGTTATCACCATTTCAGCTATTGGGGTGAAGGGATCAGACTTACAGCAGTGGCTATGACAGGGGAGGATCCATTTTCTTCCTCATTGAGGAGAATCTGTAACAGGTCCCCAGAGGGCTGCCGTGAGCGATCTCTGCCTTTCCCGTCCGATTTCTTCTCACCATCATCACTGAGTAACTTCTGTTTACAAGAAAAATCACAGAAAATATCTGAACATTTGTTAATTTTGTGACAGAGGTGAACTTGAAAGATTTTTCAATAATCCTCTTTGATTAGTTTGGACATGTATCAAAGAAGCTGATGCTGTGTGAATTCGCAATATGCATGTTTTTCCTTCAAGTATTACAACAAAATATGTAAGGAAAGCAAATATTACAAAACATGCCTTCGAAAACTAAGGTTTTAATATGAATTGAATTTTATATACAAATGCCAAAAGAAAATAAAGTCAGTTCAATTCATCAAATTTTGAGATCTTTAAAAGTTCGTTATAAAAGATGTAAATTTCATTATATTTAACCTCAACACTTTTACAAAGATTTGCTAAGAATTTTGCTGGGGACCCAGAAAAACTTCGCTATATCCGTGAATTCGCTCTATCTGTGTTCGTACTAAACGAGTTTTACTGTACATGTATATTTACAACACTGAAGTCATGTAGGCATTATGCAAAAATTTTCACACCAGCAACTAATATCAAAAGAAGCAACCAGAAATGTTAAATCAACACAATTTTACACCCTTTATATGACATTTTGCAAAGATGTCCATAAGATCAACAGAGTTTTCTATTTATAGTGTCTTTACCTTCAGCAGGGCATTAGAGGGTTTCTTTGGCTCGGCCTCATTTTTCTCCATCTCTGCCTTGTTATCTGTCGACTTGGTGTCCTCCGTGGGCGCCGCCTCGTTACATTCCTCTTCGTCGTCGTCCGTACTCAGGAGCTGCTTCAGGATCACGTTTTTCTGCGCCTCTTTATCAGAATCGTCCGAGTTTGTGGTGCTCTGTGGTTTTTCTGGCGGGCTCTGACCGGGCCCGGGCTGCGGAGACTGGTGCATGCTGTCCGCGGGGGATTTGGTCACCACGCTGTCCGTGCTCGTCCGTTCTTTACTCGACGATTGGACAGACTCCATAGAGCTGTTTTTAAATAAATCAGGACCAGGATTGGTGCCTGACAACAACTGACTTAGCTTTCCAGGTCGAGATGGGGATGGAAAAGTAAACTCCCCTGTCCGTCGCATGGAGGGACTGATTCCTCCTCCAATGTTCTGCAAGGCTTGAAGGTGACCTTCTGCAGGTGGGGACATCATGCTACTGGTCGGGGTCTGAGGAGCGGAAAATTGCCCCCCGCTATGCTGCATACGCCCCCATGAATTCTGACTCGCTGAAAATATTATATTGTGTTAATTTAAACCAATTTTCCTCAAAGTTATTAATTACGATATTTAATTTATTCATTTACCAACTTCATTTCAATAACAGATTATAATTAAATTAAATTTACATAAAACTACAAAGTTTTAACAAAAAAATTATCAAAATTTGTATTTCATCTGTAAAAAAAAAGGGAGGGGGTGTTCAGGTAATTACCTGATATAGGTGGAGTTCTTTGCATGGGGTAGGTCATACTCCCTGATGCAGGAGACATACGAGGATTCTGTCCCATATTGTTACTTGGGCTTCTCTGACTGTTGAAGCCCACTGCACCATGCATGCCACGTTGATTTGATGGGGGAAACTGGTTACTTCTGGGGCTAGGACTGGATGCAAATCCAGGACTTTTCTGACCTCCCCCTTCCAAAGAGTTACAACGGGGAAAATTGAGTGAGAGTTGCCTCTGCTTATCAGAGTTAGGCTGTGGTTGCATGTTTAAAACATTCCGCACAAGATGCTGCTGTTGTTGTTGCAAGTTTCCCATTTTCACTTGGGGCTGCATGTTATGCCAACTATTCATGTTGGCAGAATTTCCCGTCGTGAAATTATTGTTTTTGTTATGGGAAACAGGGTTAGACCCTCCAAGCCCCGTATTTCCGGGGAACGATGAATCACTTAAGAAGTCCCAGCTATTGGACGAGGCATCGAACTGAACGTCCTCGATAGTCTGGTTAATCGTGTTCTGAAAAGGTTGATTAATAGCACTTAACACCGCCATTGGAGAAATATTGTTTGGTAATCCACGAGTCGAGTTCTGCTCTCTTTGGTTGTTGGACACTAAAGTGTTTGACTGACCGATAATGGATTTCATTAAACTAGTGGACGCTGAGCCTTTGAGCTCCATGTCAGAGTCACATTCTCGTATAATCGAATGAGTGGACATAATAAAGCTTGTGTCTCCATGGTTTCCGTTATCATAAAGCTGACTCCGCGTTTGCACAAAGACGTAACGATTGTCTTGTAATTTAAATCTGTACACACTGCTGGTATTACTCTTTGACTTCAAAACTGCAATAAACAAGAGACATGATTAATCCCTTTTCAAAATGTACATGTGAGTACATACACAGTGAAAAAGACATGAATGACCTCATTTTAATTTTCACTGGTGACCTTTTGACTTTTAAGAACTCAAATTTGTCCCAGAAATCTAAACACTTTCAAAGTAATTCCCATTGAATTTTTCTTGTTCTCAGTCACTTCGTCAGTCTGTTTGTAGTTAAAAGTTGTTTTTACAGGGCTTGTTTGATTAATGACACAACTCTTTAAATATTAAAATCTATTGACAGTTGGACTTTCTGTAGGTGGTGGCATGCCCATGCTTAATTCACACAGAAAAGTTGTGCAGGAATTTTCTATACTAAGGTTTTTTTTTTTGTTTGTCAGCATTTCAAAAGGTCTAAACAATCAGTGGAGACATCCTAACTGTATACACATGTGGATTACATCCTCATCACCTGGGGTATTAAAAAATGGTAACAAACATAGCATATAAATTGAAAATAGATGTTTCAATGTGTTTACTTAATCAAATCACTTAGAAAAAAATATAACATGTTTAATATGCTGATTTCTAAATTTTTTTAAATTTGTTTACTGCTGCTTGTAAACAATTTAAACAATCATGTTCACATCGATGGTTCTTTTTTTTTTTTTTACACATGAACTACATATTGTAACATTCTATTAAATTATTTTAGGGGAAAAAAAAAGACAATTATTAAATCAGAAATATACAATTCCTTCCACACCCACCTTCTTGGAAATGCTTTGACAAAGTCTGAACGTCGTTAACGTGACAGAAATCTTGAACGTTCTGACCAGTAAAATCAGGACAGGAATAATGACCGGGTACAATTCCACTGAAAAAGGACAAAAACAGCAAAAATCAAAGCATGCTCAGACTAATTCAAAGTATCTGACAAAATATTTTTGGATTAATAAAATTCTCTTAATAAAGTCCATTTGTATTGCATGAATCTGGATTTATGTAAGATCTTCATAGACAGAATGAAATCCAATTCACACCCTTCATCTTCTTAACTGTTTTCACTATAAGATATTTGCCTCTATTGGTTAAACAATATAGAGGCCTTTTCGATTAAGGTTGACATTTATTATGCAAAAATAAATGTAACAGAAAAAGCTGAGAAGAATTGATATGTACTGCCATAAAATATTGAGGACATAAACTAGCAGACATCGAAAAATAGCCGGCAAAATATTTATGATATTGGGGACAGTTTTAGAGACAGTGGCTTGAAGCACTTTCAAAGAAAACTAGAACTGTCTTAGTAGGCCAAATTAGGACATGACACACTTAAAAACAACTTAAAGAAGACACATATGCCATTTAAATATGCCATTTCCTTTGACCTGACACTTGTTGGATGTTAATTCAATGTTAATGACTGGAGGTTGTAATACCTAGATTCATGACCAACTATTTTGCTGAGTACAAATATAAGTTAGTAATAAAAGGTTACAGAGCTACCCTTCACAACATTATCATTAAAAAGTCCCATTCTTAACTAATAGTATATCCCTAGATGCAACATTTATGCATTTTGGTCTGATAGGGCTTGCAATTACTTGGAAATGGACTTGTTCCAAGAACTTTAAATTAGTCAATAATCTACAAAATGTCAGTCAATTTGACCTTTACATTGTTTCTACAAACAACCACCATGTGCTTTTTTAAAAAGAAGTTTGAAGAAAAACTGTTAATTAATATCAAAAACTGTCTTTAAACAAGACAGTTGAACAGCAATGGCTGGTGACTTAATCTATGGGGGGTATAATGAATACACCCTCTGAATGCAGTCACATTGAAAGAAGATGAACTTAGCAGGAAATATTACTCTTTGTATCTAACTTAACGATATACAGAGAGTGTTAAATATTTACACTGTGAAGGAAACAGGATGAAAATAAATGATGAAGAGGTCACGGAAAAAGTTGACACAATATGAAATACAATAAATTGTGGGTGGTAGGAGAGCACAGATTAACGACTGTATATACCATAAAATTTCCTTATCATTACTTGGCCTTCTTTGATTCATTTTTTATTTCTTTGAGGTTAGAAATTCGTTCAAATATTTTTTTGGCTTTTGATTGCAAAACATAAAATTAAAACTGCAGCAGAAAATACATTATTAGTAAATGTAGAAAATTAATATTAAAACATACTAACTCCCCTTGTTTTCTTTACCTTCATTTCTTGCACAGACACATTTAAATATACAACAAACACAAGATGTCCTTCCATTCAATGATCCACCAATTTGCAATTTTTTTCCTGACCATGAATCAAATTATCACTAATCACAGTCAAAATCACCCAAAGTTGTGCATTAGTTTCCAAAAAAAAAGATAAACTGAACATAAAACAGGACAGAATGTTGTGTATTTCTGTCTTATGCAAATCTCTATGCAATATAGGAAAACCTTGATACAAACATGTAACAGCTGATAATGTTCCATATCTTTGGGCTATACAAAGAACATGTACAAAAAAAATCATTAGTAAGTACTACCCTAAATTTTACTACACTCCTATGAAACAAGGTGATTTGGGTAGAAAAAAAAACAAAAGGGTTCCATCTCACACCTTATTGAAGAAATCTAGAAATTTATATCAAAGTACACTGTCACTTTACGGTAGCCTAATTAATTATATAAGTAATGAGAACTCCTACGACTAACACCTGTACTGCTGGCAGTCGTGGGATGTAATCTTTACTCAAAAGTAAATTGATAATCAATGAAAAACCATCAATGCAAATTATTATGGAAAGTTGCTGAACAGGATGAAAAACACAAAAGTGCTTAGTCAGAGAAATTATGCCCTTCCACAAAATATGAAAAGTCAATGCCTTGGATATACAAGTCACTCCTATAATTATAACATCTTCAAAAGGAACATCAACTTATTTCCATATCCAACGCAATAGATGATGATCAGAAGTTTATAGAGATAACCATTTTCTATTTCATAGTGTCAGGGTTAACGATCAAGGTCAGGGTCAAAGATCAAAGTGAAGGTCTTACCCTTTCGTGGCACTTAAAATACACACTGATTTGCTTAAGCACAAAGTCTGAAAAATATACTTTGTGCAGCACCTAAACAAAATTATTGATACCAATAGAAACAGACAGACAGACAGCTAGACAGACGGACAGGAATAATTTTTTTTTCAAAGAACAAACTTCTGTCTTGGAATCCAGACAAAAGTAATTTTACGTTTGTTTTCAATAGTAATAATACCTGGTATCGTGAGAGATTATTTTTCCATTAATATCTTGTTTTGTTGTAAACTGTTCAATTCCCAGCATGGTATTGGTCTTTTCGTTGAAGGAGAGTCGCCGTGCAATACACACTAGGCACGACAACCCTTCTACAAAACAAGAAGAACATCTAATTAGAAAAATAAGCGATCAAAATCACTTCAAAATTTATAAAATTCAAAATTAATAACCATATAATAAGTTTGCTTCACCTTATATCATTTGCTACAAGACTTTTCACACGCCTTGATGACAATTATAGTTCTTGTATTTATAGTCTGTTATGCATGCAGGAAATATTAATAAAAGAAAACTTTCACCCAAAGAATTTAATGACTTATGAAATACGATCACAGGTTAATCACAGTATTGCAGATGTTTATCACTACAAGACATTGACATATATATCCTAGGCCTATACCAATAACGGTTTGTGCAACAATATCGAGAGTTATCTATCTTTGGTACCTGAGTTTTCTGAGCCCTCAGAAAACTTTTCCCCGGGTTGTGAAATGGCAGATATCTGAAGGTTTTCATACTGTGACACATACGTCTGTTTAGTTTCTACATCATCATTCTCATCATCTGGCGTAAGCAAAAGAACAAAAAACCAAACGTAAATCCTTCGTAATACATCATATCTGTTCAATTACATCTCTTGAGATAAACAATATATCTTAATGATCTGATATTAATTAATGGCTGCAAGTAATCTTATTACGAAATTACTATAGCTTTCTATTTCCAGTTTCAAATTTTCAATTAATTGAAATTTTAATTTTTCCCCAATCATTAAAAACAAATTGTTGGAATATGTGACGCTAAATATCCGCTAATATTATAATGACAGTGGTATTTTCCGTTTTCTGACGTAAATCTGTATTACATTGAAAAACATCGCAAATAATCGTTCTAAAACTTTAGAATATTAGGGAATTTTTTCTAACATGTATTTTACCATCAGTATCTTATCAAATCTGTGGAAAGCTCGTTTGTTTTGTAACATGCCCCGTTGGAATTATCTGAGGATTTTTTTTCTAGAATTTTAGTCAATTAACCACCAGCGGAAAGAATCAGACAACTGAAGCCTGCCCTAATCGAGATGCCGTTTGATTAAAAGCCCTCATCCAAAACCTGGATAATTACTGTTTTCTGTATGCTTATATGTTTTAATTACTCACATGGGGGTTTAATGAGCATGCGACAATTAAATGTTCTTCCTTTTGCTAGTGAAGATTCATTGGGCCATGATATCACACTCCCTGTAAAAGATAAAAAGAAAATGCATTTTCAAAAAAATCAATATTCTAGATTATGTACGCATAAGATTTAACAAATATTGTTAATCTTTGTTTTCGTCATGAAGAAAAATGATTTCCTGCATGATCATAAAAGGGGAGCTAATCAATATAGCCCTCTAGCTGACAGCCCATGATTAAAACTACATACTGTGAAATCAAAAATTTTTGTGGGGTTTAATTTTTGTTGTTTTCGAGGTATGAAGAGACCCACGAATTCATCTCCAACACAAAATGTTACATGTATAACTACTCAACAATTCTTCATCCACAAAATCAATTCCCCACGAACCACGAGTTTTTCTGCAAACAACAGAAATTTGACCCCACGAAAATATGTGATTTTACAGTATTTTTAAATCATTTTATCAACACAAATTATTGTTTTAACAAAGGCAATGATTTTGAAATAGAAAATATCTTCTCCCTATCCTAAACTTAAAATTTTCCAAGACAATATTGTTATGGCAAAGTTTGACATATAGTGAAACCGCAGTATCTTGGACTCAATGTGACCAAGAATAAACCTTGAGATATCTGGGGTTCTAGATACTGATTGTAAAACACTTAAAGAAAAAATGCTTGGGACTCCCGAATTACTCTGACATATCAAAGGTATTCGAGATATCCATGTTCAAGATATCAAAGTCCAACTGTACTTGAAATTAATAATTATTTCAGGAATTCGTAAGACATGGCAGGCATTTAGGGAAATTATCAGACCCAGTCCTTTGCTGGCTTGTTTTTCTTTCAGTGTAATCTAACACACTTCTGACACACTTATATCTCATTAGAAAATAGAAATACTTCTTCAGTAGTCCTAGCTTTGTGTCTCTACTAGGCCCTGCTAAGAGTGCTCTTCCACTAATGACTAGTACTGCTCACATAAAGCTTGCCTCACAGTAACCCACATTTACGACTCTTTAGTCTGTTATTAAATATTTATCTACAAGCAAGTTTTTATTACTACTTGAGGTTAAAGAAATTAGAGTTGCTTGACTGGTTGTGACAAGTTTAAACCCTGACAAACTGGAATTTGATTTCGGGGAGAAATAATCATGTATCTTCAGCTTAAAAACAACTTATGGCAAAATTGACTTGACTGAATATTGATATTATAACAGAGCAAAAATAGTAAGCTCAACCATAATATCTGTGATCTTTCACATCAACAGCTTTCAAAAATAAACCAACACTTATTAAAAAATAGTTACCTCCCCCTTTCCTTAACCCCCTTAAACTCTTAAATAAGTTTTTTTCCAAGGGATTCTGGGTGATACTTTATATTTCCTTTGGAACAGGCAGAAATTTCTGAAGTTGTCTTATCAACAAGTGACACATGTGCTTATATATGCGAAATACTCTAAATGCTTAAAATAACAGAATATCCTACCAATGGTACCAATATTCGTAAAATACTCTAAGAGTGACCCTAAATGACAACAAAGTGGTTTTAAACCTGGATTACGCACCCAGTGACATGGGCAGCAAACTGTAGTTAAACTGGTCATGGTCACCGATGTGTATGATGTTATACACGCTTTTCCCGATCAGATCATCCTAAAAAAAAATAACGGTAATCAATGTAACTGCATTACATGCAACAATAATAAATTACAGTAACAAGTATAACAACATTACATACAAAAAACAATAAATGCACATGCATTTATTTTGTTCTGTTGTGTTGGGTTACTTGGATATGTATGCATGTTAATATTCTGTTGGTTTGGATTGGATAGTTTACATTTACATACATGCACATTGTAAAGGTTTGGAATGTATTTTTCCTATAAGATAGTAGATTTATCAATGGTTAGAACTGAATGGAAGATCTATTTTAAAATGAATAAATATGCAAGTATTTTTTAAAAGTCCGGTCTATATAGAAGCAGTTATTCCATTGACAGTGAAAATGATAGATGAGGGATGGGTGTTTACTGGGGCAAATACGGTAAATCTTCCAGAGAAGGACGTAATTGCAGCCATTGTTTCAAAATGTATAAAACTTTTTTGCAAATTTTTAAAATACAAAAGGTACTTTGCTGACTGCCTTGTGAAGAGTTTTGATTTTTGTGAAAAATTAATGCATGAGTAAATTAAAGCAGCATTTCTCACATCAAATATTAATATTCCTGTATTATTAGCTACACCAGTGTGTGCTTAACTTTCCATTTTTTTTTTTATTTGCCATGGTTTTTTAACTACCCCATGAGACCCAATAAAATTTAAGAACCTTTTTTTCAAATTAACTATCAATGAAACCTAATTTCAAAAAGTAAAAATTTTCTAAATAATGCATCTAATAGATTGGAGCAAATATTTCCAGCAACTTAAAGTTAAAAATTCACTGCATCTAATTTTCTAGGGCAATATTGATTTTTCCCCCCTTTTTTCTTCTTCAAAAGATGTAAATTATCATTTTTGATGTTTAATTCATACTTTCAAAAATTATGTGTTAATTTTTGAATGTATACATAAGAATTAAATTTAACTTTCAATTTAAATCAAATTTTAATTCCTTTTTAGTGTCAGCAGCTTTTTCTGCAATAATTGCATTTTTTTTTTTAATTTCGAAAATGTCTATCACAATCACTGAACACTGGAACTTCAAGCAAAATGAATCCTAATTCTTAGTTTTTCTAATAAAGATCTCATCTTTACATTGCAGTGACCTTATCATTACCTTCTAAGTACTATTATTGTAGAAGTGTATTTAAATATACAATTTATAGTTTATCTTTTTGGAATGCATTATGGTATGTGATAATGGCACTTCAATAATAACCCTGCCAGGTCAGCAGACTAAACATTGAACTAGCTGATAGAAAAATCACAATGTTGTACTTTCTAACAGGTCGTTTTATAACCCCAAACCTTTTGCAAGTCATGATTCCATGCATGTAAAAAATAAACAAATTTAATACATTTCCTTTGTGTATGCTACTCAAAATTCAAAATCACAATAATATAATGAAGCCACTCTGACAATATGTTGAAGAAAACATATTCTTATATTCAACTAGTGCTAATTGTAATGGGGACCGTTACAGATGTTCCCCAAACGCTCCCCAACTTCCTTTTGGTGCCACATTCCCTGTAAGCTTCATTAAATAAGACAAACTCTATGCATTTGAGGCTTTAACAACATTTACCCAGGAAAAAGTACCAAGTTCATTCAAATTTTAGAATTCCATGCGTGCGCATGTGAATGCATGTGCGTAATGACCATATCATCTTGTCTATACAATCTTAATATTTTAATATACTAAATATTAATGGAATTAATCCAAAAGTATTAACAAAATACTCTCATTAAACTGTATTTTTGATTTTACTCATTTCACGTGGAAGCACGTGCATACATGAGCATGATGATCATACCTTCTTGTAGAAGTCCATTACATCTATCTATGTTCTAAATCCCACCCCGTTCGGTTGAAAACCAAGGGAGTTATAGCTGTTTAAAGTTTCAGCCAATCAGATTGCAGTGCACGTACACGCACGTGTATGCATGTGCATGATGACCATACCATCTTGTAGAAGTCCATTATATCTATCTATGTTCCAAATCCCATCCTGTTTGGTTGAAAACCTAGGGAGTTATAGCTATTTAAAGCATAAGCCAATCAGATTGCAGCGCATGTGCATGCACGATTTTTCATGATAATTGCTATATATTTTATTGTAGGATATCCTAAGACATGCCTATGTTTAAAATTTCAAAGGATTTCGTCAAAAAACAAGAAAGATATTGAGACTTTAGTTTCAGCCAATCAGAGCAAAGCGCACGTGCATGCGCGTGAGATCTTGCTTTTTTGACCATGTCATCTTGTCTATGCTTCTAATATATACTTGTAATATGAGTTTCAAAGCATTTCATCAATAATTTAAATAGTTACGTCTGTATCAATTATGTTGGACATTTCTCATGTTGCACGTGCGAGCTCTTGCAAGCACACGTGCATGCACATGCTTTCATGAAAATTCTTATATTACAGGCTGTAGATCTCCCTAATGTATAACTATGTTCAAAATTTCAAATGATTTTATCAAAAAACAAGAAAGATATAGAGACTTTAGTTTCAGCCAATCAGAGCAAAGCGCACGTGCAAGCGCGTGCAATCTTGCTATTTTGACCATGTCATCTTGTGCATACTACTAATATATCCTTACATTATGAGTTTCAAAACATTTTGTTAAAAAATAGAAAAGTTACGGTTTTATCCAATATATATTGGTCATTTCAAGTTTTGCACGTGCGCGCTCTTGCAAGCACGTGCGCGCAAAATGACCTCGATTCCGCAAATCTACATTACATGTCTACTGACCCTAAAAACATTTCACCTAAATCGGATGTGTAGTTTACAAGATCATTCGCGGACAAAATTTTCCCGAGAAGAAAAATAATAATAATAATAACTAGAAAAGAAACTCGTTGCGAGCAACGAGAGGTCTTCCGTCCGATTCTAAAAGAAAAACGTAAAATCGAAATGAAAAAGTGATAAAAAAAAATTTCGGACAAATGGGGGATGGAACCCGGGTCGCCAGCGTGGAAATCCAACGCGCTTACCATTACGCCATTGGGGACCACCACTTCAAATTTTTAAATGCGAATATCTCGAGGTAAGAATTTCTGATTCTAAATCAAATTACATATTTATCATTCTCAAATATGTCTCTATTATTCTTTTTAATATCAATAAAAAATGTCAAAAAACAAAAAAGTTCAAAAAATTACCCTTTTTCAATCACTTCCTGTGACGACCGGAAGTGGCGACGACACACGAAATGTTCTTATCACACATCTACAAACCAACCTCTATCATATCTGAAAGTTTGAGAATCCTACCTTTTATAGTTTCTGAGAACATTCACGGAATAGGTTTTTAGTGGAAAAAATGAAATTTTGCAATAATTCCTGACCGGAAGTGAATTTTTCCAATTTCTTTTCATATTTCAAAATGGCATGGTACAACACATATTTCCTGAAAATTTGGCTGAAATTCATTGAGTAGTTTTCGAGAAAACGCGATTTGAAAAGGTAAAAAAAATAATAATAAAAATAATAATAATAATAATAATAATAAGAAACAGTAGAATCACTATAAGGTCTTCCGTGAAGACGGAAGACCTTAATAAGAAACAGAGTAAAAACAATATGTTCCCCAACTTCATTTGGGGAACATAATAATAAAGTTTTTACCTCTGAAGTTTTGTAAGATAATTTTCAATGTGTCAAAAATCACTTGAGTGAGCGAATAAATTTTCCTAATGCCCAAGTCTGAGGTGTGTTCTTTAAGAATGTGATATTTTTTCATCTTTTCCATATTTGGTTATAAAGGAAGCTGGATTGGTTTCTAATTTAATACACTAAGCAACTTTAAAACTTTGCCCAAACTTTCTCTTCACCTGATTAAGTGAAAAGCTTAATCAACACAATGTAGGAAAAGTCTCTAATTATTTATGCATTACATATTAGGGTGGACTAAATTACTTTACAAGAAACAGAGCAAAAGGTGCTAATATATGATTATTTAAATGTTATTATATTAAATTAGTATTATGGTATTTCCTAGAGCTTTAAATGAAGTAGGCCATTCATTCAGATACACTTTTCTCTTCAAGTGCAACCATCTAATTCCCTCAAAGATTTGAAATTGCATTAGATTTAATATGATTTTTGAAAACTGAGAAGTATTATCTAGCATACTAATATCATGAGGTAGAGTTATTATATTTCATCTATATGCCTCATTTTTCATAACAAGATACACATTATGAAGATATGAAATTAATTTCATTCAGAGGTTAACTTTAGATCTTTATATTGTAGGAACCTAAAATTGGGCAAAAAATCTGGAGCAACCTAAACTATGCATTATCATATCTAGTGGTTTTGAGACTACCATCATAAATTCTCACAATTACGCTCATACTATAAATTCCAATTTCGAGTCCATGCAATTGGACACAAATGATAGTGCATTCAACAAACACTTTGAACCTAATTTCATCTGAAGCCTGGTTTAAAGAAATGTACTGCGATGAAAAAAGGAATGAACAGACCGTATCACCAAGCCGAGAACCTGCGTAGAAAACTAGATATGTATAGAGGTATTGATTGTAACTAGTTTCTCTGATTCATAGGAGCGTTATCCTTCACAACTCAAATATATGTACATCTCCCTCTAACCATGGTATTTATATACTAGTGTTTTTATCAGTGTTAAAGACAAAGAACTCTCCCATTAGACCTGGTTATGCGAATCAATTTTTTTTTCTTTAACATAAAATTTCTGAGGCTTCTAGGTATAGACTGCAGATACTCTACATGTAGTTTGCAGCAAAAGCTATCTCCTAAATTTAGGTTAGTGGGTCACTAGGTAACTGCACTCTACTAGTGGCAAGGGTTTCCTTGATTGGCTGGTGTTTTAATTAATCTAGTCAGTTTATATCTCATTCCTACACACACAATATAAAGCCCTACAGGTAGAGGAAACACAGGGAATTCTGTTTGAAAAAAATATTTAATTCTGCTGAAAAATTGTACCCCACTACTATGTAATTATACCAATTTCTACCACGTTTACCTATATCTCTTCATAAAAAATTTCTTGAGAAATTGAAAATGAAAGTTGTGTATTATTTTTTTTATGAAAAAATAATTTTTGACAATGTTTCAGCAACTCAACCCAAAATTAGTTTATGTACAGAACTGGCACAGATATCTAAACTATAAATTTGCACCTTGAGCCAAGTATAGCAGCCATTACACATACAGGTGGACATGTGGTTATGAAAATATACCTGTACAGGTGTGGAAAATGAGGTGTATTAGAGCTATCACCTGGTCAAATTTATTGTCAGATATGACACATAAATGTTACAAATGAATACACAGTTTGGACATTAATCCCACAGCAAGAAACCACGAATTCGTAATACTGGCATTTATGTTTTAAAAATGTTAGTTAGAGCGATGCTTTATGTCTCTAAATATGATGATAAGATCATATTTAACCTTGGAAGTGAATCAATGAAAATTCGCTCCTCTGAAAGGTGTTCTCAAAAATATGAGAGGCTGTTCAAAACATTCAAATATTCATATTTTTAACACTTGTTTCTAAGTGAGATGCATGAAATTTTGACTAAAAGCATTATACATTTGTTAAAATCAAATGCAATTTCTTTTACATGTACTTTAAAGTTACTCTAAAGGGAAAGTTACTTTAAAGGGAAAGTAAGGATGTAATAACCTGTGTTGTACAGTATGCTATAACATAGAGGAAATGTGTACAGTATACTCTAACATAGAGGAAGTATGTACAGTATGCTCTAACATAGAAGAAATATGTACAGTATGCACTAACATAGAGGAAATATGTACAGTATGCTCTAACATAGAGGAAATGTGTACAGTATGCTATAACATAGAGGAAATATGTACAGTATACTCTAACATAGAGGAAGTATGTACAGTATGCTCTAACATAGAAGAAATATGTACAGTATGCTCTAACATAGAGGAAGTATGTACAGTATGCTCTAACATAGAGGAAGTATGTACAGTATGCTCTAACATAGAGGAAGTATGTACAGTATGCTCTAACATAGAGGAAGTATGTACAGTATGCTCTAACATAGGGGAAATATGTACAGTATGTTCTAACATAGAGGAAATATGTACAGTATGCTCTAACATAGAGGAAATATGTACAGTATGCTCTAACATAGAGGAAATATGTACAGTATGCTATAACATAGAGGAAATATGTACAGTATGCTCTAAAATAGAGGAAGTATGTACAGTATGCTATAACATAGAGGAAATGTGTACAGTATGCTATAACATAGAGGAAATATGTACAGTATGCTCTAACATAGAGGAAATATGAACAGTATGCTCTAACATTGAGGAAATGTGTACAGTATGCTCTAACATAGAGGAAATATGTACAGTATGCTCTAACATTGAGGAAATATGTACAGTATGCTCTAACATTGAGGAAATATGTACAGTATGCTCTAACATAGAGGAAATATGTACAGTATGCTCTAACATAGAGGAAATATGTACAGTATGCTATAACATAGAGGAAATATGTACAGTATGCTCTAAAATAGAGGAAGTATGTACAGTATGCTATAACATAGAGGAAATGTGTACAGTATGCTATAACATAGAGGAAATATGTACAGTATGCTCTAACATAGAGGAAATATGAACAGTATGCTCTAACATTGAGGTAATGTGTACAGTATGCTCTAACATAGAGGAAATATGTACAGTATGCTCTAACATTGAGGAAATATGTACAGTATGCTCTAACATTGAGGAAATATGTACAGTATGCTCTAACATAGAGGAAATATGTACAGTATGCTCTAACATAGAGGAAATATGTACAGTATGCTCTAACATAGAGGAAATATGTACAGTATGCTCTAACATAGAGGAAATATGTACAGTATGCTATAACATAGAGGAAATATGTACAGTATGCTCTAACATAGAGGAAATATGTACAGTATGCTATAACATAGAGGAAATGTGTACAGTATGCTCTAACATAGAGGAAATATGTACAGTGTGTATGCTCTAACATAGAGGAAATATGTACATTGAGGAAATATGTACAGTATGCTCTAACATTGAGGAAATATGTACAGTATGCTCTAACAACATAGAGGAAATATGTACAGTATGCTCTAACATAGAGGAAATATGTACAGTATGCTCTAACATAGAGGAAATATGTACAGTATGCTCTAACATAGAGGAAATATGTACAGTATGCTCTAACATAGAGGAAATGTGTACAGTATGCTCTAACATAGAGGAAATATGTACAGTATGCTCTAACATAGAGGAAATATGTACAGTATGCGTAGAGGAAATATGTACAGTATGCTCTAACGTAGAGGAAATGTGTACAGTATGCTCTAACATAGAGGAAATATGTACAGTATGCTCTAACATAGAGGAAATGTGTACAGTATGCTCTAACATAGAGGAAATGTGTACAGTATGCTCTAACATAGAGGAAATATGTACAGTATGCTCTAACATAGAGGAAATATGTACAGTATGCTCTAACATAGAGGAAATATGTACAGTATGCTCTAACACAGAGGAAATATGTACAGTATGCTCTAACATTGAGGAAATGTGTACAGTATGTTCTAACACAGAGGAAGTATGCACAGTATGCTCTAACATAGAGGAAATATGTACAGTATGCTCTAACATAGAGGAAATGTGTAAAGTATGCTCTAACATAGAGGAAATATGTACAGTATGCTCTAACATTGGGGAAATGTGTACAGTATGTTCTAACATAGAGGAAATGTGTACAGTATGTTCTAACATAGAGGAAATATGTACAGTATGCTCTAACATTGAGGAAATGTGTACAGTATGTTCTAACATAGAGGAAATGTGTACAGTATGCTCTAACACAGAGGAAATGTGTACAGTATGTTCTAACATAGAGGAAATGTGTACAGTATGCTCTAACGTACAGGAAAATATGTACAGATGCTCTAACATAGAGGAAATATGTATAGTATGTTTAACGTACAGGAAATGTGTGTGTATCTTTATTTTGTTGAACTGCGCATTCTAACATACAGAAATATGTGTGGATGTATTTATCTGTGTTGTACGGTACATTCTTACCTATATACAGAAAAACATGTGGGCATGTTTACCTGAGTATACTGTAAGTACTCGGTGATATTATCAGACACAAACTCAATCTTTCCTTGACTGTTCACAACAAAAAGGAAACCATCCAAAGCCTGAAAGACAAAAAAAAAATAATAAAATAAAATAAAACACATATAAGTTCATAAAATATGTAAAAAAAATTTAGGTTATTTTAAGATAGTTGGCAAAGAGACTAATTTCTATAACACTAAAGAATCAAGTTAGGGCATTATCCATCCTTGGCACGATTTATAAGATTTTCAATGAATGATAGCAAGGTTGAAACCTCTGTCAAAATTCACATAAAAATGGGCCCATGAGTATAGATAAAAGGTATGCCTATGGGTAGACTAACAATAGACAAGTACCCACTTGTGCTTGTTATGGGCGAATCTTTCAAAGCAGAGGACTATTTCCATTGCCAAAGAATAAACTGCTTCTTGGGTAAATTGTAAATACAGATCTGAAAATTATCCCTTTGTAATTTTACGAGCTTAACCTCATGGAACTTGCAGAAGCAGGAATGACAGAGCAACAACAGAGATTAGGAATATGTTTGCATGTGTAGATAGACTCCAGGGGACTATGAGTGGGAGAGGACATGGGTCCAGTGGAATTGAAAATCTTGTAGTTAAATAGAGGATCACAAGTTCAGCAGAAAAAAAAAATTTTGAAGTTCAAACTTAAAATAGTGACTAAAAAGGAGAGAAATTGTGAATGTGTCACCAAAAAACACGGATGACAACTGGCTGAACACATGTAAACTGAATTTGCAGACTAGCTAGTAAGATATTCAGAGTTCTCCTACTGCAGAAAACAGAAGATGCAGACAGCTGAGGCTCAATGGAATCTTTCTGAGGGAAATTTATTTTGTAGAAGACAAAACTTTCTTTCTTCCTGGAGCAAGATACACTACAGTGGCTTCTGGTTTTATTAATAATTGGAGAGAACTCAAAACATACCTCAAGAAGAAAACAGAGCTTTGGTAGGCATAAATGAAGGTTCCAAGGAAAGCTCCCTTAATTAATCAGGTCTTATAATGGGAGAAATGTTTTCAACTCTCAGAACTCGAAGTTTCATGTAGGAGCATGGTAACTTTACTCTGGAGAACTGATTGAGGTACAGAATATCATCTTGTGCCAATTCATAAAATCTTACCCCAGGCAAACTAGGACTTTAGTTGGGCACTTGCTGCAGATCTCAACTTCTTACCTTGAAGAGCAGAGGAACTAGGACTTTAGTTGGGGTCTTGCAGCAGTAAACAAAATCTTACATTGAAGACAGAGGACCTAGGACTTAGCTTGGGTTGTGCAGCAGTACACAAATTCTTACACTGAGGAGCATAGGCCTGAAGTCTTAGTTAGGGTTGTGCAATAAAATCTTACCTCGAGGAGCAGAGGACCTAGGACTTCAGTTGGGAGAACTGAGGGCTTGCTTGAGGACACCTGGCTTTGCTGAACTGCGTCTGATGAAGCTTTTTCTACAAATACACAAGAAAACATTTATATGTATATTATGTAACTGAGCAAAAAAAAAAAAAATTTATGTCTTGAAAATAGATCCAGTTTTGTAGGCTTCAATTTTACTGAAAATGATCAATAAAATTTACACCCGCTAAGTGATGCTAATCAAAGTTAAGAAAATTTGGAAACAAACAATTCGTTTATCCACGACAATTCAATGTCATAGGTAGAAGATGTGGAAATATTACATAAAGGCAAACATATTACGGAGTAAAAACTGGATGTCATAGCAACCTAAACGTCGTTTTTTTTGTATGTGGGGTTGGGGTGGGGGTATTTTTATTATTTTTTTCTCAGTTGATTATCAACCTGGGGACCATATATAATTCTCATTTAAATGCAAGATTTATCATGTGTTCCCATATACCGGTAATTACCACAATGATCCTTTCTTATATTTTACCCCCCCCCCTTTTTTTCAGTATATAAAATAAATTGAAATATGTAGGACTTTTTTCTAATAAGCCCTGTTTATATAGTGAGATATCTTTACTACTTGTCATTATAGGACAAAAGATTGTTCAGGAAATGACAATGCTAATTATTTCTGCAAATGCTGGTCTGCACATTGATGATAGTTTATGAGAGAATAAACATAAAAGATCTCTAAAAAGTCTTACTGATAACAAAAAAATTCTTATGTATTAATAATACTAAATATGAAGGTATAACTATGCATTTCACTTAATGGTTATTGGAAAAACAAAAAATCAAATATTCTTCTATGGAAAGGTAGAAAACTGACAAATTTAAGATTTCTGGTAATGGTAAAGCTATCAAGTTCTCTTTCATGCTACAATTATCAATGATGGTGAAATATATTTTTGTGTCAAAGGAGTGTGTGTTATGTCTTAGAAATCTATCCTCTATCTCTATTTCAACTTCATACATTAACCAATGATTTGACTATAGGAAAACGTGTGACAATATGACTCCATGATAATTTTTTTTTACCTATATTAATATCGTGGTAGTCTAACAAATCATGCTATCTGTCGATATCCACGGGAAGTATGGAGCACTAAATCTGATTCAACAAGCACCCTGCATTATCAACACAAGGAGCTAAATCCTTTACCATGCCTCATTATCTTTTTTTGTGTACAAAACAGCCCATTATTTAATCAATATGCAAGCTTTTACACTTTGGAATTGAAGTTATCTTTATTTCAATCAGCCTTAATCAATATTTGACTTGGTGCAAACCCCAACCATACTTCATCTGTTTATCTTCTGAAATACAAATACTCATTGAAGTGTGCAAACTTATAGGGGAAGGTAGAACATTAAAATCTCCCTGCTTTATATCACAATTACCAACACAGTCTGCAAGTCCCCTGTTAACTTCCGAATTCATGATATTTTCACCTAATTAAGAAGCATGTAAAGGATATATGATTTACAAGGATGCTTAAAATTGTAGATTTAGTTTGTAAATTGTGAAAATAAAAGGATTTGGTTGACGACACTGCTCTTGCCACCAACTGAAAATTCATGACCTATTCTTATACTGACTTAACATTTTGATCTTCAATGCAGACAGCCAAAGGTGGGTCTCTCTAAGACTGACATACATATTCAATACACTACACTAAAGTTCTCTAAGTAACAATTTCCCACTTTCCATTTGAACTTAGTCATATTGCACTGAATGCTTTCTGGAATGATGGATTCCTGCCTCCTAGATTTATCAGGTGTGCAACAGAGGCTGCCTTGTTCTGTGTTAAAGAACCTTCCATTAAACCGCACAACTAGCCTTGTAACACTGACAAAAACACACACCAAATGTGTATTACCCTCCGAGCTTCAAGATACACTTTAATGTAACAACATTTACAACATAAAGCCTTAATGTTTATTTCATCTAGGAGCTGGTAGAGTGTTTGCTTTCAAACACAACAAAATCAATGTCTTTTTTGTAAGGTGAGATAGAACAGCCATGATTTTTCCATGCCCTCGAGCAGGTGCTGCCATCTTCCTGCAACAATCAAGGGCATTAACTCTTTATCATTAGGGGATAAGCTAAATACCTCAATGAGATGACTAGGCAATTTTGGAAAATGGATGCCACCTTTAATTACAACAAATTAAGGTCTCAGAAATTCAGGTCACCGTGTTTACTGTTTAACCAAAGAGATCGCTTTGGCACTGGCAGCCATAGGAAGAAGTACTTTTTTCCTTTGTACCAAGGACATGAACTAACACATAAAAAATTAAATGATTCAGAAATTCAAACGGAAACTTGTTTTTAGTTTATGAAAGCTTAATGGCATACAGCATAGAAACTGCTTCATCATCTCATTGGCTTCTATATCCTTTTCCCCCCATATTTAGAGATGACCATATAACAGATGATTTGTGGAGACCACTCTGAGTTGCAAGAAATATCTTTTAATAGTGATCTTCTGTAACATATCATTTTTTCTATTAAAATGTATGCTTCTAGCAATTCTATGGATAACCAAGCTAGAAGTTTGAATTGACACATATTATGTTGAAATATTACAATCTGCAGTGCTTTGCCAGAGCCTAAAGCATCACTGTCTTTCTTAATCCTACTAATTTTTAAAAGAATTTTTTATTCAATTACTCTGAATTTCTTTACCAATTTCTATATTTTTTGTTCAAAAATTCATCATTGCATGTTTAAAAGACTCCAATCCAATCCCCCATTCTTCTCTTCTATGGCTATCAATCAAATCATCCTATGCCTTATCAACACGGAAGCCTATAGATCTATTACAGGTAATCTGAATGCTTCAGAACTATATAGAATTGGTAATTCAAGAAAGTTCTGGCACGAAGCAGTTTTAAGCAACAAGTGTTGTATCTTGAACTTGACATCAGAAATGTACTTGTATTGTTTGATTTTATGAAAAGGATTAGCTTTCTACGAGTGCAGACTAGCTATCACAAAATTAACTTTTTCAAGCGGTTTTATTTTTAATCTTTCTCACTTCAGCTAATTTATTTTGTTGCAATTACTAGCAACAACAAATATTGGTAAAACTTACTGCTGTTTTATTTTGTTGAAGCTTTTTTTTCAACTGAAGGTGACAGCAACACTTGTTTTCTTGACTTTAAAATGAAACTTTTTGAATCAGATTCAAGTCAATGTGTATGGAACCATGCAGCGATGTCCGGATTAGTCAAATTACACTGTTCAAACTTTCTATTGATACTGATTTCTAACCAAAATCCTGATATTTTACACATTTCACTTTCTGCTTTTTTTATTAAGTATATGCTTTCTACTAACTTAACAATGATAAAAAAAATCATGTTTAAATGCACAATTTTGCTTGAATAGTTTTTAAGACAAATACAGTCAAACCTCTGTATCTCAACTCTAAGGAACTAAAAACGAAATTTTGAGTTATCCTGGGCCTAGAGATTAAGGATAAAATACTGAAAGAATAAGTGGTTAGGAGTTAGGACTTCCAAATTACTTTGTGTCCATGGTATTGAGATATCAGTGTTTGAGATATCAGAGTTCAACTGTAATAATTTTTTAACAAACTTAAGTGGACTGTTGTTTCATTTTGGTAAAGCTTTCTTCAGGGCTCCCACTAGACCGAAAATATTTTTCGCCACTTTTCGCGACAAAAGGAAAGGCATACTTACATCTGATTTCTCGACAATGCAATGCACTTTATGTTATTCAATTTTTTTATGATCTTTATCACAGATATTGATTTAAAATTGTAATCTTATAAGTTTATGGTAGTATCCATTAAAAAAAACTAATGTTGGAATTATACAATTAATTTGATATTGAATTGATATCAGCCAACTCTTGACAGAAAATGTCCTCTTGTTTATATATATATATTTTTTTTGCTTAGGATACTAAGGATAGGGGGGGGGGGGTTACAGACCTAGTAAATATTTTTGACATTTTTTAAAAATGGAAATCTTCATCATTTCATTAATTAAGAAAAATGAGAAAAAATGTATAGTTAAAAAGTAATGAAAATGAGGTTTAAAACTTGACTTTATTTTAACAACTTGGAGACTCCAGGGTTTAATATGCAAGCTCATGTAATTGTAAATAATTCAATGTAATTTACTAAGATAATTCTGCTTCCAAACCAATTTCTTTTTCACTTTTTGTCAGTTTATGGTATACTGTGCACATTTTTCAATTTTTATTAGGTAAAATTTGAAGCCATTCTTTACAATTTGTGTCATGTTTCCCTATTTTCGGTTAAAAAAACAATCTACATAGATCCAGAATTTGTTGATAAAAATGTTTTATTTACCAACTTTATCCCCTAATAACACTTAATCCCCCTTGTTTCATTCAAATTATATTATTTCAAGCAATTTTGTAACCCTTTATTGCTCCAGGCTAGTTACCTAGTCAGCTGCATTCGTTCAAGCGAGACATGATTTCCTACATGTAGATTTCAGTTTTCACACCTCTGCTGCATTAAATAAACAAAGGGACTTATCTGTATACATTGAATAAACAAAGGAGCTAACCGGGACTACACAAATTTTGTACATGGTACATCTAAAAAAAATTCATGTTCGCCACTTATGAATTTCTTTTCGCCACTTTTGAAAAAAATTCGCAATTGGCGACAGTGGCGAATCACAGCTCGAGCACTGCTTTCTTCTTTATGCCATTAGGTTTTGTTCTAAAGACATTTTATAGAAACTGACCATAAGTTTAGCTTAATTTATATTCTAAGCTTTCTAACTTTCAGAAGCTAGTTTTGCTTATAAGCTTTGTAATAAGTAGGTCAAACTTTGCTCCAGTAGTGTAATTTGTGTAAGCTTTGAAATGACACTGACTACACACCTTTTTGAGTTGTTTGATTTTGTTTAAGCATTGTAATGACACTGACTACAAACTCTGCTTGAGTTGTGTAATTTGTGTAAGTTTTTTAATGACTACACACCTTGCTTGAGTTGTTTGATTTTGTTTAAGCTTTCCTGTAATATAGCACTCTTCTCGGGCTTCACAGAGAGGGCGCTCATGTCCGTCACGCTCGCCGAGATCAGCTCTGCCAACTCCTCAAAATAGGCGTTCTCCTGGTCACGCCTGCGACGCTCATGTAGACACTTGCTTCTGAAAAGAGACAGTAAATTGTAACACCAGCATATACATGTATTGTAATAAACTCTTTATAGGGGAAAATGAAGAAAAGTTAAGGATCAGTATTGAAGGAGCTGAACATCTGAAATCAGATTGCTTGGAATATTTTTCATAAAGGAATTTCTCTTATTTAATAAATAGATATATTGTTTCAACTGTAACACATTTCCTTCACTGGACCAACCCTTCACAATTCCAAATATAATTTATCGTTGCAAAGAGTAAAGAATTAATCAAATTATTAATAAATTATCAAGAGAAAAATCTCATTTTTGCACAGCATGACACTGAATTTATCATCAGCCAAAATAAAAACTAGCTGATAATCTAATGATAAGTAATATAGAAAAATTAAAGAAGATGAATTTGTTTTCCCCCTGTCAGAGTAGAGTTTTCATGTTTTGGTTAAACGATATATCCACATGCCTCTAGAAACTGACATTAAATACGACCTGAAACTCGGAAAGATATGTCATGTCGAAAAATTTACTTCCAGCTTCAACATGACCTCAACTGTTTTCAGCAAGTCGCACATTTTTTTCTTCTTCAAATATTAGTCAGAAAACTGTCATGTTTTCAGTTTATCTCAGAATAAACTCACATTAAGTTTGACAGCATGATTAAAAAAATATCTTATCTGATCCCTGGATATTTACTGATAAATGTATATATGGAGAATAAAAATGTGGAAAAACATCTCACTAATGAATAAGTATAAGCATTTAATGTGTTGCTCAAAACCCAACATATTCTCAGCTATGAGAGCATTAATCAAGAAATGTAGCTCAAGTCTACAGTTCAAGACAGTATTGCTTTTATCCTAGTCTGATCTAGTCACAACAGAAAATGACACAATGTCTAACAAGAATCCCAATTAAAAGTTCTGTACACAAAGAAAATGAAAGACCTGTTCGAGATACAGAGCTCTCTCAGCACTTGATCTTTGATATTAGAACTAGGACATTTTATTGTCTGAGTGTTGGACACCACGTCTGGAACAGTCCCTCTACATGTCCCCTTGATCTGTATGTCACCTACTGATTTCATTCTCTTTATTGTGTCATTTTGGAGCAAAAAAAAAAAAAATCAAACGCTCTGACAAATAAAACTATATATGGATGTCATCAATGGAAATTATAGGACTTGAAGCAAGAAATGCTACACTGTCTTCTTTATATTGATGATAAAGAATGGCTCAAGTTCACAATGAATTTGATACTTTAGGAACCATATCAAGAAATGCTTTACTGTCTCCTTATAAAAGATGATTATAGAATTCACCATGGAGGTAAATCACAATTCAACGCAGATGTTACATTAGTGCAGTTTTAATTTTTAATTAAAAATAAAAATAATTAAGCTTCAAAATAAGAGCAGCTGAGACCAATGGTTACTTCTGGGGAATTCAAATATACCTGATATTAAGGCATACAAGAAATAATTCAACAGTATATATAAAGATAAAGGTGCCTAGTTCTTTTCCAGAATCAATTAAATGACAATGCCAGCTAGTATTTTCCATGACAAAATATTACAGAGATTACGCCACATGCAAAACTATCCCATAAAAGGATTTTCTTGCTTGAGACGATTTGAGCTTCCTGCTAAAACCAAATCATCTATAACATATTAATGAAAAAATCACCAAATAATATCCCTGCAAAGCAAATCGGCAAAAAAATATGCAGCCTTGAGATATTCATGGAGAGATAATTGATCTTAATTAAGCATTAACTTCAGCAGAGAGAGTATAAATGACTAGGTCTCATATCTATACCTTTTTCTCTGCCATTCTATCGGTCCCCTGGGGATAAAAATTATGCATCTATACATTGTTTCATTGCTGGCATTGCAATTTGAGACTTAGAAATATGCATTGATTAAAGACCAAAATGTTAATATTGGTAAACGTTTCTTTTTTTCAATAATGCTGAAAACCCACAGGAAAAGATATCTTTCCCTTCCGAGACTTTAAAGGTTTGAATTCTAATTCTTCACATTTTACCCCAGCTAAGTCTCAGATAAAAACTAGCAAAAAATATGCCGCATTAATTTTTCCTATTGAAATATACATTCAACCATGTTATGCAATACTGCAGAGAACACAATAGGTTCAGTCTAAGAGGGTCTTATTTCCATGTACAAAATGTACCACAATCTCTTCTTTTACCCTGCCTCAGCAAATAATCATAAGCACACACAGATAGCACCTGTTCTGTATTAGTTTTAGACTTATGTTCTAACTTACACCCCTACTTATGATACATACACAAAACAAAACGTTAAAATAAAAACATTAACTAGAGAGCACAAGGCTTCCAACTGAAGCAGCTGGCAAAGGTTGTGGCTGCTTCCAGTAGAAGAGGAATATCAAATGTTAGGACAGGCATCTACTAGCTGTGAGGAGTTTCTAGAGTTAGACATTCCAACAATAGGAGTAGGCATATTTTTGTATTGCTTACAGAGAAGTAATCTGTGTCTGTTATGAACATTATTTAAAAGGTCTGTGGAGCCTTTGCAAGAACTAGGATAGTTCCATAATTGCATGTCACAAAGTGGCAGATTGTACTGTATGTATTTTGTTTGTTAGTTTGTTTGTATTCATGCTTAACCATAATGTAGTGTTTTTTTCCCTCCCTGTCAAATGCCATCATATAAATACGAATAGCTGGACAAATAAATCACAGGGGAAAAAATACACTATGAAAACCTTCACTGCCAAGCGGTTCCTCAAACTATGACATCAATTCACTGTTTTTTATCCCTGAGTATTATATACATGTCACAGGTTTACGAAGGTAAATGTAAAACCAATTTTTTAACTGTTGTGATCAACCACACATAATATGGTCGCCTCAGTAAACATTTTATTCAAACCATTTAACACCACCAACCCACTAACAATCTTCAATATTTTATATGCACAATATTATTACCACCATCAATGCTTCTCTTACCACTTTCAACTTGTTCAATAAATGCAAGACACATGAAAGTGTACAATAATTTATTTTCTTGCTTTTTTTGCTCCCAAGTCAGTTCTTTTTTTAAATCAATTGAAAACCAAGATTATTATTTTTTTTAAATACTCGCACACTTTATAATTGCATTGCAAAATGCAAATGTATATATCACTGTTATGAATATTTTAAAGACAGAATAAAACATTAAAGTGTTTTCAGCATGCAATTATAATGTACATTTATGCTAACTTTAAACTTGTATGTGGCTTGACCAGTCAACCTTGCAAAGGAAAAAAAAACACACATCATAAAAATTCTAAGATTAAAAAGACAATATTTACAGTAATGATTCTGAGGTGGCAAAGCATAAAATGCAATTCAAGAATCTTTAATGTTTTTGGCTTGTGACAGCTTGCAAATAGCCTTGTGGCATCATGGATTATTACAGACGAAACAAAGAAATTACATTAGATTTATATTTGGTTCCAGTCTGGGCAGAGTTATAAAAGCAATAAAATTCGGAAAAGTAAAGTAATTTTTCAATAAAAACATTACAAATCTTCAAAGCAAATCTGAATCACACATTGTTAGTCTGAATGTTTATAGCCGTTTCAATAGCTAGATTATCTATTTAATAGTTAAAAAAAAAATTTAAAGATTTGAGAAAAATTCTAGCCATGATACTTGAGGCGAGTACGGTCAATGGTTCATTTAGTATATATATCCTTTCACAAAGTCGTTCGGGCCTGTTCAATTTTTATTTAAAAAATTGTAATTGTTACACTGATCATAAGTCTAAAGGTTTTTTTTAAAGAATCTTTTCCAAGAAAAATTTTACACCTCCACCTTACCCCACACCTATCTCCCCCCACCCCATCCCTTCCCCCAAATACAGAACAATCTAATGTAGAAATAGCTGTGCAGAATTTCCTCCACTTGACAATTTCATACACATCTATTAGAATATTTTATCATCATCTATCCAGAAAAAAATTGAAATGCAGAAACTGCCACCACATACCTGTTTCTCTGAACATAGACATGATAGAGGTCCCTGGGTATGAGTCTATCCAAGACAGGTTGTCTTAACATAGAGAGTTTGTGAAACAACTACATCACAACAAATCCGATGTTCTTTTATCCAAGAAGAATGAAGATCATCGAGAGCATCAATAATTCAGCAAATTTCTACTGGAATATCAAAACCGTCATTCCTTGTTGTTATAAATTCCTTCACCTGTCCCTAACATCATAACCAATGTCAATAAAACATGACCACCTCCCAAGAAAAAAAATACAAAACTCAAAAAAAGTTCCGGGAGAAAGTCGAAGGAAATATGGATTGCCACGGTAAAGAACAGCCACTTAGAAGAAGCCAGTGAACGAATGCAGTAGTTGTTTATTGTATATACTGAACAAAAAGAAACACGTCTACAGAGAAATCAATATAGCATTGATTGTTGTGTGCAGTTATTGTAACACTGAAAGCATTCAAGGCCACTCTATCGCTCTGCTATACATATGAAAAATTGCAGCCATAAGCAAGCTGTTCAATAAAACTGTTTACACAAATATGTGTGTTTGCCCACATCCAAATTGTTGTAAATAAACCACAAAGCCACATAGGCATGATCGTAAAATCCCTGCTGTGAAACTAAGACTAATGTGCAAATTTAACAGCTGCGGAACAACTTTAAAGTCAAAACTAAACATACTTTTTTATAATCCATCTTAGAATCTCAATGCTAGTAAGCAACCTCTTTTTACTCTTGTTTCTTCTTTACTGAAAATTTTCTTTAAAGAGCCACAGGGTTTTCAAATTAATAGCTATAATGCTCTTGCACTACTTGTGGTTTCACACATAAGAATCATTCATCAATTTTGACCAGGAAATGGTTGCAAATGATACACAAACTTTGCATGAGCTCCTTTCTTATCAATTAACCTCCCATTAACTGTTTTATATATCAGAAACATATTCATTTTTATAGCCCTTTAAGACTCTTGTCG